CTTCTACTAATAGTAGCGTTCTTATTAGCTTCTTTAAGATAGAAGGGACTAGGAATCGCTTTAAATATTAGAATCGTAACGCGTATAGGAGGGATGGTTTTTATCTAGGTGGGTAGGGCTAGGGATAGGTAGTCGGCTAAGTTAGTAACTACCTTACTATAGTTTTTCTAGCCCTTATAAGTTTATTAAGGTACTAGAAGGATAATAGAGTCTAATTAGCGTATATTAATAAATAATAAATAAAGTGGTTAGGTTAGCGGTTAGGTATTCAGGTTATTAGTTACTGTTTGGGTTAATAATGGTGTATGATTCTAGTTAGTTGTTAGGTGTTTAGATTAGTGGTTGCTTGTTTTTCTGGTTATTCTGGTTAGTGGTGGTGGCATATATAGCTGCTTGACAAGTACCTAGCAGCACAACTGGTCGAATTCAATATAGAAAACAGGATTGTGGCACTAGTTACTGTCTACCTGAAGTTGTAGCTAATTTTTGGGGGTGGTAAAAGTTACGCTGGTGGGTGGTGACACGGAGGACCAGTGATTGCCTTGCCTGCGTAGAAGTGCTGGGCGGTTGCAGGCCACGCGTGCCACAGCTAAAGCAGTACCAGGTTACAGGGCGTTACTACATCAAGGCCAAAGTGTGCAGGCAGACAAAGCAGATCTCGCAGTCTCATGCCACCACCCTCACCAGGCACCATCACCAGGTGCTGCACTTACGGCCTCGAATTAGTACATAGGTAGGTAGGTAGGTAGTAGGTATGACAAGCCACATCAAGGCCACCTGTGGAACAGGCAACAGGTTGTATGTAACCATGCCCCCCGCCGAGGCACATCGTGCAACCTTCCGTCTTCGTCTCGATTTCCTTGTGGTGTCTACGATTTCAACATTCTCTTCCTCTTCTCTCCTCTTCTTGCGCACCGACAGGAGTCAGCTTCGTGAATACTCCGCGCACTCACAGGGACGTCGCCTACGGTCCCTCCCGTCTCTGTCGCCATGAGTGGCCTGGAAACCATCGAGGACGACTTTACTGAAGATGTCGTTCTTCAAGAGGGTCTCTGCCCGACCATTGCAGAGCATGTAACCCAATGCAACTCCCTTTTCCAGAGGAAAATGGCCATCACAGACATCGTGTCGGATCCTACGATTATGGATGACCAGTTCGCACGCTTCAGACTCTGGGCAAACGACATGGACGTCTATGGAGCGCTCAATGTTTCGCTGGACTACAGGCTCCGATACAGTCCCACAGCCGTCGAGATTTTACATGAGCTCCTGGACCTTATCTGGGCAACTTTAGATTCTTGTAAGTGCCTGCCGTTGCATGATTTTGGAATGGACTGTAGGTCAAGAATTTTATGCTGACGGGGATTCTCCACAACAGTGCAACCAGTCAACGAACAACGACCACCGAGTCCGAAACGGACAAGGAAAAGACAGCGCATAGGAGAAAACAAAGATTCAGAAGTCGCGAGGAGAACCGACGACGATGATTCAAGCGACTCGGATAGTGAGCTGCATTGGGCAGAAGACAATATTTCGAAAATCACATGTACAATCCACGGCACCATAACACAACTCGTCCGCCTCTCCAATGCCGTCCGAAAGTCCGCAAAAGCCAACCGCGCTCGCAAAATCGAACGATACATCGACGATGAAGAAGCAAACGCCGCTATAGCTGAGTTGCGTCTCTACACAGACTGCTACATCCGCTTCCGGTTTCCCGAGGCGCCTGATTCACTTCGCACAGCATTAGTCAAAGCGAATGAGCTGCGACTTCGACGGCTGTGTTATCAGCGATCCCACCGACGGCGCATTGACTTGCGTATTCAGAATCCACAACGCACCAAAGCCGTTCGTCCGCAACTACCCGAGATGAAGGAGGATCCTCGTCAGACTGTGACTTTTGCTGCGGGCGTGTTCCAAGACCCTGCGAGCGTCAGTAAACCATCAGGACCAGCCGGCTTTGTGCCAGCGCCAGCGACAAATGCGACGACGGCTCGACAGACTGCTGTTGGCGCTTTCTACGCCAAGTCTACAACGGAGGTCCCTCGGGCTACATCTATTGTAGTGAACAACAAACTCTCTTTCCCTCCAGTACCATCGTCACCAGAATGCCCGTACTGTGGCTTTATTCTTGAGTTTACGGCCGGTTCAAGGTCAACGTTGTGGCAGTAAGCTGAGCACTACTTTCTTAATCGTATTGTACCCGACCTAATGTGCATCAGGAATCACGTCATCGGGGACTTGGAGCCCTTCATTTGTGTCTTTCCACACTGCTTGGAGGGAAAGCATGAGACGACCGCTCCGCCAACATTTGAAACGTCAAAAGCTTGGATCAGCCACATGCAAAACGCTCACGGGCACGTATGGGAGTGTAGAGCCCCTTCTCACGCTCTAATAACATTCAAAGACGAAATCCAGTACCAGGAGCATTTGATCAGAGAGCATGGCGTGCCGGAAACTCATGTCGGGATTGTCAGCAACGCAGCACGAAGGCCAGTCCTCGATAAGATGCTGCTATGCCCTTTTAATGATGATTTCCAGCCCCGGGAAAAAGTCGAATCGAGTACCGTCTTTGCCAGCGAAGCTCTGCAGTCACACATTGCCGGTCATTTAAAAGAAATTGCTTTGCTTACATTACAAAAGTTGCCGAGCAAAGAGGACGAAAACAATACGAACTTTGATAGCGACCAGGCATTAGATGATGAGGTTGGGCCTGGGCTAGTAAAGGTCCGTGGATCCATGTACAGTGTACTGGACGATGACGAAGATCTCGTTTTCCCGGACGACAATGGCGATGCCGAGGCAGCGAATGTCGATTTGGATCTCGAAGTGGAAGGCCTTAATCCATCAGTAACGAGACTTGAATTGGTTGCTCCCGTGATCGACAGCGTCAGAGTATTGGGTTAGATTCTAGGGTAGGTATCGGTAGCCAGAAAACTCTACATCACGTTATTATAGCACAAACATGTACATATACGAAGACTTGATTGACTAGAAAACGGTCCTACGACGGCGTAGGGCCAAGGCCCCCCTTTGAGGGTTACGAAGGGGGTATTATAAGGTAGAGATTGAAACTGCAGGCTGAAGTCTTGATGAAGAATAATTGACCACTGTGGTTGTGATGAAGGTACTTTGAGCAGGTACCTGCTCAAGGTCAGCTGAGGTGGCCGCCGTCAACGGCGGCCACCCACCCAACGTGACAGCGCACGAGGGCGAATCAGAAAACGCAGTATTAGATTACATATCAGAGTCGATGTGGTCGCATCAGCATCAAGTCACGACTCGACAGCTAATGTAATCAAATGTCCGCCTCGTGTCCAGCACGGAGATGTTTTTCTGTTCTAGCCAACTCAATCTCTCTAGCGAAAAGAGATTCGACGAATGGAACGGAATGGGAGATTAGAAAGGCAGGTCATCATCTCCCTTGCAGAGGCAAAAGCTACATCATTTCGTATGACTTTTTTTTTACAGTGTAATTGCGACCAGTCACAGCTGCCTTTATTGCTTAGCGCAGATGGCTCTCTTTCCAGCCGAGACAGTCTGCCTCTTCTCAGAATGTCAACGTGCATCAACTCTCCTCCAAGAGCAGAGTTTCTATTGTATCATTTTTCCTTATACACAGAAACTCACAGACAACAAACGACTCGCAAAAACAATGCCGCCAAATACACAGAACAAACCTCGTTTCAGTTGCGGCCTCTCAGTGCCTAAATATAGAAGCAACACTTGGCTTGTTTCTTTATTCCATAACTAAATATATCCGCGGGATTAGTATTAAAGCCGAGGAGGTGTTACACATCTACTCCGTGCCACCGCTGATGTGGAAGCGAGTCACGCGAGTCACCCATTAAACTTTCTGGATCGCGTACCTAACTAGTTAGGAGGCTTCTTTTGCCCGTCCGGTCCGGGAGCCGTTCCTGCCGAAAGCTGGCTAACTAGGCTTCCATCTTTCAGCCCAATCGGCCTTTTTCTCCTCTGAAGAAGACACAGCAGTGGCCCTCTCAACGCCATCAAGACAACCAGTGCCAAGAGACACGACCCATGCATGGGCAAACTACCAAGGAACGCCCAACCCACCGAGTATCACACAACGGGCGCAGCATACCAGTACTCGTCATCTTTTTCAGTTACTAACTAGGGAAAAGTCTTGGCCCTTCTCCTTTTCAGCCGCATGAGCGACAAACTCGTTCATGTAACGCCACCAGGGTTGCCAGCGTTGCATTTTTTTCTTCTCAATCCCTTGTCTGGCAACAACCATGCCAAGTGCGGTCGTGATAAGGATAGGGCCTCGTTCCAGCAAGTAAGAAGACGTTGTATTCCCAGTCATTTCAGCCAGCCCTTCCCAGATTGGGTTTAAACAGTGGCGCCACGCCGTCCGGTCCAAGACATCTCTCAAGTTAGTGGGAGCTTTGAGCCAATCGTAACAAAGACCATTGCCACGAGGGCTCCAACAAAGGCTCTGCGCGGATACCCACTAGCGGTCGGTGACATTTTTTAACCTTGACAACCTTGACAGAGAAAGCACGTAACTTGTGACAAGGCTGAGTAGAGCAAAGCCCGTTGGCTGGCTTGGGCGTGGTCAAAAAATACGCGGGTCTTTCTAGCGCCGCACTTATACCAAATAAATAATAATGAAAAGAAAATATAGATGGCAGGTTGCATGTCAGTTGACAGCCTGATAGGCGTCGACCTCCCCCCCTTTGACTCGTCGTATAGTTGATGGGCTTGCCGAGAACATACTTGGTAGTTCTTCAGAGAGGATCTGATTTCTCCCTCGTCTGTCGTTGACCGTTTCTTCTTCTTTCCTTCTTTCGATTTACGTTATTCCTCTATTCCTCCAAACAAAAACTTACCATCGATCCAACCCGCCTCCATGCTCAACTACCGAACCTCGTGATAGCTTCTACTTGACTCGGCTGCAACTCAACTATCCCACGGCAGACACGCCAACAACTCACAGACTTGTCGCCATGAAGTCCTCATTACGGTTTAACAACACCATGCTCGTCCTATCCTGTCTGGGCACCGGCCTCCTCCTCTGGCTGTTCCTCAGCGTCGGCCGCGACTACGTGCCCTACGTCCGGATCCCGTCGACCAAGACGGACGGCAGCAGCAGCCCGCCGGTGCCGCCCGCCGACCCGACGCTCCTCGCCGACCCGACGCCCGAGCACATCCCCAACACGGCGCACTACGTCTACATCCTGGCCGACGTGTCGGGCGACTTCTCGTTTGCCTTCTCCGAGGTGCTCTCCATCTACGCCACGTCGCGGTACTGGCAGCCCGAGGCCATCTACCTGCACACCAACGCGCCGGCCGAGGCGCTCGAGCGGGCGCGGAGCGGCGCCGCCGGCAAGTGGACGCGGCTGCTCTTCGCGGTGCCGAACCTGCGCGTGGCCGCGGTGACGGTGCCCACGCACGCGCGCAACGGCAAGGAGATTCGGCTCATGGAGCACAAGTCGGACTTTGTGCGCGTGCAGGCCATGCGCGAGTACGGCGGCGCGTACCTCGACTTTGACGTGCACCCGCTGCGCGACGTCCGCGCGCTCCGCGAGAGCGGCTTCCACGCCGTCGCCGGCCGCCAGCAGGGCGACAACGCCGAGATCAACTCGGGCGTCTTCATGAACAAGCCGCACAGCCAGATGATTGAGCTCTGGAGCGAGGGCATGAACGAGGCCTTTACCGGCGAGTGGTCCGCCCACAGCAACGGCGCCCTCACCGTCGTCTGCGAGCGCCTCGTCGCCTCCCCCGGCGAGGTCCTCATCATGGAGCGCCACGCCTTCGCCCCCGGCAGCTGGATGAAGGACGACACGATTCGCCTGCTCGAGGCCCACCCGGACGAGCCGTCGAGCCTCGACATGATGACGCCCGACGGACACCTGCCCCAGTACGACGAGGAGCCCATGACGCGCTGGACGGCGGCGGCCGCGAAGAAGAACCCGGCGTGGGCCCAGGACTGGTCCAAGACGTACATGCTGCACGCCTTCAACCACAACCAGGGCGACTTTGAGATTCCCGGCTTCAAGCGCATCACGCCGCGCTACATTCTCGAGCGCCGGAGCAACATGGCGCGTGCCGTGTACCCCGTCGCCCGGGACCTCTTTGAGCGAGGGCTGATCAACATTGACGATCCTTACAAGTTCAACACCGATGAATGACCTTTGCTCTATTGAACAGCCATACGACTAATTACCTTTGCTCTATTGAACAGCCATACGACTAATTACCTTTGCTCTATTGAACAGCCATACGACTAATTACCTTTGCTCTATTGGAACGCGATATAGAAGGACAATGGACGAAATGTATCATTACACAAACTAAAAGAGGCAAGATGTTGTCAGCGAAACAGTCTTGAGCATATTGCATGGGGTTACGCACTCTCGGCCCATTTTCTTTCTTCTTTTATTCTCTTTATTTTTCTCTTCTTTTTTTGCTTTATTTTTCTCTTTCTTTTACATCATCACTTGGCGGGGGCATTTGGCTACTATTTTTCTTTTTCTTCTTCTTCTTCTTCTTCATTCGCTTCAACCTGTATACATATTCATCATGATAGATTCTAGACAAAAATCCTACTTCTTATCCACATCCACGCCGACAATACGCAGCATGCCTAGATCCGTGTACGCCAAGCAGTACCGCGTCGGAGCCCACGCCACCACGGGGCTGGAACCCGCCGTTTTGAATGTATGCACCAGCTCGCCCGTCTCAACATGGCAAACGTCCAATCCGCTGCCTAATATCACTGTTAGCCTGTAAGAAGCAAAAGGAGAGAGTGGATATGGTTCCTTGTCAACGTACCCTCATCACTGCCACCGACAACGTAACTTCCGTCAAACGTGAAACCTGCCAAGTCACTCTAGTTAGTTGGGGCTCTTGTCATCAGAAAAAGAAACAGAGATGGCGGGGATGCTTCATACTCAAGCTTCGTACTGGCCCGGTCATCCTCGTCAGCGTGCGCGTGCATATCCAGTCCGTCGTGTCCCATAGCGCAACGACGGAATCGGAGCCGCCAGTCGCGAGGTACCGCGCTGTAGGCTGCATCTCGGCCGTCAGGCACGACGACGTGTGCCCGTTGAGCGCAAACTCGCGCGACCTCGGCCTCGTCTCCCCGTCGCCGTCGGCGCCCTCGACTGCCGCGCGCTCCAGCAGCGGCGTAAAGGACGGGTATCCGAGGATGCGCGTGCACCCGTCGCCCGTCGTGACAAAGATCTTGGTACCGCTCCAGCAAAACGCGACCTGGTTCGTCTGGACGGCCTGCTGGTGCGACGAGAGAGGCGTCGTGGATGTGGGCGAGAGGACGTATATGAGGTCGGCCTGTGGGGGTTTAGCAGAATGAAGAGAAAGAGGGGGAGAGAGAGCGTCGAGACCCGTCCTCTTACCTTGTTGCCGACAATGAGCGTCTGGCCGTCTGGTGCCCACGCTAATGTAAAGGCGTCGCCGAGCCCGGAAACCTCGTTGAAGCAGGCCTTGGTTCGAACGTCCCAAAACTTGACGACGCCGTCGTTGCTGACGCTGCACAATTCCGCATCCTTTGTCGGGTTAAAGGCGACTTTTTCAATCGGCGCCGCGTGGCCCTTGAGCTCCGTCGAGAACTTGACGTGCGCCTTTTCCGGATTCCCTTTTTTTGTTTTCACCCGTTCAGCATCTCTCACTCGAGCGGTCCCCTGGCCTCCCAAAAAAACTCACAGACTCGCAGCGTCTTGTTGCTCGATCCCGTAGCAATCAGCGTCCCTAGCGGGTTCCAAGCGATGCATCTTAGATTACTAGACAACGGGTCAGTACGCGCTTGGCCTCAGTCCCCCTCCCAGCGGCGTCAACCTACTTGTTGGCCCCGGGCGCTCGAGATGAGTTGGGATCCGAGTACGGCTGGCTGCGCAAACTGCCAAAGTAGGTAGGGAAGCGCTCCTTGGAGAGGCTCTGCCTGGGCCGCAAAACTGGCGCCATGGCGTCAATCCGAGTTGGACCGCCGTGTTTTAATCTAGGTTGGCTTTGACTGGTGCGCAATGCTCAATGACAAAGCATTCCCGACTGATGCTGGTTGGGAAACTGGGCGACAGTGCGACCTTGACGTCGAGCGCTGGCTGGTACAAACTTGCGCCCCACATAAACCGCGCCGAAGCACCATGGCAATTGTCTCGGATGCACAACAAGTTTGCAAAGGACTGAGGCACCTGATGGTGTTTTGTAGGCTCGTGGCGCGATCGTGGCTCGTTTTCATCCCATCTGCTCAATTCGCAATGCAGGCGCTTCTTGACACGTGACGATCCAGTAGTCAGCCTATGAGTGCATAGCTGTCCAACTAAAATACGCAGTGGGCTGTCTAGTAGAAGAGTCGTCTGCCTGTCGGAGGATGTATATATTATATGTCGACTTGCATGGTAACTATGTATGTAGTTGGTAGTTACCTACCTTGATAACTATCTGACCTCATAGTGGGAGAAGGAGAGACAAGTTGTAGTTAGTGTACTATGCACGACTAGATCGAGTACCAACGCCCTTGCACAGAATTAAAGTCGCCGTCTGTACGCTGTTCTGCGGGGTAGAAATTCTGGCCTGGAAATAATTATTACAACAAAGCAACATTCACGGATTTAGAACACTCGTATTCTGGTCCGACGCCCAAGGGCACACACAATTCGTGGTCTACCTACCCTACCCCGAGGTGCTACCGTATTGTGCCATGTCGCGTCCCAGTGGCGGCGCGGCCACAGACTTGACGACCCCTTGTTCAGCGCCGGCTTCGGCAGCTTCATCTCTCCAGGTCTTCCTTGCGGCGCAGACCCGGTTTGTTATTGTGTAGAACATAGGTCGACAGTCAAGTCTTTGACTCACAGCGGCTTGCTGCAGGGGACTGCATGTAAACAAGCTGATCCTCAGGCTCAACGACTCCCTTCTGACTCCCAATCACACGGCCATCTGCCGGGAAATACGAGCTAGTTACTTGCCACCAATACAAACTTCAGCTCACTATATAATATCAATTTCAAGGTTACATGCATAGTTACATAGTAACTACAGATTACGTGTTTATCATGCCGCCCTAGTGAGCGGCTGGTGGAGACTCGGGCCGGGGCGTCACAACAACAACAAACAAGTCACAGTCTAAGCATCGTGCATTTGTGTCAAAAGCCTTATGTCAATGCAATTCATTACTCCTAACAACAATAGTTACCGCCGTGATCCGATCATGGAATATGTACACTTTTGCTATCGCCTTTCAGGCTGGTACCAAGAAATCGGCAGATAGTCCGCCTCAACCAAAAATATCAACAACTCCGAAATAAAATATCCGTTAGCCCTTTGCCAATGACTCCAAGCGCCCTGTATGAATCGAATGACACAAAATCGTGCCCAAAAAAGTGTAATCAACAAAATGGTATTGTTGGCGGAAAAAAAAAAATGCCAAAAAGCTTTGGCCACAAGACTGCGCGTTAATCCAGGCAGGTCCGAGGTGCTGCCTTCATGTAGGGCCGGGCGCTCCAGAGCGTAAGCGGCCATGCTATTATTACTGCCGTGTAATCGCAATCCAATCGCAAATGCTATCCAGAGAGGTATCGAAAGTATATCGTCTTTATTCGTCAAGGTGATATAACGACAGGTCAATGTCCATTATGCCAAAGAGAACGGCGTTCTTCTTGGCCCATTGACGAGAGATGATGGAGGCCTTGAGGAACTTTTTGTTCGCGTACTTTTTGAAGAAGGCTTCGTGTACGACGGGTCGGGCGAGGTAGTCCACCATGAGCTGCACAACGGGCTCCAGCTCTTCTTCCGTGTAGCCGGCGTAGTGGGCGAGCGTCTCGTCCCAGACCCCGCGGTCAAGCATCAGGCGCGACAGGTACATGGCGGCCGCAGCGACGTGGCTAGGGGGGTAGGCCATGAAGCGGTGATCCAACAGGCTAATCTCGGTGAGATACTTGCCAATCGTCCGAGACTGAATGTCATAGTTGTCCGCCTTGGACACACGACGAAGAAAGTTCATGGGATTGGGATAGCTGAGATCGTAGTCGAGGGTGCTCAGGACAAAGCGCTCAGCGCTCAGAATTTCCTCCTCGGTGAATCCGTCGTTGGTGATGCGCTTGAAGTTGGTAAGGTAGGGGGAGAGAACCTCTTCGTACTTGGACGCGATGAACATGGCAGTGATGCCAACCAATTGGAAGTTGTCGAGCTGAATGACCTTTTTTGAGAGGAAGCGGTCAACAATGTTGACGGCAAGGAACAGCGTCTCGGGAAGGAGATGGAAACGCGTGTGGACTTCGATGAGCCAGTCGACGAGGATGCCACGCGTGCTCCACTCGAGCTCATCCTGGTGCCGCATGTACCGGGGGTTGGGGATAGCCTTGCGCTCCAGCTCACGCAGGTAATCAAAGATCTCAGTAGCATACTCGGCTACCATGAGAGGGTCATCACGATCCTCGTCATCAATCTCGTCGAACGGGCCATGGTCATATTTGCTGGGCTTGCTCTCGAGCTTGATATCCGGATTGGTCGTAGTAGCGGGCTCCTTCGCAATCTCCAAAAGTGTTTCCTTTTCTTGCGTAGAGAGCTTCCGCTTCTGAGAAGTTCCGCTGCTGCCAATGGTTCTCTTCTCGACACGCTTGGGCTGCTCCTTGGGGACGGCCTTGGAAGCAGCACGTACCGTCGGCTTTTGCGTCGTGGGCTGGACCTTGGAAACGAAAGCCCCCTTGCCAACAGCCTTCTTGGCCGCAAACGACTCGGTTCTGGCGCGGTTGCTCAGATCGTTGAGAGCGCTGCGAGTGCCGGCGGAAACGGCGGGCTTCTTGGTCTGTAGAGCTCCCTTGGTAACTCTGCCTTCGTCTCCGAGGACAGACTTGGTGGCTCTGGTGGTCATACGCGTGTTGCTGTTCTCGTCGTTTTCATTGGCGACCGCCGCCCGACGGGTTGTTCTAGCCGCCTGCAAAGGGTCAGCGCGTGTCATAATTGAGAAACACGTAGAATTTAACTCACAACAGGCATGGTGATCCAGTAGCTGCGCGTAGCACGTCACTAGATGCTATTCTGCTGGGGTGAGGCCGTTAGTCTTGATACGCGTCAAGAGTGTGAAGAAGGAAAGAGAAGCAGAAGACGGGTCGAGGGAATCAAGTAGGAAGCTCCGAGACATTTGAACGAGTCCAAGTTAGCTCGGGGTGGTTGCTAACGCACCTTTTGGATCGGGGATAGATGGGGTAGGGTCACAACAGCGCGGTTGGAATGCTGGCGACGAGATATGGAGAGAAGGTTAAGCTGAAGGGGTAACAGGTGCCTCTGCCCAAAGAAAGATGCAAATGCGAATGCAGCAAAGAGTATCAAAAAGGAGGGAGGGAGAAGAGATGGGCGGCCTAGAAGTAATGAGCACTGGGAGTAGGGCGAGGGAGTGATGTTTATGTCAAGAAGATGGCAGCTGAGGGCGTTGGAGGTGTTTTGACGGCGGAGCTCAGCGGAGTCTGGAGCAGAGAAAGCAGAGCGCCAGGGAGAGACGTGAGTGGGCGGCCGGTATTTAGGTAGAAAGGTACAAGCGGCGTGGTGGGCCAGGCGCGCTGAGGGTACGTACCTTTCGACGGAACACTGGCGCGGTTCGCGACGCCGCTTGGTTGCTTGGTCGCCCAGGTACAACGGCCAGTAAGATACGTCAGACAGAGCCTTTGTCCCACCAGTAAGCGGGGATATGAGACGCATTTGCTCTTTTCAAGGGAGATGCTCGATTCGACGGCGTCGACTGGCGACACGCTAACAGTTACCAGAGGGCCGTGAGTTGATCTGGCCTACGGAGGGTGCTGGGCCGCGAGATGCTGCGGTAAAAACAATTGTCAAAAGTAGAAATCATCGGATAACGAACTGGTTACCACAGGTTTGCAGCCTCCATTCCCAATATTGAACACAAGAATTCTGCAAGGGTCAGAGCGGGCAGCCCGGTCAACAGGCCTTCTCAAAGACGTGCTTTTTGGCGACAGTGGAGGCCAGACGAGGGCTACACGACTCACAACGCGCCAGTGGACGCCCGCTGCTCGCGATCCCATGAAGCCACGGTGCCACAAGGTACGTACCGCCGAGAGTAGTAGCTTGTCAACAGTCGCAACGGCCGGGCAACGGCCTCTTTATTGGCCTGCCCTTCCCGCAGCGGGTCTACGCGCACAGGTTTGATGTGGCTTGACGCGAACCCCCGACGACTCTGTGGCGCAGCCAAAATTGCTGTGGCGTCGATGATTGGATATCGGCAAAACGTTTTCCCATGTCTAAAACTTGAAGAGCTTCCTTGCACGACAGCCGGACGACGGAGCCATCAATCAGCGCCCGAGCTGCTGTTTGATTGCGATTGCGTAGTAGAGTTCAATTCAGTCTGCTGTGCTGCTTGCTTGTTTCATTGCTGTGCGTATCCGGCAATTGATCCACGAGCAGCCCAATTGATTCGCTCGCGGGCTCTGCATCCACGACATCTCCTTTTTCACATCTACGCGCTCGTGGCACATCCCACGATGCTGCAACCACGACTTCCTGTCGTGGCCAGAGCCCTTGTGCGCTTTGCGCCAATCCATCTTCCGACCCAGCTCCCGATTCGCCGATTCGCAACCGCTGCCACGGTGGGATCGGCCTCTAGCATCGCCAAAGCCGAATCCCAGAACTCGACCATCCGCACCTACAAGCCGAGGACCCCCGGTGTCCGTCACTTGCGGCGACCGATCAACGACCACCTCTGGAAGGGTCGCGCCCATCTGCCCCTGACGATACCGAAAAAAGGCCACGGCAAGGGTGGTCGCAACGTCTATGGCCGCATCACAGTTCGACACCGTGGAGGCGGTCACAAGCGCAGGATAAGAATCGTTGATTTTGTGCGCAACCGTCCTGGCCCGCATCTGGTCGAGCGAATTGAATATGACCCTGGCCGCAGTGCACACATTGCATTGGTGACGGAAAAGGCCACCGCCCGCAAGTCGTACATTGTTGCAGCTGACGGTCTGCGAGCTGGTGACGTCGTTCACAGCTACCGCTCCGGCATTCCTCAGGATTTACTCAACAGCATGGGTGGCACTGTCGACCCTGGTATTCTCGCTGCCAAGACCGCCTTTCGCGGCAACTGCTTGCCCATGCACATGATTCCCGTGGGAACCCAAGTCTTCTGTGTAGGTTCCGCCCCGAAGCGCGGTGCCGTCTTCTGTCGCAGTGCGGGTACCTACGCCACGGTCGTGAACAAGGACGAGGAGACCAGGGCCGATGGTGTTAAGATTGTGACTGGAAAGTATGTCGAAGTCCGCCTTCAGAGTGGCGAGGTGCGCAAGGTCAGCAAGCAGGCATGCGCGACTATTGGTGTTGCCAGCAACGTACACCACCAGTACCGCCAGCTTGGAAAGGCTGGGCGTAGTCGTTGGCTGAATATTCGGCCCACGGTGCGTGGTTTGGCCATGAACAAGGGTACGTATTGCTCTTTGGTTTAATTGGTCAAATGCACATTCTGACATGATCTAGTTGACCATCCTCATGGTGGTGGCCGAGGCAAGTCCAAGAGTAACCGCCATCCCGTCACGCCTTGGGGTCGACCTGTACGTTACTTCTGTAATATCGAAATCCTTTACAACTCTCACTAACTCCTCGCAGACGAAGAGCGGCTACAAAACGCGCCGCAAGAGCAACGTCAACAAGTGGGTAACTGTACCGAGACCACGCAACCACGGCGTGCAGAGAAAGAAGAAGTCGGGCTAGACTGCCTCAAGAGCGGCGCTGTATTTCTAGATGGGCATTGGCTCCGGCAGAGCCGTGTATATTATGCCCTGTATCATAGCCATGAAGAATCAGCATTGTGCAAGTGTATTATCCGTGTCGGATGAACATGGGCGTCTGCATATGCATGTTTTGGTACCTTGCGTACCTGTCTTGCTGTCGATCATAATGCGAGCTACTGACATCTCTCGTTCATGATTACCGTATTTTCAGATTTTGCTTTTTTGTTCATTCTTCAGATTTCTTTCTGTTTCTTGATCTCAATTGCTTTTGAAAAATCCTCAAGATCATGCAATATCCGCGACACCATGCATCATTAACCGCGGTGATCTGTGCATGCACTTTATCTGAGGTATACAACGATCTGATGTGCACGTGCTACGCGTTTGCCGTTTGCCCCAGCGGCTGCCACCTGCTACCAGCTGCCAGGTGCAACACCAAACGAAAACGTCGAAAACATCACCATCCCTCAATGTCGCCTCGCTTTTCACCCATTTCGCATCTTCCGGTTCTTGCCGCCATCTTCCATTGTCCATTGTCGGCCTCCCTATCCAGCCCGTGGCGCAGCAGCACACGATCCACTTCCACTTCAAGCGTTAATTATGGCGCCACGCAAGCCGCAGTTCAACGATTTGCAACCAGGGTTGCTCGGTTGCGTGGGACTCGGGTGGTAGGGCTCCGCACCACCGAAACCTCCCTTCCTCATTGCAAAGAAGAAACGCATGTCGCAGATTCCACAGCCGCCCGTAACTACAGCGCTCATGTGGATGGAGTTTCTGAATGCCGGTCCTGAAGCTTACTCTTGGCGCAGGATCCATTGGGCAATAGGTGGCCGTCTGGTCGTGCTGGGCACCACACCCGCTGTCTCGCCCTTCGCCTGCTCTCACTGCGCCTCGCCCCAGCGACTGCCCGGAGTGGATTTCCCCTTTGTGACCCAAAGACCTGGCTCAGCATTGCCAGAGTTAGCCCAATCGCCGCTGCCAGCTTACGTCGCCCACTAGCCGCTGACCTTTCTCAGATCACTAGAATAAATAGGATTAGCCTCCCACTACGACTTGAACCTAAAGAGTTCCCACACGTCACTTGGTCAAAGTTTCAGCTCTTCCAGGCTGGACTCCCTTCTTCCACCTTGCATCTCATGTCAACCTACGAAAAGATGGCGGTCACAGGAACCGCCGCGATGCGGCAGCAATTTTCGATCATCCTCATTGCCTCGTATATTGTCGACTGGATTCTTGTCGCTGGGCTCGCGATCGGCTCCTACGTACTCGGAAACATCAAACCAAACTTTCGCAACTTTTCACTAGCCGATCCCAACATTGCGTAGGTGATTACTCGACGAAAGATTCGCCGCCTTGTTTTGCTAACCACCAAATTTGCAGTTTTCCCTTTTCCGAACATGAAACCTTTCCGAATGCGCTTCTGTTTGTCTGCTGTGGTGTCATTCCCGTCGTGGTGGTGGCCGTCATCACCCTCCTTCTCGTCCCCGGCGGCACCGTGCCAAAGGGCACCCCTGCGATATCGGTCTGGAAGCGAAAGCTCTGGGAGCTGCAGATCTCTTGGTTGGGCTTGGTTTTGGCTGTCGGGTCCGCATGGTTCTTTGTTAGTGGCTTGAAGAACATGTGCGGCAAGCCACGCCCTGACATGCTCTCCCGCTGCAAGCCAGACATGGCCAATGCGGACAAGTACATCGTCGGTGGCTTCCAGATTGAAGGCGCCAACGGCCACCTTTACTCAGCCGCCATCTGCACCGAGACGGACCAGGCAAAGCTCTGGGACGGCTTTCGTAGCTATCCTAGCGGCCACGCCGCCGCCTCCGCTGGCGGTCTGATCTATCTGTCGCTCTTCTTGGCCAGCAAGTTTGCTGTGACGATGCCCTGGATCATGCCTGGGTCTGGCGGAAATAGTGCTTCGCTCGCCGCGTTCCCCTCTCGTGCTGCGCAAGCGAATGTACATGCCCAGAACGGCTACGAGGAAGGTCACGACGGCAGCTGGCCACTCGGCGCGAAGCCCCTCAAGGCCAAGATCCACGGCGCACGCACGCGTGCCGCTGCTCCCCCCGTTTTCCTACTCGTCATCACACTGGTTCCATTTAGTCTGGCGCTTGTGATTTCGGCTTCTCGGTGGTTCAACTATCGGCACCACGGCTTCGACATTCTCTTTGGTTTCCTAATTGGTACCGCCTGTGGCATATACAGCTTCCGCTACTACCACATGCCAATCCAGGACGGTGCTGGCTGGGCTTGGGGTCCCCGAGACCCTAAACGTGCCTTCTGGGCTGGTGTTGGCAACGTTGGCTATGTCGCTTCGCGTTCGGACGATGTTGCCGATTCTGCCGATATTGAGGCCTATCCCAAGACCGCGGTGGCGCGCGGTGCAACCCAGCGCACCGACCAACAACCCGGCGCGAACGGCCAGTACGGTGGACAGTACGAAACTGGATTTGAACAGGTTGAGTTGCAGAGACTGAACCGTGGCGACGACGACCGAGTGTAATGAAATTTGAATAGTTTTTTTTAGTATAGGATATTCTGTTTAGTTCACGCTTGATAGACGTGATGTTAATACGAAGTAACAAATCTGCAGCTCCTTGTGACTTTAAAGACGAGGATATTCATTGATTGCTACCATGTTTATAAAGACTACCCATTCAACGCCAAACAAAAGAAAAATGAATATATATATCCTTGCACGTACTCTAGAACCGTTCAAGCGCGGGGCTCTTGGACCTCAATGCACTCGCGCAACCCGCGTGTCCACGCCCTCAAACTCGACATCATCGTCGTCGTCGTCGTCATCGTCCCGGAAGCGCGTCTCGATATCGGCCTGGCGCAGGCGGTAGCGCATGTCGTCGCGCTCGGCGTTTTGCCAGCGGACGAGCGCGGCGGCGGCGTGCACCTTGAAGCCGTAGACGCGGGGCACGTAGCGCTCGAGGCTCTTGGAGGGCATGAGGGTCGGGTAGACCTGGAACATGATGTTTTGGAACGACGTGCCAAAGTAGGCGCCGTCGATGGCGGCGTGCCGCGACGACTTGGGGTTGTAAATGTCCTCGCACCGCCCGCAGTACAGCTTGACCGGCCGGTGGTTGGGCACGTCGGACAGGCCCATGGGGAGCAGCGGGTGCAGCAGGCAGTCGACGCGCGGGCACTTGCCAAACTCGGCCTTTTTGTACTTGTCCAGCTGTTTTGGGGAATCTGTGGGTTAGCTTCATGATCCCCGATTTGTCTTTTGGGGGGGGGGAGGGGGGCGCGCACCATCTTTGTCAGACCTCTTGTCGTCACAATGTACCGCGCGTGGACAAGGCCGTACAGATGACGCGCCGACTTCTCAATCGTCTCGCGCATCTCGTCGTCGCAGTCGAGGTCGAAGACGTCCGTCACCAGGTCGAGCGCGTATTGGTAGTATTGGACCTCGGTGTTGAGGCCCGTCAGGTTGAAGCGGTCCATCAGGTATTCCTCGTCGATTTCGCAGAAGTACTCATTGCCTCGAGACGAGATGAACTGTATGCAGAGGTTCCCTTGATGTTAGCCAAAAAAATAAAAATAAAAAAATAAAATCCGGCACCGGGCGCGTCCGCGAACAGCGCTCCCTGGAACGGCAAAAAAAAATACATACCCAGTCTCGCCAGTAGCTCGTATAGTCGCTATCCGTCTCGCTGCCGTAGTCGTCCATTTTGCGCTTGAGGCCCGCCACCGTGCACCGCTTTGTGTTGATGTCTGGTAAGGATGAATCTTGGGTTGGATTATGGTTGTTGCTCGAGAGGCAGAGAGCCAGCCGACTGTGGCTATGGATGCAGGCGAAGATGTGGCGGGGTGGTTTTGCAGTGGGGCAAGAAAGGGACGTGGAAGGAGAGTGCGGAATTTCCGTACATTTAGTTGAATCGACTTTTGATTTAATAGGTACAGCTTCAATGTCTGTAAAATGGTAATGGGAGTGGCTTTGCATTTCTACCGTTTTTCCGAATTTTTAAAACCCTGTCTAGAGCGACAATTGCGCTTTTTTCGCAATTTTTTGGCTATCAAGGTCTATCAATATAGATGAATATTTATTTCGGCACTGATAATATTCATTGTTCTATACTAAACAACTGCCCGAGTTATACCTACCTAGGTAGGTATTTCAAGCAGATTGAAAAAGATCAATATTTGCATCCTCCCATTGTAACCCTAACCCTGGGGTGTGTACGGTGCAGATTTAATTCCTGACACTGTATGCTCGTTTTTTTTAAACATTTGAGAGATAAAGTCACATGTTGCACCAATGTTTGCTCAAATCGAGACGCAATAGATTCCCTCTTTGATGTGAGATTTATTAATTTACCACGAGGCACTACCGACTGAGTCACACGCAACAGCCTTTGACCTACCCCAGGCTTCGGCGGGGCCGCGCCATTGGCCCCTCCATATATCAGGATTCGCAGGCAGACGTCGTGAACCGAACCGGGGCTTTATAAAACTCGACGACCTCGGTTCCCGGCTTCTCCTTCCTCTCCCCCTTCACGCATGGACGGCATCGCCGCGCACCCTCTCCTCCTCCCGCCCTCATAATGGACGCCCGCAACCCGACCACCAACGGCACCACCACCACCACCACCACCAATGGCGCCGCCGCGCACGACGACACAGCCGCGGCCGCCGCCGGGCCGCGCGCCCCCATCATCACCACCATGAGCCCGTACACGTTCCCCGTCGACAAGCTCCGGCAGCGGCTGACGCGGCCCGGCAAGACGCCGCTCGTGCTCGTCGCGTGCGGCAGCTACTCGCCCATCACGGTGCTGCACGTGGAAATGTTCCGCATGGCGGAGCGCCACGTCGAGTCGTCGGCGCGGCAGCACCCGGCGCGCGGCAGCGGCAGCGGCGACGGCGGCGGCGCCGACTTCGAGGTCGTCGGTAGCTACCTGAGCCCCGTGAGCGACGCCTACAAGAAGCCGGCGCTGGCGGCGGCGCGCCACCGGCTCGCCATGTGCGAGCGCGCCGTGGCCCGCACCGACATCATGGTCGACCCGTGGGAGGCGCTCCGCTGCGACGCGGCCACGCGCGCGCCCGTGTACACGAGCACCGTCGACGTGCTCTGCCACGTCGACCACGAGATCAACCGCGACGGCGGCGGCATCGAGACGGCCGACGGCATGGGCCGCGTCCGCGCCCGCATCGTCCTGCTCATGGGCGCCGACGTCGCCGCCACCATGGGCGACCCCAGGCTCTGGCCCACGCCCGACGTCGACGTCATCCTCGGCCACTACGGCGCCTTTGTCATTGAGCGCCCCATGCAGACCCGCATCGACGACGCCCTCGCCGACCTGCACAAGTACGACGACAAGATTTGGGTCGTCGCCGCCTTTGAGAATGACGTCAGCTCCACCAAGATTCGCGCACAGCTCAAGAATGGCGAGCGTGTGCTGGACCTCGCCCAGCCAGTGTACGAGTACATCAAGACAAACGACCTCTACTACGAGGAGACGGGCCACGCCAAGGCGAACGGGGCCGGTGCAATGTTTTAAAAAAAAAAAAAAAACTACAGCGGACATTTGTGTCAAAGGAGAACGGGTAGCAACTACGAAGTAGATGGTTTTTTTTTCTTGTTTTTTTGAATATGGCATAGATTAAGGAAGCGGGCTGATGGGATCCAAAGCAATGACAGGTACACGATACAGCGATGGGCATAGACGACAAAAGGGCCGTCAGGCATAGAGCAAAGAAAGCGAGGAGAAGTAGTACTTTCTGGGCACGCATTGCATGGGTAATCTGTAGCGGAAATAAATATGAACAACAGTACAGTCATACAAGTGCTTGGTATTACATGGATCATCTCGCAATTATGTATCTATGGGCTCGCCACCGGGCTTATCGTCGAGCCGAGGCTTCCCTCGCTCACGGACCGTCCTTCCGACTCCGTGTCACTCGCGCCGCGCGGCCGGCCCAGGTCTGACGGGATCTCGAGGCGGGCACCTCTGCCATGGCCGTTTTGGCCCGCCGCAGCGAGGTTGGCCATGCGCATGACCTGCTGCAGCTCGTCGCCGGTGGTGTCGAGGGCGGCGAGGAAGCGGGCGAGCTCCTTGCAGAGCTCCCAGTCGCCCTCGCGGACGGCGCGGGCGAGGACGCGGACGCTCTGCTCCGTCGACTGGCCGCCGCGCGCCTCCTCGAGGGTGTAGAGGACCATGAGGTAGCCGCCGGCCGTCTTGACGGAGCCGCGCAGCAGCGACTCCTCAAACAGCTCCTGCGGCGGCGGCAGGTACGCAAAGAGCGTCGGCCACTGCCGCACCTCGGTCTTGCGTGTGCACTGCAGCACCACGTCCAGGTAGTCCCTGGACGAGGAGGAGAGGAGGGAGAGCACGCGTGGGAGCACGGCCGCCTCGGGCGCCGCCGGCGGCGACGCCTCCGACTCCTCCTCGAGCACGCGGTGGAGCAGAATCTCGAGCCCGTGGGAAAAGTACGCCAGGTCCTGGTACTGCTCGGCCAGGGCGACAGCCTCGGCCGTCATGGCCTGGCGTAGGTAGAAGCGCAGCACGTCGGGTAATACGAGGTGCGTCTAAGTCTGTTAGTAGACGAAGCTTGCAGATTGCTTTGCGGTGACATGGACTTACTCGGATGGTGAAGCGGAAGAATGAAAAGTTTACGTCACGGCGTTGTACGAGGTTCGATTCCACGCCCAGAATGATGCCCTTTTCGAGCAGCATGGACAGCGGGTAAAAGTCGACTGGAAACGACACGGGCGCCGGCAGCTCCTTGGTGCCGTCCGACGCGGCGTTGAGCACATCGTCGATGCTGGCCCAGCCCTTGACCTGCATGCCGTCAAACACCCAGAGCGAGTCGCGCAGCGCCGGCGGCCCGCGCGTCTCGTCGCGCTCCAAGTTGAGCAGCGGCTGGTCGCGCATGTTGGCGTGGAACTCGACATTCTGCGCAATGACGCGCATGTCGTACTTGAGCTGGCCCTCGTCGTTGAGCGACGGGCTGAGCAGGACCAGCTTGCCGTCCACCAGGAAGATGACGGACGCGACGGCCACGTCTTGCGAGGGATCGCCGTCAGCCAGCTGGCTCGCGGGCAGGATCCAGCTCAGACCGCGCACTCTAGCGGGGGACCGGACGATGCCGTGGAACGCAATCTGGCCGACTTGGACCAGACGGACCGAATCGGACCAGGGTGTGAAGATGAAATGGTAAAGGAGGTTTTCGTATGTGTAGACAAGAAGAGAATCTTGTCCCGATGTCGTGACCAGCACGATGGGGGCGGGGAGTTTTTGTGTGAATAGGACTTGCGACGACTCCAGGGCCGTTTCTCGCGAATATAGGCGGATTTCATATGATTTGCTGCCTTCAACGGCGGCGACCAGGATGTGTTGATACCAGCACATACCGCCACGCACTTGAAATTCATTTTCTTGTGCTTCGTTGGCAAATGTCTTCCATCTGCCACTGTTGACGCTGTAGTGTGCCAGGCCCTTGCGACCTGCCACGGCAACGTAGCGGCCATCTGGTGAAATGACGGCCTGCTTCATCGGCCATTGATGCAGCAGGTAAGGAGCCGGGATCCTTGCTGTATGCCAGAGAAATGGTTCTGCAGAGATTGATGTCATGTCTGGAAGATCGTAGCCACGGTAGACCATGATGCCTGTAGATGTTTGCAGAACTGTGCGGAATACGTTGGCGTCGTTGTAGCAGCCTGTAACAGCGCTCTTGGCCATTTCCAACGACCAGATGGCTTCATTCTGCCGCCCAATCATGAGAATTTCGGAGCCCCCGCCAATCCAGGAGGCGCAGTCTACTCCCGCCAGCCAGGGCTCCTCGGCAGTAGATGGCTCGGCACTGAAGCTGTGACTGCCCGGATTTCCAAACATGCTCCACGTCGCCCACCCGTTCTCGAATCCAGCAAAAAGGCAGTATCCATCCGGAGAGTAGCCGAGGCTCGTCAGGGCACCGGCGGTCGATGTCGAGGCGGGAATGACTTGGCTGTGCGACAGTGTAATGTTGCCGGAATAGTCTCGGACCGAGTATGCCTGGACGGTTCCGTCACTGCAGCCAACAGCAATGAGGGAGAAACGGGCGTTGATGACAGCATGGACGGCATGCCCGCGGCCTCCCTCTGGTGTATGAAAGCAGTGGCCCTTGAACAGCTTCTTGGGGTCGTCGTCTTGGGGCGTGCTCTTGTGTCGTTGCACGGCGTACACTCGGCCATCGCTCGTAATCCAGGTGAAAAGATTCATTGGCCGATCATATGTCATCTCGGTTATGCACGCCTTCTTTTCAATCCAGCCCATGCGACTCAATATTTCGGTGCGCGTCTGGTTGCCTGTGCTGTCTGGCGTCCACCGTATGCATTGGACGGCAGCAGGCTTGGTAGTCGCAACAATCAATTCGTCGTCCAGGGCCAGGGCAGATTCGATGCCGGCATCAACCTTGATGACCATGCGAAACCGCACACTGACGTCCAACACGCCGGTGCCTTCGCCAGGACCCCACAGGTACTGCTCCGGGCGCAGCCCAGTCTGCGGGCCGACCAAGCTCTGGCGGCGTCGCTGCACGTTGTGGTAATTGGGGAAATGTGATTTGTACACGCGCGACTCGCCATCGGTGGCGATTGAGTAGGTGATGAGGTACCCCTCGCTGGTGCGCACGACGAGGATGGCAGAATCGGGTCGGAGAAGGAGGTCGACATTTCGGCCGTACAGCTGGAGGGAGGATTGCGATCGGACAACGACGGCTAGGACCACGGTAGGCTAAATCACGTCGCGTTAGAGAGGACGATTGAGGGACCTCCGGAGGACGTACCTTGGTCTGCCACAGGGTAATCGAGGTGGCGGTGATGACGGCAAACATGTTGCCGGAGCGCGAGACGCGGAGCGCCAGGACCGGGTCGTGTAGAGGTATCGTGGGCTCTTCATCCTGTGAGAGCGGCTCGGATGGTCCGTCAGCAACCTCGACCGACTTGATGGCAGGCGTCGCGGGCGTCGCGGGCGTCACAGGGGGCGTCGCATCGGTGCCGTTGTCCTCGTGGGCTGGCTCGGGCGCCGTCTCGTCAGTGCCAAAGACGCCATCGTGCGAGACGTACAGACGGGATCCGGACGCGCGATTGCTACTTGTAGCGTAGATGCGCGGCGTTCCAATAGGCCAGTACATAGCGACAGCCTCGAGGGTGCTATGAGGAGTAGCGAGTTGGCTTCCGAGAGTGGACTCATTCATGTGAACCAAGTTGGAGTTGTAGCTGGGCTTACATAAGGCAGCCGTTGGAAAACTTCAAGGACAAGATGGCTATGCTCAGTATTTTGCTCATTTTTTACTTGATCAGTAGTATTGAATTCGGGGTTCGAGATTGATTTAATTGTTGATGGCTGCGGTGAGGGTGCTAAAAGTACAGTGCCCGTCACACTCTACACTCTGGTCAATGGGCATCATGGCCGTGACGGACAGGTGTTCTGGCGGGGTTGCGGCCATTTCCAGCTACAATGGAAGGAAGTTGCTTTATTTAGTATAGAGCAACACCAAGATCGTATCCCTATATAGGTGATTAAAGAAAAGTGATTTCGTTTCGTGGCTGGCAAGCAATGAAGACGATTTGTAAGTAATGACTACGTAGGAAGACAAGACAAGCCCACCGGTTAGTAATACTATAATCTTGTATTCTTTTTATGTTCTGAACTTTTCCATGTCGTTTTATGTACCCTTCTTTTCTCATCGACGGAAATCATAATCTGGATTATTGACTTTGGTGGTGGGAGGCTGGCAGGCACCGTGGATGGTCATCTCGCGGCCCTTGCGAACATGGTAGATCATGTCCAACGTTCCGTGTAAAGAAGCCGTCCCTATACATGCTGTGAAGTACGCAGTTGCTCGTACGCAGCGCTGGGCGATAATAGGGTGGGAGCCGGCTCCCCGCACGAGATACAGCGATGACACAGCTTCCTCAAGGCTATAAAACCGGTTCTCTCCCGAGACACTGGACAAGAACAAATTGCACACAATAGTTATCCCTCCATCTCGATCCAAAGCTTGCCACTCCCCCAAAAAAAACCTTCACTCGTACAAGATCTTTCCCGTTTTCACTGGCCATGGCCAGTCTCTGGCGCCGGGCGCCCGGAAAGGCCGTCCTATACTTGACCGACGTCGTCTCAGCGACAGCCCTAATTTTCGAAGGCATCTACACATATACACGTCTTCAGCCCTCAAACACGACTGCATGTTAACAAGCAGGCAGGCTATAATCAGGGTGTCATGGGCACCGTCAGCTCAACCCCCGGCTTCATCGAAATGGCCCAGATCGGCTCCGACGGCGTCGTCACCCATTCCGTCAAGCAAGGCGGTCTCATTGCCGCCTACTATTTCGGCGCCATGTGTGCCTGTTTTCTCGGCGGTCAGTTTTTTTCGTTTTCCACCTTATGTGCTCATCACTTTGGCAGGATGGATCGGTGACAGGATCGGCCGTAAGCGCGGCACGCTCGTCGGCGTGCTCCTCGGAATCACGGGCGCGGGCCTCATGGCCGGCAGCAGCAGCGCGAGCATGTTTCTCTGCGCGCGCGTCGTCGCCGGCCTGGGCGTCGGCTTCGTCAGCGTCACCGTGCTGCCGTGGGTCAGCGAGCTCTCGGCCGCGCACGACCGCGGCGCCGCCTTCTCGCTCGTCTTTACCGCCAACTTTGCCGGCATCGCCGCGGCGAGCTGGCTCAACTTTGGCGTGCGCGACACGGGCCGCGCGTTTCGCTGGCGCTTCCCCTTGGCGTTTATGGCGAGCCCGCTGCTCCTTGTCGCCGCTGCGCTGTTCTTCTTGCCCGAGTCGCCGAGGTAAGGCGCAATTATTTTCCCCAGTGATTGATATCTTGGTCAACAAGACTTGGTGTGCTGACTTTGCTTCTTCGGGTGGCTCATGTCCAACGGACGACGCCGAGAAGCGGTAGAGATTCTCTGCAAAATCAGACGAGACCTGTCGCCGGCCGATCCCGCCATCGTGACGGAGCTTGCCCACCTGGACGCCACATTTGCCCATGGCCGTCAACCGGGCGCGTTTCTCAATCTGCTGCTCGGCGGCGGGCGCTCGGGCAGGCTGCACCTCGGGCGGCGGGCGGTCATGGGCTGCGCGCTCCAGTGGATGCAGCAGTGGACGGGCATCCTCGCCATTGTCGGCTGGACGGGCGAGCTGTTCCGCCTCGCCGGGTTCGACGCCTACAAGTCGCTCTGGCTCGCCGGCCTCGTCAACACGCTTGGAGTTCCCGGAACGGCAGCGGCCGCTCTCGTCATTGACCGCATGGGACGGGTCGGGTCCCTCATGGTCTCATTCATCACGCAGGGTATCGCCCCGTTTCTGGTGGCCGCCTTTGTCAAGACATCCCAGGACGCCGTGGCCACGGACCCGGCCACGTCTGTACAGCTTGGCACCGCTGCGGCGTCGTTTGTGTTTGTGTACATTTGGTACGTTGGTGAGAAAGCCATGTTGCTTCTGTTTGGCTGACCTGATTTGCAGGTTCTTCACCATGTTCAACATCGTGCCATGCTGGATCTATGGTACCGAGATTTGGCCTCAGGAGATGCGCGCCACAGGGTACAGCTTCACCATATTTGGCTGGGCCGCTGGGTGCGGCATGACGCAGTTTGTGATTCTCATCATGCTCCTGAAGCTCGGCTACAAGACCTACCTCTTCTTTGGCGTCATGAATATTGCGGCAATGCCAATCGTGTGGTACCTGTATCCCGAGGTCGCGAAACGGTCCCTCGAGGAGATGAGTCTCTTGTTTACGAGCGACAGCCTCTTGGTAAGCGAAAACATAAAGGCATACCATCAGCGCGTGGCGGCCGCCGGAGGTGATGTCGCAGTCGCTTCCAGACGCTTGCTGGACGAAGTCCAAGGCAGCGACAAGGAAGCTCAGAGGACTGACAAAAGCCCTGCGAGATGAATCTGTGGGACAGGCACAGTACGAGGCGAGAACTCGCGGCCTGTCACTTCGAGACAATTTTCCGACTTGAGTCGCTGACGGAAGCCATGTTTGCTTGATGGGAGCAGAGACTACGTGCTGAGGCAAACAGGCAATAGGTCGGCATTGGAATAAGAATCATCCACACAAGTCACCAGGCGTCAGACATGTTTTGACCTATCTACACAGATATTCAAACTCCTGTCTAGTACACCCGCATTCAAACTTCTGGCATGTCAGACTCAATCATGCCTCACGCGAGACTTGTCATACTTGATACCTTGAGCTAGCCCATCATGCACCATAGCTCACAAGAACAGCTAACTTGATTCATCACTTCCTAGTTGCATGGCTAGGTATTCCAATGCAGTCGCGATTCCATCTTCATACAAAATACTTTCATTGACCTTATATACTATACATGAGCAGTTTCACCACAATCTATCAACTACCACGCATCACCCCATCACATCACATGCTACAAGTCGCCAAACTGACATTAAACAAACGCCGCAGACCATTCCGGTGTGCCTGCGTCTGGTGTTCGCTTAGTCTTTCGACTATTCAGAAACAACTCCACCATTCTCTGGCTGCCCAAGGCTTGAGCATCCAGCCCTCTCCTAAAGTGGCAGTCATCAAATGATGTCGCCTCTCGTACCGTCTTGCTCGGCACCGAGTCTTCTCCACCGCGGATGCTGCGACGTCGAGGTGATCCTGTGGCCACTGTTCCAAACTGTCGTCTGACCGCCGCACTCAGGCCGGGGCTCGACTTGAGCGACGACGCCGCTCCCGAATTAAAGTACGCCTTTTTGGCTCTGCTAGGAGACTCTGTCAAAGCAGATGGGCTGGCCTTTTGCTTTTGCGGTGTCATGCTCGCTTTGCATGCTGTCTCATACCCCTCCTTCGCTCTGACATTGGGAAGCGATGAAACGCTTCGAATCGTCATTCCCGTCTTGTTTTCAATCTTTTCCGTCTTCTTAGTATGGTATTCCGGTGGTGCATTTTCATCATGCGTGAGCAGCGGGTGGCCGTGATACGTGGCGCCGTCTTCAATGACAATGCTCTGTGTTGCGGGTAGAGCAAGCGTATCAGGAGCCCCAGCCCGACTATGCTGAATGCTTTCCTTGTCCAAGTCGCTTGCATCTGAAGGAATACTGTTTGGTTCAATCTCTGTATCCTCGCGAACATGGCCCATGGTGAACCAGGGGTTCCATGTCTGCTCGTCGCTGAGAGCCTTGGAAGATTGACCGCAGTCTTCCAGCTTTGACACCTTGGCGCTCAGCCAAGTCTTCCATTCGACAGAGCTCGCAGTAGACACTTGTCGCTCATGCGTCTGCTCCGCATCGTCGGCAACCGTACGTACTCGCTCCTGAGTTTGCGGTGAACTTGGCATAATCCTATCAAATACGCCCACGTCATATCGAGTCTCTATATTCTTGCCTCTTTCCGGACTGTCTGAAAAGTTGGAGTAGACGCTTTCCGCCGAAGACAGGCGAGCGTCCCGCTCTGATCCGTTCGGGCTCGATCGACGAGTGGGAAGGCTCAGCGCGGACAACGAGCTCAGGTATCGCAGGTTGGCTGGTTTGATGCTTGATGAGCGCTCTTGTACTCTCATACTCTTGCGAAGAGCCTTACGATACGGGCTCTGTGTTCTGAATAAGTGACTTGCGGGGCTTGTGAGGCCACTGTTTGTTGCACTGGAAAATCGCACTCCCTCCGTGTCGTCCTCTTGGGCCATTTCAGTTGATGATCCGGCATATATGGCGGTATCAATGCTGACAATAGGTTGAACAATTCCACTGCTACAAGCATCCGTCAAACCTCCTTCACGAAGTGATGCTTCCCGACTCTGCTGCTTTTGCATGTCATCGAGTCTCTGTACAAGTGCAGAGTAGGCACGTTCCTCATCTGCAGACGAGCGCCATCGTTCCAGATTTGATACAGCATACCCACCTTCGTCAATGACAGAAAGCCTCTGCGGCTCCCAATCAGCATCCATTGTGCCGCTCACCACTGTGTGCGTGCTGGAGTTTGTCCAACTGGTGACTCGTGATCTTTCTCCATCCGTTTGCTGCGTTCCGTCTTCCACCACCTCAAGACTTCCCTGTCGAGCTTGTAGACAGTGCTCAGACGCAACAGACCGCAGCGATGGAACGTATGATTTGACTCTCGACACGCAAGTCTCCTCTTGAAGCGACAGTTTTGAGCGGTGAACACTGCTCGATTCCGTAGTATTGGACGCTTCGGTCCCATCCATTTTCTTTGGTCGAGTAAAAATACCTCGAAACGTACTCTTGACACTTTTGGAAACTTTCCTGGCGGCGTTACGAAAACCGGAAGCCTTGGACAACGATGAGGCGGTAGAGGAAACTGTTGCAGAGATAGGCATGCTATTATTGCTACTGTTTCTCATGGATGTTTTTATATCCGTCAAACTCGCATTTCGTTTATTCTTTGACTTGAAAAACATCGACGGACGACTTTTCAGACGCAGGCTACCTCGTAGGGACAGTTTGCTGGGGGATGTCGAGGTAGTGCTTTCTTCTTGTCGGCGCATCGATGGGCCTCTTCTCAAGAAGCTCGTGGACTTCGGGCTTCTCAATGAGTTTTTGGCCGTTCCGATACTTGTATGTTTGACTGGACCATGCGAGGTCCAGCCGCTCCTCGTAGTCGCTGCACTCTCTGAATGGCATTCAGACGACATGAATGAGCCAGTGAACATGGATCGCGATTTTCGTAGCTTCTGTCGCCGAACTGGGTAAAATGAGGATTCCGATTCGCATATAGTCGCTTCCTGTCTGGGATCGAGGTCTAGTGAACGATCGAGCCAAAAGTCGTCATATGTGCCGTCAGCCAGAGGTGAGCTCCTGGGCAGGCGCCCACCCAACGCGCGCGAGTGTATCCGCCCAGATATATCGGAATGATCGGTCCAGCTTTCATTGGCACGTATTGCGATATCTCTCTTCTTCCTTGCAGTCGGACCAGTGAACCGTACGCTTCTCTGTCGATACAGGCTGCTGTCTGCCTTTTCCGTCGGGACCGCGCTCTTGAAACCGTTGTAAGATATGACATCAGGCCCATGCAGGAAACTAGCGCTTCTCGTTAATCCATACCCAGAGGCGGACCCAGGTATGCCTATGGAGTTGGATTTTTCAGATTCTTCTCGCGCTTTTGTAAAGGATACTCGTGCTGCGATGTGCGCATCTCGATTGCCCGTGTGCGGTTCGAGCCGGACAAGGCCGCGGTGATGATTTGTAGCAACCGAGCCTGTCGACTTGCTCCTGCGTAGAGATGCACGATGTTCAAGTCTGTAATTATTTCGTCGGAACATGGCGATGACCCCGCATGTAATAGAATATGATTGTCCGGGGCTTCAAACAGACGGCGGAGATGGACGGCCGATATCAAACGAGCGACAATTATAACCCAGCAATAAAATTAGATGGTACAGCGCCCCTTGAATCATGAATATCACGCCTCACGGATTGGAGATGAGCATTGCAACAGTGTAGGAAGCATTGGGCACAGCAAGGAGCGTCTTGTCGACAGCTGGCTGGTGAATAAGGAAGGTGCGTACTGGATCCGATCCAAGGCAACCCCAAGTCAACCGGCAACGGATAGAGGTCGAGTCAACATGGTCACCAGTCACTGCAAAATGAGTCGAGGACAAGTTTAAAATAAATGTATATCATCTGAGCTAGTGTCCTCATCCATGCATTGTGCTCACTGGTGTAGTCTTCCCAGAAGTAAAGTCAATCCAACCGAAAACAAGAACAAAAACAAAAACAAAACAGCGAAACACCATATGATTTAGCAGTTTACATTTCAATCACAATAACAGTAGGAAATACCCCCGAGGCCACAACGTTGTACAGCGACCCGGAAGAGGAATATGTTCGCATAATCAGACGAGTTTACTCCATGTGGGAGAGGAAGTCCTTGACCTCAGCATCCACAATATGCTGAATCTTCTTGGCAAACTTCTCAGCCTTGCCGCCGAAAGACTTGGCAGACTTGGTGATCTCGCCAGAGACAACGTCAAACTCGTGCTGGATCTTGGTGTGAATGTTCTCTGTCTTGGACGAGGTGCGCTTGGCGTCGTACGCGCCAGCCTCGACAATCTTCTTGTAGTCGCTGCAGCCGGCACCGTTCCAGGCAAGGACGTTGGGGGTGTCATTGTCAATGTCGCTCAGGATGTTCTTGGTACCAATGCTGATGAGGTTATCCTTGAGCTCAGCGGGGGTGATGGAAGCAACAGCGTACTCAGAGTCGGAAGCAGGCTGAAGGGAGAGGTAATAGGCGAGGAGACCGCAGATGTGGGGAGAGGCCATCGAGGTACCAGAGATGGTGTTGATGGCATACTTGGAGCCGATCCAGGTGGACTGAATGTTCAGGCCAGGGGCAAAGATGTCGGTGCACTTGCCGTAGTTGGAGAAGTAGGCACGGCTGTCGTCGATGGCGGAGGCACCGACAGTGACGGCCTTCTTAGCAGCGGCAGGAGAGTAGTTACAGGCATCGGCGTTATCGTTACCAGCAGCAACGGCAAAGTGAAGGCCCTTGGAGACGGCAGCATCGACAGCCTGGTCAAGGAGAGTAGTCTTGCCACCGCCGAGGGACATGTTGGCGACGGAGCCCTTGAAGCCCTTGCGCTTGCCATCCTTGGCCTTCTTGACCTGCTCCGCGTGCGAACTGGCAGCCCAGTCGACGCCCTTGATGACATCCGACATAGTGCCCGAGCCGTTAGAGCGGAGAACCTTGACGGCATAGACGTTGGCCTTCTTGGCAACACCATACTTCTTACCAGCGATGGTACCGGAGCAGTGAGTGCCGTGACCGTTGCCATCCTCGTCAGCGTCACCTTCGGGAGCAGTGTAACCCCACTGGGCACGACCCTCAAAGTCGACGTGTTCGGTGTTGGTACCAGTATCAATAACGTAGGCATCAACACCCTCACCACCATCCTCGGCGTAAAGGTACTTGTTGAAGGTGCCGAAGCCCAGAGTCTGGCGGTGGGAGATACGGGCAAGACCCCAAGGAGCCTGCTTTTCTGTCTCGGGGCTGCAAGTGTCCTGAGTGACAGTGTCCTTGACGGTAATGGGAACCATGGTGTGGACGATGGAGTCACGCTCGATGGCCTCGACCTAGATGCAGTGTCAGACGATGACTCTTGATGGAGATGGGGGAAATACGTACGTCGGGGTGGTTGCGGATCTGCTCAATGACGGCGTCGTCAAAGTGACCAGAGTAACCGCGGAAGGCAGAGCCGAGATCGAAGCTGTGCTTCACGCCGGCGAAGGCATCCTCGGCCGAGTCAAAGATGCCACGCTTGCGGAGCTCAAGGCGCTGCTGTTGGCCATCACCGTGTATATCCGAGACCCAGGCGTGGTGAGACTTGACCTTGGGCTCATCAACGTGCTCCTTGAACTTGATGATGTAGGCACCAGGAATGGTGTTGGCATGGGTGGCATCGAGGATCGGGGCAGAATCGTGGTGAATGGTACCAATCTTGAAGGACGAGGCCTGGGCGATGGCAGCCACGGAGAGGGCGGCGACAGCGGACTTCATGGCGAAGGGTGCGGTGCGCTAAAGTGTAGAGTGGATGACGCGGGCCTGCCTGCGAAAGGTGATGTCTTGAGATTATCAGAAAATCTAAAGAAGCAAAGAAAGATGACGAAGGAGGATGCTGGAGGTTGGGGGAAGCCAGCAAGATGAAGAGCAGAGGAGAGAGATGATGGAGGAAGAGGAATGATGAGGAAGAAGCGGAGGACGATGACGAGCGCGGTGCTCCGAGGAGTTGATAAGGGCGGAGCTTGATGGTACGGCTGGGTAGGGCGGTACCTGAGCTTTGGTGTACGAATGGTAGTAAGATAAAGTTCCCGGCCTGGGTACAATGGAGCCCCAGGCAGCGCTGGCTGCGCGCGTGACGCAGGCCCCAGCCGTAGTTAGCACCTCTAGTAGGTTTGCAAGTTTGGGGACCTTTTGGGCCGATTATGGTGCTGCTAGCGCCTGGAAGCAGACTCACAAGGGCTCCCTCCCCCGCACCTTGTCACGGAAGTCCAGCCCGTTCCTGGGGCGATGCGATATGGTAGTGCCTGGTACTTGATACCTTTAGCTCCGCATGATTTGGTGGTGCTCCCGAGGTAGATATTACATGATTCAGCCGCAAGCGTGCACTCAGGCCCGTCACCTGGCCACAGTGAGACAAGGCCTGGTGCAGGTACCCCAGCCGTGACGCCGCTTTAACAGGGCTTGGCCGGGAGTGCTACCCGCAGGTCACACGGCAACATGGAAGGCAGTGAGGCGCTGCATGACAATGTACTTTTAATTATGGCGTAAAAGCGATTGAAACAACAGGATCACTAGCCGCAGAGAGTATCGAATAAAAAGTAACTAACAATAAAATAAGCCTTTCCTTTTCAAAGACATCCGCGCCACTACTCAAGGCTGGCTCGGATGTCACTTTGACGCCGGCGCTGCGCACCCAATGTGCAATGTGGCAACATGCTCACGCCTGAAACTTTGAGTGTCCGGTCTCGGCTCGCGGGCGGTCCTGTCTTCTGCGGCCCGTCTGAATCATCAGGCGTCGTATTTTTATTAAAAAGGTATATTCTTATTAGTTATAGTTACATACGTAAAATTATTTTCCACCCACCACCCTGGTTTATTATCATGCCAGATCTGCATGACATGATGCTTCTGCCCGCAAGGCACCAGTGGTCGGAACAAAGGGAGCTCGAGGCCAGGTTATAGCAGCGACGGGACTAATCAGATGGAGTGACTATCGCAGCACTGTACTTCCTCGTAGGCCGCCTAACAGAATGCCATACTGAATCCCACGGTATCGAGTTAGTGTAGACCTGGGTACCTTGCAATTTGTTGCCCTGGAGAATCGCTTTGTCCCAATCATCGGTGGCGTGTTCCTGGCGTACCGACAACAACGACAGAGCAAACGAGCGCCCAGCCATGCGATAGGGCGACATCCTCGATCACGACAGGCGCCTATCGGCAGTGTCATACATTTCCAGCCGACCCCGTACATGCCGACTCAAACTACGCCATCCTGACCTTTCATCCGGCCAGCTGGCCGGCGCTTGCTCAGCATGTCGGCCAACTACTGGGACTCGACGCAGCGGCGGTACTGGCTCTTCACCAAGGACCAATTGAACACGATGCGCACCAAGCTCGAGCAAGACAACATTGACCTCGTGCGCATGTTTCCCCTGTCCCAACCCAGGCACCTCGCCATCTTCTTCAACCAGCGTGCGCTTCTTCCCTCCCACTTGCTCGAACCGCCCCCACCCTTGCTGACCCCTTCCCAGAGCTCATCCGCCTCGGCAAGCGCCTCACGATCCGCCAGCAGGCCATGGCCACGGCCCAGGTCTACCTCAAGCGCTTCTACTCACACGTCGAGATCCGCCGCACGAACCCATACCTCGTCATCACCACGGCCATCTACCTCGCCTGCAAGATGGAGGAGTCGCCGCAGCATATCCGTCTTATCGTGACGGAAGCGCGGCAGCTGTGGCAGGACTTTATCGGCCTCGACACCTCGCGCATCGGCGAGTGCGAGTTCTTCCTCATCTCCGAGATGAGCTCCCAGCTCATCGTCCACCAGCCCTACCGCTCCCTCACCTCGCTCCGCAGTGAGCTGGCCCTCGTCGACGAGGACGTCCAGCTCGCCAAGTCGGTCATCAACGATCACTACATGACCGACCTGCCGGTGCTGTTCCCCCCGCACATCATCGCCCTCGTCGCCGTCCTGCTCGCCCTCGTCCTGCGGCCCAATTCGGTGACCCCCGGCCAGCAGGGCGCCGGTGCGGCCGCCGCGGCGGGACTAGCGGCCGCGCAGGCCGCGCTCAGCCACGCGCAGGGTGGCCTCTTTACACCAGCTGGTTCCATGGCCGGGCTGCCACTGCCGTTGTCGTCGGCGGTCTCGGGACTCGAAGCACGCGAGAAGCAGCAGGAGGCGCGTATCACGCGCGTTCAGCACTTTGCGGCGTGGCTGGCCGAGAGCACGGTCGACATTTCATCCATGGTGGACGCCACGCAGGAAATTATCTCGTTTTACGAGTGCTATGAAAAGTACAATGAAAAGCTAACGAGGGAGCAAATCAACCGATTCGTCAAGGCGGGCAGCTTAGACCGATAGACCAGCATGTAGTTGTACGATTGTGTTCGAGGCATATGATACCAGGGGTCACGGCGTCATGGCGTTTAACTTTATGCTATTGTTTTAGATGCTAGAAATGAACTTTCATGTATCCGTTACTGCCTATACCTTTCCATGCAGAATACGCCCAGTCAAATGGCAGCAGCATGTGTGAGAGAGTGCATATATATCTCTTATATGTCATGGTATTGCCGACTTGGTCTGTTTACATCTGGCATCAGCGCACATATAAGTTACCTGTTTGGAGCAGACAATTGCTTCCCAGGGCTAGGTGGTCGGTCTGCTCTTCGATTCTGGTGCCGAGCGGACGACAGCGCACACGACGCAGGCTCACACTTATTTACAGCCATCAACGTACAGTCATCGCAAAGGCAGTATGGATTTCTAGTTTCTTATCTCGCCTGCTAGTTGTAGCTGTAGTTGCGGCTGTGCTGTCCGTCGCCTGTGACGAGGACTACGCCGAGTTTCACTATGCGCTCTTGTAGCACAGCCCTAGGAGGCTGGTGGCCGCTGGCTAGTGATGATGACTGCATGTCAGCCTCTTGCGCCCTTGTTTGCTCAACATTCTGCTTTCAGCCATTATTATCATCATTTCCAACAAGACTCTCATCCTATTCTGTACTATTTCATGAAGCATTCATCTCTTTTTTTCCACTGCTACGTAGCATTCCCATGTGGCAGCCAGGCGATCCCCAGCGTATTTTTAGCCGGTCACCAAGTTCCCTGCCTCTCGTGAATTATGTCACAACACTGCCCCTGGGCACGTGCCGCTGGCACACTCTCAGTCAGTCTGATCCGACTGTCTTGCATTGATTGGGAGACTTGCTAGCCGGACTGTCCACGTGACCGCTGAGCATTATTATTATTATTATTGATATACAATATTGTTATAGGTGAGATGGAGGTAGTTACCTTACAATCCCGTACCTAGTTACTTGATTAACTTCCGCGCCACATAGCAACACTTCAAAAAAGGCTCATTAAATCAATTATATGTTAGTGAAACAGGTAGTCGCGAAATTTCCTCGGCTTTTTATAGTCACTTATGGTGGCGGAAATAGAACTCAAGTTGTGGCCCCAACTGGCATTACATAGTGACGATAGAGGATATAACTGTATCTACCTGTCCCTGGTACCGAGTCATATATCTCCAAGAGTAGACCACAGGAGATAATCGCGCAGGCGAAAAAAATAACAACAGGTGCATGCCTATCACATCACAGAAACCCACCATGTTTTTCTTGAAAATTGACAGAGGTGAGGCTTCAGCTGACTCCAGAGCTGTTGTCCTAGCCAGCACAACTACGTACCTAGCTACCCTGTATAGCTTCTCAGAGAACATCTCCTACAAACGCCGTCCATATCGTGAACCACGGACCGACAAAAATCAAGCGAAGGCCTCTTCCAGTCCAAAACACCATGCCACATCTTGTGCACTTTTTAGTTCTCGCTCCTTGAACTGTTTCACCCTGAACTCTGCTCAGCGCTCAGCCTCATTGTGGGCTGGCCTACATACCTAGCAGGCAACTGGACACTGCTGACAGATGATAGGCCTTGTCCTGGCCGTGTGGTGCCACGACACTACGTCAGGTAGGTAGGTACCTATGTAGGTAGTAACTAGCTCCATCGGCCTCGAATCGTGCTGCCCTGCAAAGCTGCAAAATCCATGGTACGCGGCAATCCTGCTTTTCCCAGAGGTCTTTTGATGCCGCAATTTAGATTGTCAAACGCACTGGTACCTCCCATTCGACAAGCCAAAAAATCTCTCGGTGCCGCCAATCTTGGCAACCTCCCATATCAAAAGAACTCAATTGTGCCCCGCGCCACCAAGCTAACGCGACCACGACACCAATTCCCTTCCTCTCTCGTCCCGGGCAGCTCCATGCAGCCATCGCCACCGCATTTCCTAGGCCCGTGAGGGGGTCATGGGACGTATGATCTGGGAGGCACTGAGACAGACCTGCAGACTCCCGCCATCATGTCGACGAGTACAAGACGATACCGCTCCTCGACCTCCGCGTCTACCCCGGCAGCGGCCAACCAAAAATCCATCCAAATCCTGCGAGTCCTCCTCGACGGCTTAGCCAGTCAGACCAATGCGTCTGCAGGCAATGGGTACCCCGAAATACTCAAGCTTACCATCAGCCTCCGAGAGGTCGCAGACTACATCTCGGCTTCAAACACCATTTCCCAACAGGATGCCTTCCGGCTTGCCGGCGGCTTCGAGGCCGTCCTGAATATCTTGCGGAGCTTCTCCGGATTTTACGACCCCGAGAAACGCTCCAACAAAGAAATGGTCACGCTATTTCAATTGCTCGGCGCTACGCTCGACGTCTTCGCCGCCGCCCTTCTCAGCCACTCTGGCAACAAGCGCTTCTTCAAGTTCCGTGTCGAGGGCGGTGGATGGGAGGCCCTAGAGCAAGCCATTGCCAGTATCGGCCTTGGCGGCATCGAGCCCAACCCCTGGGTCAGCTGCCATGTTTTTGGCAAGCTCTTCGCCTTTTCCCTCGGCGACGATGCCATCGATCTCCTCTTCCAATCCATTGCCGAAACCCTGCGCCATGATAACGAACGAACCGCCGACAATGCCGACGAGGCGGAACCTGATGAACAGTGGGATCTTGTGCTCGCCAAGTCCATGGAGTCTATAGGTCCCAAGGTCCGCGAATTGGTGCAAAGTACGACCCGGGTCCAATATCCAGAGATGCTCCGTGCCATTGTGAGCTTTTGGTCCTCTCTCCCCCGGGACGACGATGCCGCCGCCACTCCGGCGTCCCTCCTGGTCCTCGAAACCATTCTCCGTGCTGCCGAGGTGCTGACGTATAACTGTGCCGCGATTCACTCCACTGGTGTCATGTCCCAATTTCTACGTGTTGCCTTCTCCCCGAACACGCCCCTTTCCGATTCTGAACGCAAAAAGATACTGGACATTTGCCGCCGGCTCATGTTCTTTGGTGTTGACAAGCCTGCTGACACGCAATTTCTTCTCTCTGTGCCTGGATCCGAAGCTTCGGAATTCTGCCTCGAAATGATGGGCAAATACCACGGCCCTGCCTTTTTCAATTTCGACCTTTCGCTGCATGGTCATTCATCCCTCGAACTTCCAAGTCTTGGACGCCCCTTCCCGCCACAATCATCCCCTGGCTACACATTTACGGCATGGATATGTATTGATCATTTCGACCCGTCCACCCATACTACTCTATTCGGTGCCTTTGATGCTTCTCAAACGTGCTTCGTGCTCATGTATCTGGAGAGGGATACGCACAACTTTATCCTACAGACGTCTGTATTCTCCAATAAACCTAGCATCCGCTTCAAATCTACCGAATTTCGGGAGAAGAAATGGTATCATATAGCCATTGTCCACAAGCGGCCAAAGACCATGACAGCTAGCCGCGCTGCCTTGTACGTCAATGGCGAATTCTGCGAGCAAATGCGATGCAACTACCCCCTGACGCCGCCACTTTCCAACAACACCAACGAAAGTTTTGCCTCTTTTAATTCTGGGCAGAACAAAACCAATCCCGTACAAGCTTTCATCGGAACACCGAGGGAGCTCTCGGGCCAACTTGGCACAGGCGTTGTGTCATCCCGATGGTCGTTGGCATCTGCACATCTGTTTGAAGATGTACTCGGTGACGACTTCCTGGCTGTTCATTATGGCCTCGGTCCTCATTATCACGGCAACTTCCAAGACGCGTTGGGCGAGTTTCAGACCTACGAGGCATCCGCTCAACTGGGTCTCCGCAACGAGATTGCCCATCCTGGAAAAGACGAAAGCTCCGACATCCTTAAAGCTGTCCGAGACAAGGCGAGTGTAATACTGCCAGAATCGAAAGTCTTGCTTAGCATCCTTCCGTCTGCAACTCTTCCAGAAAACGTTCAATTTCAGGACACAGGTCTCCTGCGCTCGCTGCCACGCTCCGCTGCCCGTGCTCTTTTCATGGCTTCCAATAAAGATGGTGCTCCTTTAGCCATCAATTCTGCCGTTCCCAACATCGCCGATGCCCTGTTCAAGCCCCAAGGCATTGCGTCCTTCCGGGGCAGTCCGACAATCGCACTCCCATCGTACCTGGACGAGAATCTTTGGCGCCTTGCTGGATTTACCTCGTTGGCGTTGAAGTTGTTAGAAAGGGCCACGTCGGTCGATGAGACCGTGCGATCGCTGGAAATAATGTTTCACTGTATTCGTACAAGCTGGAGAAACAGCGATGCAATGGAGCGTGGTAAGGGCTACAATATCCTTGCCATGCTGCTACGATACAAAATGGGATATACTGCTGGATTGATTACTGAAAACTTTGCTATCAAGCTGCATCTTTCCCCCGAGGAACGCGACAGCCTGGCATTTAGAGTTTTGAGCCTGGTACTTGGATTCGTGGGCTACAACCACGAGAATCCCCTGGACTCGCTGATTATCAACGCACTTGCCTATCGCATATTGCTCATCGATCTGGACCTCTGGCGAAAATCTGCACCTCGCATCCAAGAATTATACTACAAACAATTCGTCACGTTTGCTGTTAATAGCAAGCATCATGAATTTAACAGCAGGAGACTGATACGGGTGCGGATTGTAAAACGTCTTCTAGACGCAATGAAGGGTGAAGCTATTCCAGAAGAGGTTCTACCCCATTTCATGCAAACGTTTGAAGTGCTGGTCAAGTCAAACCTGAGCCCTGAGGTCATGCGGTCGCTCTCACTCTTCATCACATACGCGTTCCATGTCCCGAGCCCCTCAATGTCTAGGACACCGCGCCCACTTTCCTCGATTTCCAGACCAACAACACCAAACTTGATGAGGCGGCAAACTGGCGATGGTAGTGGTGCCAGTAGTCCACTTCCTGGAGTCAAATATCTCACCAAGAAACAACTCGGTGCCGGAGTGCTCGGTATTTACTCCCGCATCCTTTGTGAGAAAGGAAATCTCAACTACATTCGCAAATTTGCCAAGACAGTCACAAACAAGTGGCTCCTCTATTTGCTTGCTGAAAACGATAAGGACATTCTTCTGCAGGGGGCGACTATCCTCTCCAGGCTCCTGGTTGGTCATGGCTCGGCGTACACTTCAAAATTCGCCAACAAGTCTGCAGGATTCGCAATCATGGCGAACCGATTAAAGCGCTTTTGGTACAGCGCTGCACTTTGGCCCGTTGTTCTAAGCCTCTTGTTTGGTGTCGATGTGGCCGACCTTGACACGGATCGATGGCTCGATACGGGCTATCTGTTGAGCATCTTTGGTGGCCGCAAGGTGGTCTATCCTGATGCCTCTGTTATCATCATATCTATGCTCCAGCATGGTCTGAACGATGTTCTCAAGCAAGACAATGGTGTATCAGAATCCAGTCTCGGCCGCGAACCTCGACCGACACTATCGGCCGAGTCCGCAAAAACGGATACAGACGAGATGACAGGATCTTTCCAAACTCGAATGACTTTAAGACAACATGCAGACCCCATTCTCTTGAAAAAGATGGTCCAGCTATTCCATGAGCTCTACGAAAAATCAGCTGATTTCAGAGACTTTGCCTTGACATCGGACTGGGTTAGGCTCATTCTCTCTATGCTTTACCCGGTTGTTGTCAGCAGCGATGCGGTGACGCCAGATGTCGAATTGCACTCTCGAGACTCGACTTTGAACTTTGAAGGCTGTGATGTCATCATTCGGCCAATAGGATTAGCCTCCGGACGGCCCGCGCCAATCGTACGAACCACCAGTGTCGATTTGAGTGTAACACCCCAGTCAACGCCTCCCAAAGGAACTCTTCTCAAACGAGCATCTTCCTTCGTTCTCCTCACTACACAAAGTGCTCCAGAAGATGAAAAAAAGAACGACTCCATGTCGCGTCCACTGAGCAGTAACGGTCAATCCGATGCCCTTATTGAAAGCGTACTCGGGCTTCCGATCGGCGTATTCATGGACCAAATCTTCAAGCGCAAGGAATTCTCAGGGTTTGGGCTCTTCACAAAGGTGCCGCCTGGGTTCCAAGAGCATCAAGCGTATTTTGAATCCTTTGTCCTAAAGAAAATCGTCACAAATTCAACAGAACTCTTCATGTCCAACCAAGCCATGTTGTGCGAGCCTAAGTTGATCACCAACATGGCGCGGCTTTGTCTACATTTAACAGAGGCCGTTTTCGAAGGATGGTTCATCGATGGCGCCGAGGTGCTCATCGAATTCGCAGGGATGCTATTAGAATACCTGCAGCGGCCAGATGTCGCCAGCTTGAAGAGCGTCAGGCTGTGTAGCCAATCAGTCACACTCATTCGTACCTGCCTGCTGCGTGTAATTCTGCTGAAGCTTTCCGACCTCGATAGGCCGGAAACAACAGAAGCAGCCGCCATGGAATTTATGAGCAAGCTGGCTTATTGGCAAATGTCAATTTTGGGCTGCTTTGTGGCCGAAGATGAGTACCTAAAACTCTTCTGGTACCAACTTTACACCAAGCTCGTTGACGAAAGAGCTCCCATCCGGCGGTCCGCCGCCCATTTTCTTCGTATCTTGCTAGTTGCGAAACCTGAGGAGTCGGCTGCTCTCATTCGCTCTTTCATGGTCCCCGGCCAGAGGCAAATCATCCATGATTTTGTCAAAATCACGGAACTAGATGACGACGTGTTTATCGCATGGGTGGACCAGAACCGGCCATCACTAGATTCGCTGTTCTTTGGAGGCATGGCCAAGACATGGGAGAATTTTGTAAGCATCGAGAACATGCGCACGCAGGAGACGGCCAAGACGCGCCTCTCCAAACGAAAAGACAAACTGAAGCAGTGGTACGTCGAAGGTATTTCGAAAGACAAGCTTCTGGCCAATCACGAAATTGGAAACAGCGGTTGGATGAAGAGCATCTATAATTCCGAGCACTTCAAATACCAACGTATCCTGCAAGATCAACAAGACGATCTTTCCTACCTTATTTCGGCCTACAAGAAAATGGAAATGGACCTTAGACGACCTGGCGCTGTTTTCAGCGACCCTCGGCCCATTAAATGGAAGCTTGACCGGACTGAGGGCCGGAACCGCATGCGTCTACGATTGCTGCCAGATTTCTCTACAGACATGGAAAAATACCGGTCCAAAGAGAAGGGGGTCGCAGCGGCAGCCTTGCGAGTTAATACAGCAACGGGCAACTCGCCAAGCACAGGGCCTGCTACTCCAACACTAGCCACAACGCCAGCGACGGCTACGGTCGGAGCCCCGGCCGAAGCCGACAGTGAGCTGGCTCTGGAACAAGAGGATGCTGGGTTCGCGCCAGAAGACGACTTTGAACTTATCGAGGATCCGAATGATGCTCACGACATGGATGAGAACTTTGAGGACAAAAACCGGAAAGTTATGCGCAGGCTGGAGCAGGGTGATCAAGTTCAAGCTGCGTACAACGTTTCTCGCGTAACTGGGCTCGAAGCTTGCGAAGGAATACTCATCATCGGAAAAGATGCGCTGTACATGATGGACAATGTGTTTCAAACGTCCACCGGAGATATTGTCAACGTTTGGCAAGCTCCCATGGAAGAACGTGATCCCTTTACTCGGATTGTCACTGGAACCAAGACTCTAGAGAAGCGACAGACAGCCGGCAATCGGGATCAAGAGTCTAGAAACTGGAAATGGCAAGATACTATCAGTATCTCAAAGCGCCGCTTCCTGTTCCGCGATGTCGCTATCGAGATATTTTTCACAGATGGCCGTAGTTACCTCCTCACTGCGATCAACACCACTGTCCGGGACGAAATGTTTGCCAAAATGCTCTCCAAGGCGCCACACACCAGCGCAGCCCATGCTTTGCCCAACCCGGAAGATGCGTGGAGGCTGGAGGCCTTGAAGAATTTTGAGGAATCGCAACAAGGCATCGGATCCAAGCTCGGGACCCTGTTCAACACGTCACCTTGGAACCCGCTGATGAAGCGTTGGCAAAAGGGCGAAATGTCCAACTTCCACTATCTCATGATGGTCAACACCATGGCAGGCAGAACATTCAACGACCTGACGCAGTATCCAGTATTCCCCTGGGTTCTTGCCGACTTTACGAGCGAAGAGCTGGACCTCAACAACCCTGCTACCTTTCGTGATTTGTCCAAGCCTATGGGTGCTCAGACTCAAGAACGAGTGCAGGGTTTTGTAGAGACTTACAATGCGCTCAAGGAGATTGAACAAGCACCCTTTCATTACGGAACACACTATTCATCTGCCATGATTGTTTCATCCTACCTCATACGCCTGCCTCCGTTTGTGCAGTCGTATCTCTTGCTGCAAGGTGACAGCTTCGATCACGCCGACCGACTGTTCCAGTCCATCCCTGATGCCTGGAAGTCGGCGTCCTGCCGCAACAAGACCGACGTCCGAGAACTCATTCCTGAATTCTTCTGCCTGCCCGAGTTTCTGACAAACGTCAACGGCTACGACTTTGGCCGGCGACAGAGCAACGGCGTCAAGGTCGATCATGTGGTCCTGCCTCCGTGGGCCAAGGGTGATCCCAAGATTTTTATTGCCAAGCACCGCGAAGCTCTGGAGAGCCGATACGTGAGCGAAAATCTCCATCGCTGGATCGATTTGGTCTTTGGATTCAAGCAACGAGGCGAGGCGGCTGTGGAAAACCTCAACGTATTTCATCATCTCTCGTATGCTGGCGCCAGCGACCTCGATCGCATCACGGACGCGAATGAGCGGGCAATCACGGCGGGTGTGATTCACAACTTTGGACAAACGCCGCACCAGGTGTTCTCCAAACCGCACCCGGCCCGCGAGAATTCAAGGTGCCCGGTAAAGCGGCTTGACTCGTCGGTGCAGGCGCTCATGTGTCTTCCAAACCCACTGATAGGTATGTTTGTGATTCTGACCGTCAATGACTTGTTGCTCACAATTCATAGAATCGCATGAACGAGTTGCCTCTTTGATTTACGCCTCGAAACTGGACCGACTGCTGTGTGCCTCCCCATTTCGCCTGAACTTGCCCCCGTATGACAAGTTTCTCGAGTGGGGTTATGCCGACAACACAGTACGCTTCTTCTTCAGTGACAATCGAAAGGTACGATGCCGTGCTCCGGGAACGAAGATTTTAGCTAATACGTCTTAGCCGGCTGGTCTGTTCGAAAACCTGCATATTGGACAAATTTCTTGTGCCTGCTTTGCCGACTCTAGAACTCTCATCACAGCTGGTGAAGATTGCGTCGTCTCGGTGTACACTGTTATCACGAGCCCGGGCAAGCCTGTCGAGCTTGTCGCCAAGTCGAGCCTGTTTGGACACAAGACACCGATCACGGCTATTGCCGTCAGCAAGTCGTTTAGTACCTTTGTCAGCGTCTCGGCAGACGGTCAGGGTCTGCTCTGGGACCTGAACCAGCTGACGTTTATCCGAAAGCTCCCGCTCGTGCGGCCTGTCGAGTGCGCGCGCATCAACGACGTGTCGGGCGAGATTCTGCTCTGCGCCGGGCCGAGCGTCATCCTCTACACGCTTAACGGGTCCGTCATCCTCGACCAAAACGTGTGCACGGACCCGGACGACTACGTGCACGCGTGTGCCTTTTACGAGGGTGCCGGCAACGAGTGGCTAGAGAACCAGCTCATCTTTACGGGCCACAGCCGCGGCGTCGTCAACGTCTGGCGCAAGAGCCATGCCAGGGGCCGGTGGTCCCTGGAGCACCTCCGGCGGCTGGACCACGTCGATTACAAGACGGAGAGGCGCGAAAATGTCAGCGCGGGCATCACCTGCATTAGCCCGATGCCTAACTGCGTGTACACGGGCGACGAAGACGGCAGAGTTGTAAGGAACCATCCGTCTCCCACTGGTGTGTAGAAACTAACGTTGCTTGTATTAGTTTGAATGGAACTTTGTGGGCAGAGATCGATAGATAGGTTCCTGCAGAAGGGTTTTACATGGTCGTCGTCGTTAGAGGGTAGACGATAGAGGCCAGGGGGAAGACTGACTATGGTAACTAGAGTGGGGAGATTTTTTGAATTCTTATAGATTGGTTAGCACTTCCCCAGAACAAGAAGGATGCTGCGTGCATAGCGCCGTTTGTTTGTCGTCTTGCATTTCCCAGGCGATTCGCTTATGAGCATGAGAAGATGTTTTGGACAAAGGAAACAGTATTACTTTCAATTGAAGTTGTTATTCTTTCAGCCTCGCCAGAACTGTATATAAGAATTCGAGAGAGAAAGCTGCGAGAGGTCAACTTTCGAGGATGTAATGATACATCCTTGGGTCCCGTCGTGGCGCGGATGTTGTATTGTACAGGGGCTTCCTCCGCCGGTTCCCACCACTGGAGGAATATAGACCATCCGCATTCTATCCGGCCGCTGCTCTCCGGCATTCGCTAAGAAATGATTTCCGTTCTTGTGATGTGTATGTGCTTTTTGAGAGTTCGTTTTCCGGCATTACTCGTCGTCGTAGCCCGTCAATTGTTTACGGGGGCCAGTGGGGACTGCGAGCATGTTAGCGAGACTCGAGCTCAAGAAACCCTGGGCTTTTCTTGTCTTTCTCAAAATCCACTTCTCAAGGTAGAGAATCTGGTGAAAGAGAAGGCGCGCATGGGGATTGAAAGGAACGGCGACGTACCGGGATACGTGACGGGAATCGGGGCCGGGTCCACGTCGCCGAGCCAGCGGCGGATGGGCGGGCCAATGGGCATGGCGAGGGGACCGGCGGCGCCGATGACGACGGACCAGAAGAGCGCGGGCTTCTCGCGGGCGGCCCAGCGGCAGTACTTGAGGGGGGTCGACCAGAAGAGCGGCGAAGACATGGTGTTGCTGCAGGTCGAGTAAATTAGTTGCCAAGGTTCTCGTTTTCGTTGCGATTCGGCGCGCGGGGGGGTTGGGCGGGAACGGGCGCTTGTGGCGATGTATTGGCGGGGTAAGAGTACGTACGTGGACTCGGCGTAGAGAGGTAGACGCGAGGAAGGAGAAGAGCTGGCGATGGGAGGATGGGGATGGTGAGAGGTGGTGTTGAAGCTCCGGGAAAACGGCGCAGTGCTGGAAGGCGGATTTAGCTGGCTTGTGATTGGCTACTTGGGGTTAGACCCACAGTTTTCTGGATTGAAGGATGGGTGAGCTGTGAGGGCAGCATACCTGCATTAATAATTAGGGACTGACAACAGATTGAAAGGGATTTCGACTTAGATAACTTGGTTCAAGAGGCTCGTACATTTTCAATTGAGGTCTCAAACGGAAGGCCGAGCACGGTAAGTGCCCGGCAGCCGTGATCTACCTGCTGACGACGTTTCACTGAGAATCAAGCATGATAATTGAGTATACCACGTTCATTACGTAGTGAATTGAACCATATAAACCCAAGAAATGAAAAACAAAGTCTGTATGACAACGAATGCTTCATCGCTTCACGTCGTCACTCCACCCCAGGCCACCGCGCGGCGAACGGCCAAAACGACGCTAAACCGAGATGGGACCCACCAACCAGCCAAGGCGACGTATCCAATCCAGAGCTCCTTGAAGCTTCTCTCATTAACACGGCTCTCTTCCCCCCCACGTCCACCTACCACGGCGTCTTCTGTTGTTTCTTGTCGTTCTTTTTATCTTTAAACATAACTGCAAGAATCAGAGGACCATGCGGCTGTCGTTCAGCGTGGTCATTTCCGCCCTTGCGGCGGCCACGTCGGCGCTGAGCACCACAGGTCCCCGACTGCTCGTCGTTCTAGACGACGTGGCTGATAAGGCGGCCTATGGGCAATTCTTTGGTGACCTGGCCGGTGAGTCTAGACCTCTGAAACTATCCAAGATGATGCAACGCGAACATTGGTTTATTGCTAACGCATTGGCTTTCGTCGTCACTAGCCCGCGGCTTCGACATCAACTACGAGACACCCAGAAGCGAGAAGCTGAGTCTGTTTGATCTTGGCGAGCGCAAATACGACCACCTCATCTTCCTACCCACAAAGGTCAAAGGTACCAAACCAAACAAACCTCCCGCTTCTCGAACCCGCTTCCCGCCTAGCCATCATGCTAACCCCCGCCACCTGTACCGCAGCCCTCGGCCCCAACCTGACCCCGAACCTGCTCGTCGACTTTATCAATGCCCAAGGCAACATCATGGTGGGCCTGTCCTCGACGACGCCCACGACGAGCTCCCTCGTGTCCCTTCTCGCCGAGCTCGACGTGTCCCTGCCGGTCGAGCGCACCGGCACCGTCGTCGACCATTTCCACTACGACACCCTGTCCGCCCCCGAGACGCACGACGTGCTCGTGCTCGACACGCCGGCCCTCAACACCCGCGCCGGAATCAAGGCCTACTTTGCGCTCGGCGGCGACGACGCCGTCCTCGCGGTTCCGCACACGGCCGGCCACGTCCTTGGTAACAGCCACCTGCTGACGCCCATCCTCCGCGCGCCCGACACGGCGTACAGCTACAACCCGAAGGAGCAGGCCTCCACCGTGGAACCGGACGAGCTCTTTGCCGCCGGCCGGCAGCTCGCGCTCGTCTCGGCCCTCCAGGCCCGCAACTCGGCCCGCCTGTCCGTCGTCGGCGCCGAGATGCTCCAGGACAAGTGGCTCGATGCCACCGTCGCCAAGGTCGACGGTGCCAAGACCAAGACGCAGAACAAGGAGTTTGCGCGCCGCCTCTCGGGGTGGACGTTTCAGGAAATTGGCGTGCTGCGCGTCAACGAGGTCGAGCACCGCCTAGTCGGAAGCGACGAGCCCAACCCGAGCCTCTACAGAATCAAGAATGACGTGGTACGTTGCGCACACTGCGAAACAAGCGCTTTTCGGATGGTGAACTAATACCGCGACCAGACATACTCCATCTCGCTGTCCGAGTACAGCTGGGACAAATGGGTGCCATTTGCCCTGCCCGAGCAGGACGCGCTGCAGCTCGAGTTCTCCATGCTGTCGCCTTTTCACCGTCTCAACCTGGCGCCCTTCGGCCAGACGGCCGACGCCGCCACGTACGGCGTGCAGTTCACGACGCCCGACCAGCACGGCATCTTCAACTTCCTCGTCAACTACAAGCGGCCCTTCCTCACCAGCATCGAGGAGAAGCGCACCGTCAGCGTCCGCCACATGGCCCACGACGAGTGGCCGCGCAGCTACGTCATCTCGGGCGCCTGGCCCTGGATCGCCGGCATCGCCGCCACCGTGTCCGGCTTTGTCGCCTTTTCCGCGCTCTGGATGTACAGCAAGCCGACGGATGCGACAAAAAAGAAGCAGTAGAAGAAGAAGAATGTATAAAATGAATTACATGGGAATTATTCTGCAAAGTAGAGGGGAAAATGTGTAATGCCATTGGCTTTTCTTTTTCGTACAGGATCATGTGCCATTTTGACGGAGACACGGCTTGCATGTTTGTACATTTGATAAAACGGATAGATGCGAAAGTACGGAGTACGCCCCCCCTCATAAAGAGCCCCGGCCCCGTGGCGGGCTCATCTCTGCTCATGAAATGTTTGCCTTGAGAGAGATGTACCTTACTTTCCGCCCTGGCAGCCTGATCTATGTAGTCATAAGAAGCCCCATGGAGGACATGAATAAGGGGACGATTAAGGATGTCACATTCCAAACAAAGATGCTCTTTGCACTCCTGGAAAGAACTTTTGCCGGCTTGTCTAGTACCCTATTAATTTGAATTTATTTATATCTATATTGTAAAGCTGGCTTGGCAAACACTTTTCCAAGTTGGGGAAGATTGCTGTCCAGACATAAAATACCCAACTCTTCCTTCACAACTAACCAAAGATACATGGAACCAAAAACATGAATCCCGACAAAAAAAGGGATTTACACACAAAAGCAAAGGACCCTCAGATTAGCTCTCTCAAGTTCTCATTGGGAACACACAGGACAACCAGCACCAGCCGACTCGAAAGCACGGCGCGGTCTGCTGGGACGCAGCGAAAGGAGCTGAAACGGTCACGACGGCAGAAGAAGAAGACAAACAAGAGGTTGAGGCGTAGCAGAGCAGCAATCAACACGACGACGGCGCGCGAGCGGGGGGTGGTGGAAGGGACAAAAAGGACAAGTACCGCGACGCAAGAACCAAAAGAAGGAAAAACAGCAAAACAGCAAAACCAAAAAGGCACAAAAGCGCCCTTTGGCTGTTGATGTCTCAACGTTCCCCCCTCGGCTCTTACCCCGTCAAATACCTCTCCAATCAACCCATCCGCCGCATCGGCAAAATGTCCCATGCAAACGCCGCCAAACCAGTGGCCAAAACGCATCGTTGTACTATTCCTCCTCTGCCCCCCTTCACGTTTCTTCCTCTCGCGTTGTCGATGCTGTGGTTAAGCTGCAAATTTGGCTTGTTGGACTCTGGGTCATCACCGGGTCGAAAACACTAAAACTTCCTTGCATCGTCTCCGACACAGGAAGCGTATCTTGCTTGGTTTTGTGTATTTTCCAAAAGCCTCCTTCCCCGGCCCGATCATCTCGTCCCCTCCAGTACCGCACAGGTAACCCAGACTCCCGGTTGGCGTCTCCCGAGCCTGAACCAAGGTGTCGAATCAAAAAGAACCGCAGTTTGCTCATTCCTCTCGCGTCAAGAAAAAAAGGTATTATCAGCCTGCTCCGATTGAAAACTATATTGTTTCAAAACATGTAGAACAGCACTCGGCTATTACTTTCTTGCTTGGGGGTACAAAGGTTGTCGGTCATTGCGGCCATGTCAAATTCCTCTTTTTTTCGAGTTGAGAGACGTGAACGGGTCGGGCCCCCTGCCTGAGAGCAGGCTCATGAAGACGGGTTTGGCCCCCTACTGCTCGTAGGAGCTCCGGAGATTGGGCCGTCCGCGTCCCTTTGTGTGATGCTGGAACGGGGGGAGACAGTTTGGAGAAGGTCTGCTCAGATTTCTGTTCTTCATTGGAAGCGGTCATGGTGGCGACACTGGCGCTTTCCAAAGACGTCCTTTCGGAAGCGACTCTGGCGTAGCAACAGGACACACAAGATCTCGGGAAAGTGTGTGATTGTCTATCCTCACTGCAGATTGGCGGTTCCATGGTGTTCATGCCAGTCAGGCTTCTGACCACGCGAGCCACGGAACGTTGTGGTTGGGTAATGAAGGTATGACAAAGGAAAACGGCACCGGATGCGGTAGAATGTTGCATACTTACCTATAGGGAATATTTCCCTCCAAATGATCACGTATTAATCCATAGGGACGTGTGAAGATTGTAACGGAATGAAGGTGCTTCTCCGTCGCGCATCTAGACAGGCAAAGACCAGCTGGCCGTCGAAGAGCTCGTGCCCGGAGAGCTCGCTTCAGCAATTCAAAAACCGTTGTGATAGAAGGGAGAAGTCAAGTTTGCATCACAGGAGAAAAGTCTGCCGCGACGAGCAGTCCATGGCGTGGCAGCAAACAGAGAAAGGGGAACCATGTCAGTTGCAGTGAATTTCTGCCTGAGTGGTAGCGTTGGCGGCCACGTGACCTAATACGAGGCTTTGCACGCAGATGGCGAATAAGAAAAGGTTGGATCGGGGGCATATTATGAAAAATTTGCTCGCCGGAAAATATCGTGCAAACGAAAATAACTGAGCAGTTGTAATATTGAAGAGGTGGTGCAACAAGCGCGTTTGTAGTAGGAGCTATGTAATTTGTACCATCTGGTCATGTGGGGCACGCTGGGGCCGTCCAAATCAACATCGCCGTGCTATCAAGACGGATTTTCACATTCTCTTCACGACTACCCATTCCTCAACAGACGCCTGCAGCCGGCGCAGAGCAAATACACATCATGGCACGTACCATACGTGACTGTACCCCCCTCAAACATGCTTTCTAACCTTTACCGCAGGCGCGAAATTCGGAAAAGGCGCAGTCGATGCTGTTTCGCTTCCGCGAGGCGCAGGCCGCCGACCTGGGCATCGTCGACACGGGCCGCGCGCGGCGCCCGCGCGTCATCACCGAGGTCGAGTCGATCCCCGTGTGCGAGAAGTGGCGCGGGCAGGTGCTCAAGGAGATTTCGCGCAAGGTCTCGCGGATCCACGAGCCGGTGCTGAGCGACTACCAGGTCCGCGACCTCAACGACGAGATCAACAAGCTGATGCGCGAGAAGCACATGTGGGAGGTGCAGATACGGAACCTGGGGGGGCCCAACTACATGCGCGGCGGCGGCAAGGTGTATGACGAACAGGGGCGCGAGGTGCCGGGCGGCGGCAAGGGGTACCGCTACTTTGGCCGCGCCAAGGACCTGCCGGGCGTCAAGGAGCTGTTTGAGGCGGCGGCGGCCAAGAGTGCCGAGAGTAGCGGGAAGCCGCTGGAGACGAGCAAGGACCTGCGACGGCTGGTGGACGCGGCGTACTATGGCTACGCGCCGGACGAGGAGGACGAGGGGCTGCTGCGGTACGAGGCGGAAAAGGAGCGGCAGGCCATGGAGAATCTGCTGGGAAATGGTGTGCTGGAACCGCCGGAAGACTGGGAGCCGCTGCCAGGCGATTCGGGGGATGGGCATGTCGTGAGCTTGCCATCGCTGGAAGAGGTGCAGGAGGAGCTGATTGATCGCCGGCGGCGAAAGCTACTGGAGCAGCTGTGATGCTGGAAAATATCCCTGGGATTACAATTTGGAGTTAGATTATTTATGGCGTCTTGGTGCTTGGGATGCAAATTACATATACATTTTGTTGGCGAATATGATATCGTTACAGTAACGTTTATTGTTATTTCCCTATTTCCTATTTGATAGAGTTATAATTCTCCTCTTTCTGCACTAGAAGGCCTATGTTGGTATCTATAACTATAACCAAGCTGTAAATTCCATTTCTCAATATTGCCACCTGCTAAGTCCTGTGAGAAGCAACAATACGGGCAGTATTGCGGACGGTGGCCGATGGTGGCAGCAGCGCTAGTTGCCGCTGGAGCCCTCCAGGCCAGCCCATTAATGTTATTTTAAATATATCTATAATTCAATAGTTACCTAAGAATAGATGTACTAGTTCTCAAGTGCTAGATATCAAGACTAACCTATTCTGGAAACGAGAGGCAGTCGGAGGGTCTGGCAGGTCTCGTTCAATCAGCCATGCGAAAGTGCACCACGGTGTGCTTCTGTGTCTTTGAGTCGTCAACCAGCGGCAGCCACTCTATGGCCTCAGATTGGTGGACCTCATTGAAGCCCGCCTTCTGGAGCACCCGCCGGCTGCCGGCGTTCTTCTCGTGCACCAAGGCCAGAATTTCGCGCGGGAACAGCGCGTTCGTCGGCTGGACGTCGCGCCTGTAAACATGGATGACGGCGCGCACGCTCTCCGTTGCGAACCCGTTGCCCCAGACCTCGGGCATAAAGAGGAAGCCCAGTTCGAGCACCTTGTACGGGTCCCCTTCGGCGCCACGCGCGTAGGTGAGGCTCTCGTCCGCGAGCTTGCAGTCGGTGGGCAGCAGCGTCACGATGCCTGCCATCTTCCAATCCTTCTCGTCGACATTTACAGGGTGAACAAAGCCGCCGTCGCCTTCCGCGTAGAGCACAAAGTATGAAACGCAAAGGTTATTTGTGGGCATCGGCATGGGAACGATGTTGGCCATCCAAGCCTTGCTCTCCGCCAGAGTTCGGCATGGTCCACGTTTGCTGCCCGGAAATGTCAGTGAAAAGGCCAGCAAGTACGAATTGGATGCGAGGTGGTGGACGGACCTCCACTTTGTAGCTTGCTCATTGCTCCAGAGCGTGTGAAATCTCTCTAGATCAATGGAGCCCTCCTCGTTTGTCTGAACCGGGCGTAGTAAGAGGCGGCTAGTGGGAATGTCGCAGTACATGGTAGGGAGTACGGAGTAGGTAACGAACACATGCAAGTCTGAGACTCGGGCACCTTCAAAAGACGTGATAATTTGTCGCTCGAGTGAGAGATGGGATATACTACAGGTTTAAGCTTCCCCGCTTTCACTACAGATACTTGTAGTTGGTACGTTATTTACTCTACTAACAAATAAGCTAATAGATTCCCATTGCCAGGTACCTACATATGTAATCTGTAATATCATGGTTGAAATTACTGTAGCCGCCGAGGTGCTAGTCCAGCAGACCCCTGCCAGGACCCTGGCCTCCCCTCCCCTTCCCCCCCAGCTCGTCCGCCATCCTTTCCCTTTCGCATTCGCCTCTGCTCGCCGCTCTTTCTTCGTCGCATGCCCTCGTTGGCGCTTACGCTCTCTTCGTCCCCTTTATCTTCAACGTTTGTTTGATATTTCTCGCTTGATACCCCGCCTATCTCCAATAACCTTGCCAGCGGTTCTAGCCGCTCACAACGACAACGACCCCGTTTGCGCCCTTGCAGAGATTCCGAGAACAACATTTCGACTTCAATTGCGCACTTTTGCTGCCGTCCTGCATTTTCCTCAGTCTTGCTTACCAACACCTCTATTCCCGTGGTTTCATCGTCATTGCGACCCCGCTTGCGCTTGAACCTCACCCGTGCGAGCCCCGAGTGCGAGGTTCCCAGAGCATCCTTCTATTCGGCCGCCAACAACGTCAGACCGCAACTCGTTGCCATTGACACAACAGGTATACATGACCGTCTTCTTCTTACAATGTACCCCATTGAATAACATGATACAGCCCACAACATGGTCTCCTTTTTCGGCCTCAAGTTTGGTGGCGACAAGAAAAAGGGCCAGTAAGTCAAGCCTTCGCGAATGGCAGAAACGACATCCCACTAACAGACCTATAGAACCAAGTCTGGTGAGAAGAAGGGCCGAGATGGCCCCAAGGCAATGGAGCAAACAGGGCTGGCTCAAGACAAATTTTGCGAAACATCTCAGCCTGCTGAACACCTTGCTCGTCCCGGAACCTCGTACTCAACAAAAGGCCCTGCCAACTGGCGCCAAACTTTCAAGGGGTTCGGTGCCAACTCGTCCATGGTTGACTTATCGAGACCCGTACGCAAAGAAAGTGTCAGCAGCCTACGCTATGAGTCTTCTGACGCCAATTATCGCAATCCGTTCTTAAACAACAGCACTGCAAATCTTTCTCTCTCATCTGCTCTCGGCGGAAGTGGCCCACGAGTCGGTACCCCGGAGCGGCCCTCTACAGCTGGAGGGCGGACCAAGGAGTGGGTGAATCCTCTCGATGTTCACTTTTGCAAAAAGTCTACCGAGGCACCCGCGCCACTGTCTTGTACTACTGGTGGGCAGCTCAAGAGTCCGCTTGCGCTGCAATTTGGCGTCGACGACGACGACACTGCAGAGAAGCCATCAAGCCCTGCCACAGATAAGACACTGTTGGTTAAGGAAACGACTCTCGACAACAGCTACCCGTCGCCACCGCAATCTGTCAACAACTCTGACCAAACACTCTCGCCTACAGCATCTGACCTCCCCATGACTGGCAAGCCTAATGGCGCCGCGGCTTCTCTACCGTCCCCGGCAACATCTGCTTCATGCGTTAGCGAAGAACGCTGGGAAGCACCTGTTATTCGCAATGTGCATGCGAAGCGAGACACGGCTACCTTTCACTCACCTCGCCGGCGCAGCTTCACCATGGATGTAGAACAGCAGGAACTCGAGAAAATGCGGAAGCAGAGACAGACAGAAGGATTTGCCGGTAGCTTCGCCGACTTCGACTTTGGTGAGATTATCACAAAGCAGGCATCGATTGAGCAATTCCCAGAGCCGCCTTCAGCCGGCCTGAATGCCAGCCCCAAAGCCGAGCCGTTTCCCAGTTTCCCTGGGGAGCAAAAACCAGCAAGCAAATTGGACAATACTCTCATAAGCTCAACCTATGTTACGTCCAACAGACCTGAGCACAGCCTGAGAAACTCTCAATCGGACACATGGGCAATGAGAAACATGAACAACTCACCGGAACTTTGTCCGAACCCCTTTCAACTTCCTCCACCAGCGCCTGTAGAGGCTCCCAACACCACTGCTGCCCGACCTACAACAATTTACGGCCGAATTGGGGGAGCGCCAGCCGCTGCTGCCGGTGCGCACCCTGGTAATAGCCCTGTGGCCACATTCGATCCTCCACCTCGCTTGGGATTCCGTGCCAGACTTGGCTCTGATGCTAGTAGCCGGCGCAAGAACAAGCCTCCCCAGCCCTTGAAGACAAGTGCTTCGCAACCTAGTCTGCTACAGAAGAGCGTTGCAGCCTTGGGACAATACGATGAGCCAAGCCCAAAATTCGTGCCACTACTATCCAACAGCGCCAATCGATTGCCTCGGGGCGAGGAATCAGAACGAAGCCTTGATGCCTGGTCACCCAAGAGCCCGCAAAGCAATTCCGCGTTGGAAGGTGACTTTCCAGTGACGAATGGTCTCCCAAGAGGACGCCAGCCACCGAGGAGACCCCCGCGATCCGACGAAGCCCCTTCACCTGAGCGGCCTGACTTTTCCTTGCCAGATTGGGGCCTAGTTGATCCGATTGCACCAAGACATTCGGCAATGCCATCTCCCCTGGTGACCAGCGGGCAATCACGGCCTTCGATCTCTTCTGCTACTGACGCAGGCCTTCCAAGTCCTTCCTTTGCATCCCTTGAGTTGTCCATTTCCAACTCGGGCGAAAGTCTCACACAAGCGTTTGAAGACGCACTCGAAAAAACATCACTTTCTCCGGGTCTGGTTGGTGACTTCTTTGCCGTTGATACAAGCTGCACAAGCCCTACAGGCACGACGAGCAGAGTCGAAGCCAAAAAGGCACCACCGCGTCCGGCTCCCGTCACACTCCCACCATCTCCCAAGAAGAGCACGGAACCACGATCGCCCGCGCCAAAACAAAGCGAATTTGGCACTACTTTTATATAATAATCGGAGCTTTTTCAGCTGGTTCCATATTGAGATCGGGACTCGACTGTTTTCATTTGTTTCAAAGTACAGGTGCCCTGGCGTTCTACTTGACTTTATTCTCTCAGATATAGGAAGCTGCTTTAATGTTTTACTGTAAATTTTTTGTCTCTTGATGAGATAATTGACGCAAATCGAGGCTACAAAGTATAGCCATCTGTACTACATATTTTGTTCTACCTGGAGGCTCTACTGGCATGAATATGGACTAGAACAGCTCCAGGGAAGTATTTGGGGATGTTTAACATGATTGAGATACCAGTGGAATTATTTGGTTGCAGAGTGTTTTGAATTTAATCTGCGCAAGCTGATTGATACCGAAACGCCAGTACCTATGCAGTGACAATTGTCTGATATCCGTACTTTTAACATCCCCCCACCCCGTGCCTCTTTTTCATATATCATTTTTACAAGGTCCGCTTGTTGGTCAACGCAAAAAGTTTTTCAAGTTGCCGCCAACGTGCTTGAAATCGAGTAAGAAGGTGTCGTGCCCAAACAGGCTCATCTCCTCGCTCAGCTCCACGTGGGTGACGTTGCGGTTGCCGGCGAGGCGCAGCGACTCGGCGATCTCGCGCTGCTGCCACGCCGGGAACAAGATGTCGCTGGCGACGCCCAAGACGAGCGCGGGTGTGTCCCGCAGCGGCGCCAGTCCCTGCACCAGGTCCTCGGGCGGGCGCGACGAGCCGGCCTCGACGGCTCCGGCGTCCATGTCGACCTGCGACCCCGGCTGCTCCTCGTACGGCGTCTCGGGCAGGGTCAAGCTGCACGAGGCTTTGGTGGTGGTGGTGGTGGTGCTCGCGGCGTCGTCGGCGCGGTACGCGGCGCGACGGCGCTGCGTGGCCTGCTGGTTCCGCAGGCCGAGATCGAACAGGTCCATGGCCTTTGTGACGTAGAGCAGCGAGTTGGGGTCGTAGCTCAGACACCACTTCTCGCCGGCGTGGTCCAGGTACGTCTCGACCAAGAAGTCCGGGCACAGCGCGGGCGGGCGGTCCGGGTCCGCGCGGCGGCGGCCAAAGCGGCGCTCCCACTCCGGGCCGGACCGGTACGTGACGGTGGCGATTTCGCGCGCGAGCTTCATGCCGGCGTGCGGCGGCACGCGGCCGTAGTAGAAGCCGCGGCGCCAGTGCGGGTCCATCATCAGCACCTGGCGCTGCGTGTGGCGCATGGCGATGCTGTACGGGTGCGAGCGCGCGCACCCGCTAATGGACACGATGCGGCCGACGCGCGCCGGGAACAGCACGCCCGCGGCGAGCGACTGCATGCCGCCCATGCTGGCGCCGACGCTGGCGTGCAGCGCGCCGATGCCCAGCGCGTCCAGCAGCCGGAACTGCGCGCGCACCATGTCCTGCAGCGTCAGGATGGGGAAGTGCGTCGCGTACCGCTCGCCGTGGCCCGGGTCCACGCTCGCCGGCCCTGTCGACCCGAAGCACCCGCCAATCACGTTGGTGCACACGACGAAGAAGCGGTCCGTGTCCAGCGGCGCGCCGGGCCCGATGAACCGCTCCCACCACCCGGGCGACGGGTTCTCGGGCGTGGACCGCGCGTGCGACGACGCCGACAGCCCCGTGTGCAGCAGGATGGCGTTGGACCGCGCCGCGTTGAGCGTGCCCCAGGTCTCGTACGCCACGTCAAACGACGGCAGCACCCCGCCCCAGTCCAGGTGCAGCGGGTCGCGGTCGTGGTGCACCTGCGTGACGCCCGACGTGTACGAGGGCTCGTCGGGGGGGCCGTCGCTCGGAGCGCTGGACGAGTTGCTGTTGCTGCCGCTCTCGAGGCGCGCGGAGCGCGTCTCCATGGCGTCGAGGCAGGGAAACGCCATGGCTGGGTTGGAGGCGGCGCCGGAGCGCGCGGCTGCGGATGTTTGTAGCGGACGGGAGGCGAGGCGGTGCGGTACTGGTGATGGGAGCGCAGGCCGGCGGCGCAGGTGCCGAGCGGCCGCGGCGAGCTGCCGATGAGACCTCATGGGAGCGCGCAGTGTGTCTGTAAACGGAAGCTTGCGGAGAGGGAGGGGGAGAAAAAAAAATAGACGGAATAGTTGGGGAGGAATGGCGATTGGAATCTGAAGGAGAGGAGAGGAGAGAGGTAAAAAGGGTTGATTTGTCATGGGATGGCTTTGGCCGTTGGACAACGGGCTTCTTTGGGGCGCTTTGCTCCATTCGCACACCATTTCACGTGCAGCGCCCGGATCGCCGGCCGATGCCCCGACGGACCGATAGCGGAGATGACCGCGGGGTATTCGGGGTTGAATGAGCTGTTTTCTAGTATGTGTGTAGTTGAAATGGTCTCATTCTTCAATGAAGCCTCATTTATTATATTTTCGAGCTGGTCAACTTCATTCTGTGGATGGATGCTGTGATGCGATGGCGGGCGGACCCGACCAACCCTCCGCGACCTTTCCCCAGAAGACAATACAGAGGCTCTTTGCGGGGGAAGACATTCGCTCTACGTGGTCAATGGCATTTTAAAGCCCGGGGGATTTCTCATGTAGACATCAAAAGCAATGTAATAACCCGACTCCCTCTAGCTGACAAAAAAAAAGACAAAGAATACATGGGCAGGGCATAATCATAATGCGACGGCTGAATTCCTTTCATACTTTATATGCGCTTTTTTTTTTGGTCTTTCCACTTTCCTCATTTCCCCTTACTCGTCATTCTCCTCGGCGTCCTCGCCGGCCTCTTCCTCCTCGTCTTCCTCGTCCTCGTCCAGGCTGCCGGCCGGGACGTCGTACAGGCGCAGGATGGACTTGTTGGGGTCCTTGAGCAGGACAAACTTGCCGTCGCCGCCCTCGTGCTTCAGGCACATGTCGGCAATGGTGCGGACGATGCCCCAGCCGTTGGACAGGGACAGGTTCATCTGCGCGGCAAAGTCACGGGGCTTCCAGCCAATGACGCCGAGAATGACGTGCTTGTCGTTGGCGCGGGGGTTGACACGCGAGACGAAGCTAGAAAAAAAACAGATGTTAGCATTCACCAACAAATAAAAACCAAGATGTTGAGCAACCAAAAGAGAAGAAAAAAACATACCCAATCTTCATAATATCCGACTTGGACAGAATGCTCTGCACCGTCCAGCGCGCCAGCTTGCACGAGTTGTTCTTCATCTCAGTGGCAACGACGGCACCGCGCTGCGAGACGAGCTTGGCGCGCCAGTCGAGCGCGCCACCGCTGCCCTGGGCGCGGCTGTCAAACTCGTTGAGCGCGCGGATTGTCATGTGCTGGTCCTCGCCGCTGATGGCGTTCTTCTGGACGGCGTCGACCTCGGTACGGACGACGAGGTAGACGGGCTCCTCGTCGTTGGTGGACAGGTCGAAGCGGCGGTACTTGTAGGCGCGGGATGCGGGCGGGTCCGTGTCCTCGGAGGCGTTGTAGAACGGGTTCTCGTGGGCCATGGCCACGCGCGCCGTCTCGCTCTCCGTCACGACCTGGTTGACAAAGTTGTGGTTGATGTACGTGGCCTCCTCGGCGAGCGCGGGCGGCTGGTTCATGACCTCGCGGCCGCCGTCGGCGGCATCGAGCGGCGCGTCAATGGCGTTCTCATTCACCGTCACCATGTCGAGGGACGCGTTGTCGCGCTTGTCGAGGAACAGCTTGCGGCCCTGCCGGGTGATGACAATGTCCCAGGGGTAGATGGAGCGCGTCGAGCACATGAGCATGGACAGGATGGTGTCGGTGGCGAAGATGGTGGCCTCGTCCTTGTCGGCGAGCTTCTGGATGATGGGGTCCGACGACGTGGTCACGTTGTACGCGGCGCGGTCGAGCGCCGTCAGCTTCTTCTCGGCGCCCTTGACCGGCTGCTTGTCGTAGGTGCGGTCGTAGTGGTACAGGAAGCCGTAGTCCTCGAGGTCCTCGCCCGCGTCCGTTTCCAGGTTCAGCTTGCCCAGGCGGTTGTAGTCAATCTCCTCGAGCAGCGCCCAGTCGGCCTTGATGTTGATGCTCGCGTCGCGGTTGCGCTGCGGCTTGTCGTAGTCGCGCCAGCCGAAGCGGCGGCCACCGCCGCCGCGCTGGTTGCCGCCACGGCCGCCACGGTCGTAACCGCCGTAGCCACCGCGACCGCCACCAGCTTGGCGACCGCCGGCCTGACCGCCGCGTCCGCCACGGGTGTCGCCACGGGCACCCCCGCGGGCTCCCCGGCCGCCGCGGGTGAAGACGGCGCCGCGGCCGTATCTCGACTTGGTCGAGTCGCGAGCGTTGCTGACGACGGAAAAGGTCGACTCGTCCTCGGCGGGAGGAGCGTTGAAGGTGACGGCGTGGCTGGATCCGTAGACTTGTTGATCTGGGGCGGGGGAGAGAAAGCACGTCAGCAATTCTGGAGTTCCTGGTATCACGACAAAAATTTCACCCACCTCTGAAGTTGCGGTTGTACTGGTTGCGTCCGCCGCGCTCGCGGTCCTTGCCCTCGGCGGTCCAGTCGGCCATGCGGCCGAGCTTGTCACCCTTGGAGAAGGGCGCATAGGGCACGCCGTCGAGCGTCGTCTCGGTGGTGACGGAGGGGCCCCAGCCATCGCCCGAGGGGCAGCTGCCGCAAATATTCACGTAGTCGGTTGAGACGGCCATGATGTATAGCTCGTCCAGTTGGTAAGCTATCGTCGGGGCTGCGTGAGAATAAAACGAAAGAGGTCGTGGTCGTCCGCCGTTCTGCACTTCGCTTGTCCCACACACTTTGAATTTGAAGTTGAGTCGAATTTGTGGTGGGGTGTGGGGCATAAAACTTGGAATGCCGCCCCGTGACTGGCTGCCTGCTGAGCCCCCACCAAGAGCCGCTGAGGGTGTAGATGTGGTGGACAAGACGATATTTTCATACAGGAAATGAGAGCAGTAGTTGTACTATATATTTTGGTTTTGTATTGCTGGAATTTGCTACAATAAAATACTGCCATCTCATAGCGTTGTCCATGACTGGGCCCTAACCACAATCGAAACGCAAAATTCGACGGCTCCGAAAGAATGCAAAGCAATTAATCAAATCAAGTCTAGAATTAAACAGAGACTGGTATCGTTTCTCATGACATCTTCACCTTAGAACGCCATTTGCTCCAACTGGTTGGAGCACACGCTCTCAAAAGCGTCTCGCAACTCGAAATCTTCCATGACGGCGCCAAATCTGGACCAGTTAGCTTACTGGAGAACAAGGGCATAAGGAAAAAGCCTTACCCATAGCATCTGACCTTGCGGCCAAGGTCCTCGGCGATGCGCTGGATATTAACCGCCGAAAGCGCCGCAAACTGGGGGTGGCTCATAAGCATGCCCCAGGCCATGACGGGCGTGATCTCGCCATCGAGATCAAGGCGCTTACTCAAGTTCATGAGAGTGGATAGATCGGCCTTGGTTACCTGCCATGTTCCCTGGCTTGGAACGTCCTCCGTCTTGATGATGGTACCATCCGTGCTGGCAAAGGGCGTCGATTGCGGAATGTCCTTGAACGGGGCCGGGGGGCATGTTGCCATTAGAGCGTGGCCACATGGTTCTCCTTCTGGACCATCTGCTCTATCCATGAGGAACGGCAAGTGAGCCATGCAAGGCTTCTCTAAACTGTAGCAAGAATGTCAGTCAAGAGTCATGGATCGGCGTCTGGTCGAGCTTACGCCAAGACAAAGTCGATCCCGGCCTGTTCAACGTCCAGGCGAGTCGCTGGGATGTGTTGTGGGGGAGATGAGCTGAATTGATTACCGCGAAATTGTGATGGAGTGTTGTAGTTGCCTCCAGCGGATGGAGCCGAGCCGTGCGGTGGAGTTTGCCGCGGCGAGAATGGGCCTTGGGAGCCGCCACCGAAGCCTGTTGAGCCGGCGCTAGGATTGTTGTTGTTGTCATCACGTCCGTTACTAGGGCCGGGTACGTTGATGCCATTCCGAACCAGTGTGTCCTTGAGCAGGCGGTTTTCCTCAGCGAGCTTCTCGCGATCGCGCGAGACGGAGCTGTAGACTTCTTTTAGTCGGAGAAGCTCGTCCTCGAGGGCCTTGATGTATAGTTCTTTGCGCTCGCGATGGGTACTGTCACGTCAATCAGAGATGGTCGAGTCTGGAGCAGGCTGCGGGAAGCGTACCGTTGAGCCTGGCGGTTGAGTTCCTGTCGGCGAGTCAAAGCTGGCTTGCTGTCGGGCTTAGGGCCTCGGCGCTTCGGGGCTTGACCATCTGGCGTTGAAGTCAACATCAAAATTGTAACTAGAATCATGACACAAGGTGCGGTGCATACCCCGGTTGGAACGCTTGTCGTTTAGATTTTTTAAAAAGTCGAGGTTCATTCCCGAGGGACTCTTGCCCTCGGAGTGGTGGTCGCCAGGGCTCTGCGACTGGTGAGAGCTATACTGCTCGGGCGAGAGCGAGGCGGACATGGCGTCGGACGGATTGGCAAAGTGCTATTGTGTGCTGGAGAGTGAGGGCCTCGGGCCAGACGCTGCGACGGTGAAGTGTTAGCTGTATGGTCGGTTGGTAGCAGGTGGCAAGCTAGCAGTGGCTCGGTAGGTAGGTAGGAGCAATGCTGGGGCCAACAGGTGATTGCATTTTGGCGAATGGGCCAGGCCGGGCGGTCTGCTTGGCGGCGCAGATTGAAACCGGGAAGTCGAGATAGTCGTCTCAAGTAGGGACGTTTCGGAATCCGTGGGGTGGCTCACCAGGTAGATTTGCGGCAGTCGCGTTGGCGGTTGGGGAAGTCCCAAGTGTACAAGTGTATCGGCGTTAAGAAAGAGTGGGCGGGGTAGGAAGGGCTGAGGGAATTGGGAGGGGATAATAAGGGGTTGGAGGCGATGGGAGGGACAGCGAGTGAAAAAAAACAGTGGCAGGGTCGTCTGTCAGGGTTTGTGTGATGGGTGAACAAGCGAAGACAAGGAGGGCGCTGCCAATGGTCTTTATTCGCCGATGCGAACGAGGTTATGATGACGGGTATGAATCGATGTGAAATGTGGTGCCTGCGAGAAAAGCAGAAAAGCGGCGATGCGATGGGGGGTGGAGAGGGGTGGGTCGCATCTGGACGCCGAAGCAGCGGATTGAGCAGCAAGATGTTGGCGGGTTTGTGGCTGCTTCTGGGGCTTCTGGGGGGTCGGCAGGCAAAAAATGGCCGCTGCTTTAACTGCACCAGCAACCGGCACTCTGTTGGCCCGGCTCTCTCTGTTCTTGTTACTGCAGGACTGCATGAAATACTGGGTACAGGCCTCGACACCTGCTACAGCCCGTTGCAGCCCTCAGCCCTCCCTCCCTCTTCCTTCAAACAACCCTCAACCCTCACTCAACCCTCCCATCCTTCAACAGCACCACGTTGGTCCTCCATCTACTCCATCATTGGCACAATCCATTTCCGCACCTCGGCCACACCACAACTTTTGTCGTAACTCTTGGCGTGCGTCTTCTTCTGAGACAGCTTCCAACACCCTGAGACTTGGCCGCGCGGAATGGCACTCCGTCCTGTCCCAAGGCTGTTCGCTAACTAGACCCTGCAGGGCTGCAGCGGATCCGTGGAAATCTGGGTCAGTTATCAGGTATTCACGAACAAAAAGCACCGACAAAAAATGGCCCGGTCTCTGGCGGGCCGTTGATAATAACTACGGAAAATAGTGAATGGCCCCGTCATTCTCAGTCAAAGCCGCCCTCCCTTCCGCACTTGGCCAACCCCAGCCAAGTGGTCCCCCCGTTGATGTGATGTTGATGCTGCTCTCGCCCCTCCACCCCAGTTAATAGGTAATAAAGCTTTGCGGAAAAGCAGCCCTGCTGCATGCCGCTTTTCGGGTACACATGGGGCAGAGGGTAGAGGAGCGTATCACGGGCGCAATGCCTAACTATGCCTCCTCACTCGCCCTGCCCTGCCACAGCTGACTACAGATGGACGCCCAAATTCAACCTTAATCATTCGTGACAAATTCCAGAGTGCCAACCAAGTATTGTAACAAATGCTGTCTCTCATCTCCGATACGACAATGGATCAGCGTAGCCTCGAAAGCTTGTTATTGAGACTTCATCTACGACTCTGTTTTCAACTCGAGGAAACCGGCAAGGTCACAGATAGCCGCCATTGGTTACAATAGTGCTCAATTCTGCACACAGATTCCTCCGACGCATTTCATATCCCCAAAGCATGGGCACACACCAGGGAATGGTGCTGTAGTGCTATCTTCTAGAATCAGCCCTGAATCAGTCTGCCAACATGAGATGATCGACGTACCAGTGCAAGGCTGGCCAAGGCCCGGAATTGGCGCACAGCTCACTCCGGTGATGCAGCAGTGACCAGAGGGACATGGTGGACAAATTATGCAAGCACCTTTCCCTTTGCCCAGGCGTGTTAGAAGCTTCCCATTATGCACTCGACGAGACGCTTACCTTTCTGGCTCTGAACAACATTTGCCAGCGACGGCACAGCAAAAACGGAAACAATGTAGATGTATTTCATGTCGTTGACGTGACTTGTTGTGTTCAAGCATATGGCATACCTGCGAGGAGGTTGCTTAAGCAGGGCACGGGCGTAGATTTATACTTGTGCCCGGGTATCGGGCACGGTCATCACCGTACTAGTTACCCCAGAGGATCTTCAACTCGGCATACACGAGCTTCAGCTGAATACCCAACTCAACACGATTGGCTGCAGACTGCATGCCGACGAGCCGAATCATATGTCCATGTGCGTATGGGTGCATGGGTATGGGAGTGCGAGCAGCAGAACAACGGGAATAACTCGACTGTATTATTAGGCGAGCTGCTGTGTTTCTGTTGTCCCCGCTCTGTTGGCCATGATACAATGTATGTATCTTCTTCACCATGTTTCCATCTTGGCAACTGTCATCATCAGCCGCGCCCTGGTGTACAAGTCGATCAATGCCAAGCGATCTGCGACTGTGCTTGTCGCCTTACGGAGCCTGGATGAGAACACCAAGGACACCAGTGTCAATATGGCGCAGCGATAATCAGTTTGTTGGTCGCTTTTCAGAGGATTGTCCTGTCCTGGATCGAGGACGCCTGTTCTGTCCGGCCCTCGCTCATACTCAGCTTGTACCTCGTAATCACTCTGCTGCTGGACCTGCCACAGGCGCCAACACTCTGGCTGGGCGGGGGCGACGCTGCTGCCATCATTTATACTGCTGCAGTGGTCTCCAATACCCTGTTTCGCCCAGTAGAGAATACAGGTAACCGGACGCGTCTTCTCTCGGTACACCAGACGTTGCCTCCCAAGGCCACGAGCGGCCAGGTCAATCGGTGCTTCTTGTGGTGGCTGAATGACACCTTTCGTCGCAGCTCTCGATACTCTCTCGCCATTGAGGACTTGTATACCTTGGATGACGCGCTGCTGTCAGACGGTCTCGATCAAGGAATTGCTCGCGCCTAGGCATCTCGAAGACGGCCTGCGCGTCGGCTCGAGTTCCCTATCGCAGTGTCTCGCGCCGTCTTGTATGATTTTCTTGCCATTGCCCCTCCCCGAGTTTCTCTGATTGGCTTCATATTCGCGTAGCCCTGTCTCTCCCATACAATTCTGTCGCTTCTGACCAACGAAGCCATAGCCCTAACCCCGACAGGCTGTTACTGCGTGGTGGTAGCCGCAGGAATCGTCTATCTTGGCCTGAGTGTTCTACATTTGCACTACAACCAAAAAGCCAATCGCTTCAAGGTCATGTTTTGCGGCGCTTCCGTCCGTCTCATCTACAACAAGGCTCTGCAGAATCGCGACGTCGATTTTGCGGCTCTCACACTCATGAGCACCGACGTCGATCGAATCGCCGAGTGCCTGACGAAGCTCAACGAGTGCTATGTGCCATTGAGGAGGTGGTGGCTCTTGAACTGACCATGCTGGCGAAGCTGACCAGAAACGCTTGCTGTGCAGGTCAACGACGTTTTTGCGCGGCCAGACTGTTCAGCACATGTGGGCTTTTCGACCACATCTGATTCAAAAACTGATGTGGTTGGCAGTATCGCTTGGATAAATCTACGCTGTTAAAACGGACCCTCGGTGAAGCATAGCTGGAGCGGGGAATCGTCTCTGTAAGAACAATTAGTCGCCTATTGCCAACAGTCACCGTGGCTACCTGGCACGACTATCAAAAAGGCAATATGTGGACAGTTTCAAGTTGACTCCTTGACCGACACGAACCTGTACGATGAAGTTCTGGATGTGGCCGTCCTCAAGCATGATCTTGCGCAGCTGCACAAAGGAGACAATACCAAGATGGGGAGCAGTGGCGGCGGCGGCATCCTCAGCGGTGGGCAGACACAAAGAGTGTTCCTAGCCCGAGCACTGTATTCCTGTCCCAAGACTCTTCTGCTCGACGACTTTGTCAGTGCCATCGACGGATGCTCTGGTCCAGAAGCCTGGCTCACCACCATTTCCGCGACGCTCGCCACATCGTTTTCGACCGCCCGCGGACAAATACCGATGTTTTCCAAGGGTCGACTGGAGCAAGACGGGACCTACCGTCGATTTTCCTCGCGCGGGCGCGTTTCAAGACGTGCCAGAAGCAGCGGAGGATGGCGATGAGAGCAAGGAAGAGGCCAAGGACGCCGAGTTGCCGTGTCGGGAAAAGTGGCCGAATCAAACGAAAAGGAAGATTTGCGTCGGCAAGTTGGACTTGGACGTCTATCGTTATTACATGCAGTCCAATGGCTGGTTCAAGTCGTGGACCTTTGTCGGCTTTACCGTTGTGCACGTGTTTGCAGCGACTTTTGCCTGTACATTTCTAAACATTTCTCTACAGCATCAGCGAATGGTGCCAGTCCTCTGGTAGAATGGGTGCATCAATGGACATGGCACGTGGGCAACGCTCTTTGCTTGTCATATACCTGCTACCCGGGATACTCAATGTTGTCGGCATCGCCGGTTATGCGTGGTATTATGCATCCTACAGGCATGCATGAGTCACAGCTGGGCAAGACAAGGCCAATGTTGACACAAATATCGCACCGTCCGAGGCGCGACACTTTCACTATATTTTTATTAGATAAAAAAACATTCATGCAGCAAGTATAGCATGGGGTTTTATAGCTACCTTTTTTTTGTCTGACTCGTTTGGTAGCGCACCTCAGTACACTGAACCATTTCAGTCAGAACATGTCCCTTGTTGAAACACAGATAGCTACCAGGACGCTGGTAACAGTCACAAGTAGGTCACAGAAAAACCTTGGGGAAAAAAAAACCACCCCAGGTTTATGCGGAAGAAAGCACCGTGGACAGCCTCCTGGGTGCCGCTGCCGCTGCCGAGGCACCTCTAACCGCAACGGGGTCTCCGTACATGGCGGCTACCGTTCCGCTCCTCATCGCGGCCATGTACGTGCTGGAAAATTTCCATTTCCAGACGTCGCAGCAGCTCCGAGTGCTAAAGCTCAAGGCACAGGCCCTTGTATGCCAACGTTCTCGGGACGCTGAATTCGGCGTCGATGACTGCGTGCCTTTGGTTGGGAGCTGCACTGCAAGACGTATGGCCAGGCGCTTCTAGCCCGATGGCAGAGGCCAAAGTACCTGTTCATGTGCGTACAGACGTGGTTGAGCACGGTGCTCATGCTCGACCTCCTCGTTGCTGCCGAGGCCACGACTGTGGTGCTGCTGGCGCTGCTGTTGCGGTCCTGCACCAACCCCGCTCTTCTAGGTGTATCCCTGAACAATATTCTGTGTAAGTGCTTGCCAGAAACTCTTGGCAAAAGTGCAACTGCTGATGATGTAATCCCCGCAGCTTTTAATGCAAGTCTGGCGTCCCGTCATTGTGGCGGCTGGACGCTGTTGGAGAAGTCGCTGGGTGCCATTGCGTGAACTTCGGTCCTTTGAGCAAGACGTCAAGCCGGAAAACCGGCCGAAGGAGGTGTGTGCGAGCCACCGGCGCCATGGCCGGTTCGAGGGGGAATAAGAGAGATGCGTGGCGTTGGCCGCGTCACACAGGTTTCGACGCCGCTGCATCGCTTTCAAAAATCGCACGTTCCCGCTAACTGGCGGGCAGCCCTGGCTCGGTCGGCATGAGCAATATCAGTCTTGATATTGCAGCAGGTCTCAAGATTGGCGTCTGCGCACGGCACCGGAAGGCCAGTCGGCATCGATTTGCTTCCATGCGGTCGCTTCATTACTCATGTTGCGGATAGAGTGACAAGAGCTCGGGGCTCGTGGCTACATTGACACAGCTGCTCGAGATGGAAGAGGAGTTCATCAAGATTGTCGGATACAACCTGGGCAACCCTCCGACGCGACGTGATTCGCAAGCGGCTCAGAGCGGTGGCGGAAGACGCGGGCCCCCGTGCTGATAGGCACACTGTGGACGCCGGCGGGCAACACGGCGAGGCGGCCGTGGAGGCTGTGCTGCGCCGAGTCGGCCTCTGGAACGGGTTGGAGAGCGGCGGCCTGGACATGGAGCTGACGACGGCGTCGCTGTGCGGTGCTGCTGGACGAGCCGTCGATGGGGCGACGGACGGGTGGTGCTACGGGTGGTGCTGCGTGACGTGTTTGCAGGTGCACCGTGGTGCCGGACGGCTCATGACGTCGACACCATCTGCCCCGGGTTCGACTTATCCGTCGGTTCGACTTCGTCGTGGTCAAGGAGGGCGGCGGCCGGTTGGTGGAGGCGGGTGTGCCCGAGGAGCTGGTGCGGAGGCAGGATGGGCATTTTGCGTCATTGGTGCGTGACGCAAGCCTCCAAGTGTTGGAATTCATCTACATCTCCAAGTTAGTTATATCTACATAGTTACAACTAGTTAATATTACTCTATTCCCGGTGGGGTCTCGCCGCTCAATTTCTCGGCGACGTTGTGATATCCAGCCCTGGCTTGTTTAGGCCCGGCGTGCAGATGCATTCGGTTTGGCAGCATGAAACAACTTTGCACAGCGTGCATGCTAAACTGCCGAAATCGCAAGGCACGCTGGCACGCTGGCACGCTGGCACGCTGGCACGCACGGCCATTGTAGCCGGCTTTGCTTCGTGGATGGCATTATATTCCCCCCCCCCTCCGAAGCCTTGGACCCAGGCATGCAAACGGGCGTCGCCCCGGCGTTCTGGGCGTGGTCGATGGGTGTGGATGGGAGGGGGGAGGATGTGCAGAGCCAGAGGTATTATTTTGGAGAAATGTTTAGAAGGATTTTGGAAAGAGGAAAATGTTAGCAGCCCAGATAACTACCTCCTACGTAAATCGGCTGGATTCGGTTACTTGTGCCTTGGGTCGGTGGAGATGTCAGTATATGCGAAACGCATGAGGACCAGCCTTGGATGCTTGTGTGAGAATGAATTGCCATGACCCTGGTGGCGCACATTTCCTTTGCCATGGTCTCTTTTTTTTTTTTTTTTTTCTTGCCCTTATTAAACAAAAAGCTGAGCCATTGCTGGCTGCATCCCTTGTTTTTGGTCCTTGCTGTGGGTGGGCAGGCTTGGGGCGTTTGCCAGCGCATGCATGATGAGCAGATGGTAGCGCGGGTTGATAAGGGGGGAGCATGGTCGCACTGGCGCAGCGTGTCATTTGTATCATTTGTTGTATCCGTCTTGCCGTCTTTTGCAGATGGTTATTGCTTGCGTTGGGTTGGTGTGTTGTGTGCACGAGTTGTCAAAAAAAAAAAGCATGACGGCCGCATTTAGACAAAGGCCGTACGATGATGGGCTCGTCCAAGCTGCTGGCGCAGTATCATGACGAGCGCCCGCAGCAGGCATCAGCGAATAATCAAAATGCCATGCTGCAGTAACTACAGGGTCTCGTTTGTGCGCTCACACCCAAACACCGTATGAATGCCCTCGATTATGTTTTGATGGACTGTGGCACAATCTTGAGCCAGAATATTCTACAAGTGGCGGACGCCGGCGACCATCGACGAGCCGCTGAACCTAACGTTAGTGTGCCAGTGCCAGTGGCTTGCTTGGCCGCCGCCACGCTAACAAACTCAAGCTGGCTGGCTGGCTGGGTCAAGTCTTTGTGCGTCTGCTTGTGGTGCTACTAAGGATCATAGTTTGTCATTTTTCATTCTATTTGCTCAATCTTCTCACCCGAGTATTCCGTATCGAATACACGGAAAGACTTTGAGTAAGCTGGTCGTAATTAATAAAGCTCCTGATTTACATAACCCACGCTAGACCACATTCGGGACCTGTGTATGTAGATATTATAGCATATAAGAGCATGCATGTTCCGTCTTGTGCTGCATCAAGCTGCCTCTATGGAATAGGCAAGCACAATATGGCCACCACCCATTGAGAAGCTCTTGGATTCCTAACTAGACCGAAACCTACCAACCCTCTATTAGTTATGAAATAGCAGTACGGTAGGTATGTTGTCCAATGTACATACTGATCCGGGAGCTGCTGCTAGCTCCGAGTCACCCCATTCCCATTGGCTCAACCTTCACTTCTCCCCCGCTTAATGTGTCATGGGGGAGGACGAGCAAACGCGAGCTGGGAAGCTGGAGTTTAATACCTCCTGTTAGTAGTTACGAGTTAAGTTGCGCCGCTACAGCCAGCCCATCGTGAAGCCAGCGAGCACAGAGGAGGGCCTGGGTAATCCATCCTGCTGCATCGCCCGTTTTTTTGTTTCGATTTTTTTTGTTCCCTCTCGACGCACGGCTTCGTCTCCTTCATACCGAACTCTTCCCTGCTAATATTTGGTTTGTTTTCTTGCTGCCTTGCATTGTTTTGTCAACAACCTTCCCTGTGGCATCCCCCCCCAAGAATCCTCATCGCCCACCCTCTAACCGGGCCGCCGTCGCCAATCAAGACAACGCCAGTCCCGCCCATCGTCACGCTTCCCGCGCCTTTTGCCCTGCCCAATATCCAAACTTTTGGTCCTACCAACAAAAGACCCCCCCCACGGGAGCAACTCGTCTGCTTCCAAGCGTCCCTTTGCCAGCCATGTATCCAGGTCTCCCGCGGCTCTAGTCCTGGCGCCCTTTGCCAGTTCCCTCCCCCGGCGAACGACAGCTGCAAACACCAACCAAGTCAAATACACCCAACAATAACCGACGCCGTGGCGGCAAGGCCCTCGGAAAGAGAGTTTGGCCCTGTTTCGGCGCCGCCACATGACCTCTCGATACTTCGATACAAATACTCCTCCCGATTGAAGAAAATATAGCCATGGACCCCCCGTCGCAGTCGCTGGCGCCGCCAGCACTCACGACGCTTCGCACACTCGACTCCACCCTCATGAGCCGATCCCTGAGCCAGGACATTCGAAACGAGAGAGAGGAACTGGAAGAAGCCGCTGCCCAGACCCTCAATGTCATTGTCGACCTCAATCTCGACGGCACCATCAAGTGGGTGAGTCCCTCGTGGAACGACGTGGTCGGTACACCCTACGACTCCCTCGAGAGCACCCCCCTCTCCGACCTCATCGTCAGCGACAACAAGACTGCCTTTACCGATATTGTCGAGTCCATGAAAGGGGACGACTCAAAGAGCCACCGTGTCAGATTTGCCATGCGTTTGGGTCCTCTGTCCAAGCTACGTCTCAACCAACCCGCCGAGCATGCCACGCCAGACGAACCCGACCAGGAATTACGCCAACAAGAACCAGCACCCACCGAAGAACCGGATGAATTTGCCCAACTTGAAGCCCAAGGCATTATGGTCTATGACAGTGCTTCTGGAGGCGAGAGTCACGTAAGCATACCGCCCCCCCGTACCTGTTAACAACTAACCAGCCCAGACTATGTGGATGATACGTCCGTGGACGCCGCCGCAAGAAATCCAAATCGACCTGCCCGACGTCATTGTAGACTCCCTCGGCTCAGGTGCCGAGGTGCTGGCTGGCTACCTTACCAAGCTCGCCGAGTCGGTCGAAGAGGACTCGGAGCCCCTCGAGCCCCCTCCGCCCGTCCTCTGTCGAATCTGCGAGCGTCAAATCCCTCCATGGTGGTTTGAAAAGCATACCGATCTCTGTCTCCAAGAGCACCGGGCCGAGATGGATGTGCAGCTGGCGCAAGAGAGCCTCAATGAGCACCGTCATGCTATTGTCAAAGTGCTAGATGCTCTCGAGACTCGTCAGAGCCGACTGCTCGAACCACAATTAACACCGCTTGCAAATTACAAGGGACTCCCCATTGGACCGCCCCCGTCCACACAATCATCGCCAAGCACCTCACTCGCTCGCTCTCGAGATCGCACCAGTGGCTTTGGACACTCTAGAGGACGCTCCTTTGCCATTCGACGACCTCAGGCAAGAATTGTCGAGCTTTTGATGGACCTGTGCGACACTGCTCTCGAAATTAGCAACCCCACCATCAAAGAACACTCGACGCACCTCAACGACGGCGAAATTCGAACGCAATCCCCCCAATCCGAGTCTCGAATATCACAAGTACTGCAATGGCAGTCTCCGAGTACCAATACTCTCGATCAAGAGCAGGGCCTCGCTCTCTTGTGTGCTGACACGGAAAAGGCTGCCCGCGCCAAGGTTGACGCCATCTTCCGCCATCGCAAAATCCTCGAGTACTCTGAACGTATCCGCATTGAACTTTCCTGCCTTGTTCAAGACTGCGTCGAGGAGGCCATGAGAAAGGCCGCCCGTATTGCCGCGGGCCAGCTTACAGACTCCAGTATCGACGACACTGATGACCAGCAGCAGCCCGATGTAGTTGAAGAACGGGAACCCATCGAGTCTGAAAGTAAAAGCGTCATTTCAGACTCACGGTCTCGAGGCCGATCCGAGGCCGGCTCTTCCGGCCATCTCGTCACTAGTCCATCAGCACTCGCAGCCGCCTTACGTCAAGTGAACTTATCGGCTGCTATACACGGCGGTTCCAGGCCAAGCTCTGTCGTTGGGTCCACCGGCTCTGCCAGCCCGAAGGAGTGCCTCACGCCGAGATCATACGTCGGAGCTTCGGCCTATTCTCGAGATGGCCGACGGGGCTCGTCTCTTTGGCTGGAAAGTGACCCCGGTGACCCCGATGATAACTTTCGATCGCTCTCTGTATCGAGAAACATGCCGAGAACCGACTCACCGATGTCTGAATTCGGCGATCTTAGACGTGCTGCCAGTGCCCGCCAACACCAGAGACGAAGCCTCGTCATTCCCGGCGCTACATCTCCTCGCCGCCAAGAATCGCCATCCCGTGGTGCCACTCAGCCTTCCTCGCCGCTGAGGATCAGGCCCCGCATCATTCCCGGCTCACACGATGTCATGGTCTCTCCGGAAGCGTCACCTATGTTTCCCAGCAGCGAGTTTAGTTCCCCCATTGGTCACCCTACACGACACCATAGGCGACAATCTTCGGCTGCTATTTCCGACTTCGTCATGCGACCACCGCCGTCTCCGCGCCTGGGTGCTAGCCAGGCACCGCCCCAAGCACGATCCAATCAACCTTCCATCAAAGATTTTGAAATCATCAAGCCCATCAGCAAGGGCGCGTTCGGAAGTGTTTACCTCTCCAAGAAAAAGTCTACCGGAGAGTACTTTGCTATCAAGGTGCTCAAAAAGGCAGACATGGTTGCCAAGAATCAGGTTGGCAACGTCAAGGCGGAGAGAGCCATTATGATGTGGCAGGGTCAGAGCGAATTCGTCGCAAAGCTCTACTGGACTTTTTCTAGCAAAGACTACCTCTATCTTGTCATGGAGTACCTCAACGGCGGTGACTGTGCCGCGCTGATCAAGGTGCTAGGCGGTCTTCCAGAGGAATGGGTACAAAAGTATCTCGCCGAAGTCATTCTCGGTGTCAAGCACCTTCACGAGCGTGGTATTATTCACCGTGACCTGAAGCCGGACAACTTGCTCATTGACCAAAAAGGTCATTTAAAACTCACCGATTTCGGTCTCTCCCGAATGGGCCTGGTTGGCCGTCAGAAACGAGCGTTGAACAGCGAAACAAGTGAGGCCACGCCCGATCTCCTCAAACAAGGACCTTTTGTTCGATCTACATCTATGGCTTCCTCACGCTCCACGTCGCTGGACCTTCAGGGCCATGCTCATTCCCCGGCTATGACTCCTCAGATGACCCCAGATGTTGGCAGCATGTCCCAGCCGTCATATTTTAGCCTAGGTCAGCTGACTGAGCCTCGACGAACTTCAGGCGGACGACGAAGCGATAGCGGTGGTAGTGAATCCCTTTCGCAGATGTTATCCAACTTTTCGCTCAACGACTCGGATCCTGGGGCACTGCACCTGATGGCGTCCAAGTCACCCGTCGACGACGACGCCATGTATCACGGGTCGCCCGATATACCAGGTAGTCTGCCTAGTACTAGAGCCAGCCTTGACACCCACATCCGGAATCCGTCGCTCCCACAGACCATGATGCCACCGCCCATGGCGCTTTTCGACCCCCAAGATACGAACAGACGATTCGTTGGTACGCCCGACTACCTTGCACCAGAGACCATCAACGGTGACAAACAGGACGAAACGTCAGATTGGTGGTCCGTCGGCTGCATCCTGTTCGAGTTTCTCTTTGGAGTTCCCCCTTTCCATGCTAGCGAGGCCGAGCAGGTGTTTGAAAATATCCTGGCGCGTAAAATTCAATGGCCCGATGAATCAGTCTTGGAGACTGTATCGGAGGAGGCCAAAGATCTCATCAACAAGCTGCTTTGCATCGATCCTCACCAGCGTCTAGGCTCCAACCGCGAGGAAAAGTATGCGTGCGGAGGCGATGAAATTTGCCAACATGCCTTCTTTACAGGCCTCACTTGGGATACCCTTCTCGAAGATGAGGCGCAGTTTGTGCCCCAGCCCGAAAACCCCGAAGATACCGAATATTTTGACGCTCGAGGAGCTGTCCTACAGTCTTTTGCCGAAGAGATGGAAGACCAGATGTCGCCCCAGTCAGCCTCTGGATCCGACTACCCAGACCGACCACATGATGCTCTGTCGCGTGTCAGGTCCCAAGTTAACTCGATGAACCGCAAACTGGTGCCTCTACACATTCCGCCTCATGTGCGAGATATGAAGTCTAGACGTCTCAGCGAGCCAGTGGTTTCCGACGACTTTGGCAACTTTTCCTTCAAGAATTTACCAGTGCTCGAAAAGGCCAACAAGGATGTTATCCAAAAGCTGCGCGCCGAGGCGTTGGCGGCCCAAAACAAGCAGTCCTCGAGCAGTAGTTCTGCGGGAATCGGATCTCCAGCACCCTCGTTGGAGGGCAGCCCAGTCCTCGCAAACCACTTGCAGAGAACGCTGTCCAACGCCAAGGGCAGCAACCGCCCGCAATCCCCGTCTGGATATAGCCACGCGACCTCGTCCCCCAGCCGGGCATCGCAGCCCTCCTCGCCACTACTCGTGTCATTTGTAGCTGGCGGTGCAGAGGGCCGCCGGAAAGCTTCGAGCAACGGGTCCAGCCTCTCCCACCAATCGTCCAACTTGCAGCCGCATGCGCCACCCATTGACATTCCGAAAGGGCCACCCACCCTACAAAAGGCGATCACGACTATTGGCGTATCACCTGTCAAGGGCAAGCCGACACCTCAGCAGCTAGCCATTTCGCCCCAGAAGCTCTCCACGCCACGCAGCGCTGGGCGATCTCGCTCACTTACAGTTGGCTCTGCCGAATCAAGCCCCGTGGCTACCGACATGCTCCACCAGCACCATCGCAATCGCCGAAGCCAGGTCTTTGACATGTCGCCCTCTTCCTCCGACAATGAAGGAGACAGGCACAATGCCCTGCTGCGCGTGCAGAGACGCCGACAAAGCTCCCGCCGCCTTTCCCAAATCGCGTTTGATGGTGGCACGCCCACGTTTAGACCACTAGATGTGCTCATCTGCGAAGACCATCCCGTATCCAGGATGGTCATGGAGAAGCTGCTTGAGAAGCTCCGCTGCCGTACCATTTCCGTCTCCAACGGCTCCGAAGCTGTGCGATATTCCATGAGCGAAATCAAGTTTGACGTTATTTTCCTGGAGTATAGGTTACCCCAGATTAATGGCGCCGACGTCGCCAGGATGATCCGCGAGACCAAGAACACCAACGCGCATACCCCCATTGTTGCCATCACGTCTTACTTGAAGGAGCTGCAGGCTCCTCACTACTTTGATTCGCTGATCGAGAAGCCTATTAGCTCCTCAAAGTTGGGCGAAGTGCTCCGCGGACTTTGCCAGTGGCGTCCCGAGTCGCCCCAGCGCTCAAGCTCCGGCTCGGTAACAGCAGCTCCCGTGCCCATTAACCTCCGCAAACTCAACCCCAGATCTGACGATAGCCCTACATCGAGCATCTCAGCCTTTGTCTGCAGACAGGGCTCTGCAATGATGTCTAGTCGCGAAGATTCCATGTCCAGTGTATTTGGGGACTCGGAATCCGTCACGACGGAAGACATTCCGTTTGTCAGTAGTCGCAAGACGACCGGTGACTGGGAGGAAGGCGGGCTCGGCATTGCGGAATCCGACATTCTCAACTCTCAAGACGCCCCGGCGCCGCCTCCCCTCCTCGTGACACAACAATCGGCCCCCGGCCAGATGGAGCAAGCGGTGCGTTCCCTGGACAAGTTCAAGTCGAAGCGCGAGGCGTCTGAGCGACGAAGCTCCGACGGCACCGACTCGGCCGACGACGAGGACGAGGAGGCGGTGCACAAGGACAAGCACCACGCACGACGCGGCAGCAAAGCCCTGTCGGGAAAGACTCCCCTCCCGAGCTCCAAGCTCGGCATCGAGATGATGCGCGCCAACAGTCACGATAGCATGATGGGAGCCTCCGACAGCACGCCCGAGACGGTGACGCAGGTGGCCACAACGCCATCGCAAGAGGTGCCTCCCGACTTGCACAGCCCAGCAGCAGCAGGAGAGCAAGGCACCACCACGACACCGCCGACCGAGGGCGAGCCGACCGACGAGGTCGACGCCACCCCGCGGCCGCCGCCGACCGCTGTCCTCGATGATGACGAGCCGACGCCGCGTCCGATTGGAAAGTAACCCGCTCTTGACGTAGAGATTTGCCCGCAGGTTATTGTAGCGCAATCACGACTCTGTGCTACCTAGCTTGAAATGTTATTCGTATTGTTTCTTTATCCTCCTTGATCCCTTTCTTACGTCTTGTTCACTTGTTGTTTCACATATCGCTTTCTCGGTTTATCCATCTCCTAGCCACCGGGGAGATTTTGCAGCGCCGGCGTTTCAGGGAAACTAGCACACATGGGGGAGACCTGGGGGCGCGAGGCAGGTTCTGTCGGTTGACGTTACGTGTTGCATTTGGGGTCTGGGCGGTGGTTTTTGCCTTCTCTTTTGTAACTCTTCTTCTTTATTTCTATAGGTGCATATCCCTATACATGCCCATGTCCAGGTGGAATGGTGCCCCCCTCCCCGACGCTAATGAATAACGTTGCACATAACTATTTTATGCCTGCCCTCGATGCATGAGTTGCCGTCAACTCAATCCGACGCTTTTGAGCGCATGACCTACGCGGAACGCATTGTCACGACATTGCGCAAAGGCTTGCATCGCACCTTGGACATCCTGCCGCTGCTCCTACTCCAGCTGCAACATGCCCAGTAGCGGGACGCTCAGCATTCTGTGCTCGCACAGCTCCTGCACCTGCCTGTGCCCGTACCTCCATGTATCGTCATATCTTTCCTCAGCGTCGGGACACACCGTCTTGCCCGTGAGCGCTTTCATCCTGCTGTTCCAGTACTTGATGCCGCCGCAGAGCTTGGAGACCTCAAACACGCCTAAAAGCTCAAGCATAGTGACGCCGAGCGCGTACAGGTCCGCCTTGTGCGAGACCTTGTAGGTTTCCAGCGTCTCAGGCGCCATGTACCCCAACGTGCCAAACCACGTTCCGATGGCGCCAAACGCAAAATCCACCAGGACGAAGCGCACACTCTTCCCGGGTGGCTGGTGCGGATAGTGGACAAGTGTCGTCGTGTAGAGCACGTTTTCCGGCTTGATGTTGCCGTGCACCATGCCATGCACCTCGAGGTACGCCAGTGCTGGGAGTGTCTGCTCTACGAACAGCCGCATGCGTTGGTCGACGACGGCGCTGTATACGTCGAACAGCCGGGCTTTCTTCGGGGGCAATATCAAAGGAGCAAAGTAGTCACGCGCGTTGCCCTGGTAGAGGTCGTAGTACCAGTCGAGCCAGGGTTCGTTTCCTGCCAAGCCGTACACGAGTTGTGGCAGGTGGATATTGCTCTGGCAAGTGAGTATACGGAATTCGACGCTGGTATACGACGACTTACATGATAGTCTAAGGAATCGAATCTCTCGCTTTGGAGTTTGGCCAGACTCTTCCACTTCGCGACTCTTTCCTCAACCTTGGGGCCCTTGTGCGGACCGAAAAGCCTCTTGACCGCGTAGACCTTGCCGCTGCGCAACTCGACCAGCTCGCGCACGCACCCGCCCATGTCGCGGCGGCGCAAGGAGCCGTAGCAGTGCATTTCCGGCAGCGGCCGGGCGTCAAGCGGGTGGTTCAGGGCCTCGCGGGCGAGCTTGTCGAGGAGGGGGTCTTCGATGTTGTACTGTTGCGGGCAGGCGGCGTAGATCCGGGCGAGTTGTTCACGGGCGCTCGCGATGATGGCGGGTCCCGCGAGCGGCACGCGCCACCTGAAGGCAAAGATACAACCAGGGCCAACCTCGACGCACCGGTCGACATCGGACATGGGGATGACGCGGCGCTGCCCCGCGCACGGGCCAAGATTAGCATCATTGCTCATCGAGGACTTTTCGAGGGCACGCGGTTGGTTCTGGGAGTCGGCTCTGGTCACGGGGTGAGAAGACATCAGAGGTTTATTGATGGCAGCTTCGTCGACCAAGACGAGGTCGCCACTGCTGGTCAGGGTAAAGGTGCATATGTGTCTACCGATGAGCTTGTCAGGACATGTGCCATGGGAGCATCAGACGGCAGTGTGCCATTGTGCCGGCCGACGTACCTGTCGTATGGTACCAGTTCGTAGCAAACGTCGCAGTCCACATGAGCCCCAAACGTAATCATGCCTTTTCGCCGTCTTGATGTCTGTTTGGCCATGACGATAAAGGAGTTGAGACCTTCCGGTACATGGCAGTGGGCCCGGTTGTGCATCTCAATCGCACTGGGTGACCGTGGCAACAGCTCAAATAGGGGGAAATCCCGGATATCGTCAGACATGGCTGATGGCGGCACCAATGTAGCTCTGCAGAACGGGATCTTGGTCAGGGTTGCGAGTAAAGCAGATGGAAGGGACCAGGTCCGAGGGGGTGGCCAGGTCCGAGGGGGTAGCTTGAATGAATACTCGATGTCTGCCGGGGGATACGGCAGTGGTGATGTTGTTGAATAGTGTGAGTCTCATGTTTGCGGTGGCTCTAGGCTGTTGCCTGTCGTCACAGTCGGCATCGATTGTGCGCACGAGGGAAGGAACAATGCTTCTTTGCACTGAAGGGACAGGAACTTCGGGTGGTTCTGTTGGATTCCATGTTGAATGGTGCAAAAATGAGACTGGACGAGTCCAGCCCTTCCCTGCACCTTGATCAATGCTGCGGTATCTGTAGATGAGCAAACGGCGTTGGTCTGGCGTTGGTCGGCATCATGGCGTTGCGGAAATACGGAATAAACGGCCGGTGTTCCGACTCTACCCATCCTTCCAGGGTAATAGCAGGCCGCAATAGGACTGGGATGTCCTTTGTGTCCATTATGATAATCACGATATTAGTTTGCAAGATGCCGGTTTTTGTGTACATAGTGGATATATTAATATCAATAAGCTGGCTATGCAACATCACTAAGCTGGACTGCCACAACAATAAGCCGTACTGTCATACCATCAAGGTTGTCGTTATTGTTCTACTCTTTTTCGCTCGAGTTTCGTTTTATTGCAGAAATTTAAAAGAATGGACATTGTCACTGTTCTATTATGCCTCAGCCTGGCTGTGCATCAATGGGGATTGAGCGGGTCCTGCCACGTGTGGATTTTCAAAACGACGCCTTGTTAAAATTACCAAGATATCATCATCCCCTTTCACTATCTGGTCGCCTGCATCACGTTGCAGCGGTACAGTCAAAGCACAGGAACCAGGCTCTCGGGTCCTCGACAATTGTATTCCAGTATTTCTCGACGTGTTCAAAAAGCATCCTCTCCCTGCACAGCGCCTACGTACTCAACTCAACCCTGAGTTCGCGACCGCCCGACAGACTGCGCCCTATGTGTTTCGGCCTCCCACCCGGTGGGCGGCCGATGTAACGTGTTTGCGGCAGTCTCCGATCAGCCGCTAGCCACTGGTCTTTTTCTTCAGGCAGGGTTTCAGTCTGGCAGCTGTTCGAGAGAGTGTCGTCGTTTGCTTTGAAGCAAGAGATTGGAACGGCGGAGCCTATTTTCCACAATTACAAACCGCCGGTCCAACAGGCGGCTGTGCTTGTCACAAATTGCATGATGGAATCCTCAAGAACGGGCACTGTACCTGACTAGCTCAAGGCGTGCCAAGTCTGCATTGCCCCGGGTCATTCATATACACCGGCAGTACGCGTTGTGTGCGGGCCTTACGAGTCGTGCATCGCGGCTGGTCCGAGTAAGAGGTTGAAGACACCCGACACTACCAAACTGCTCGACTACTATCCTATAAAGACCTCAAGATGACTCTTGTAGCCATTTCTCTTGTTTCTTGTCGACATGGACTAATAACTCTTCCCTCTTTACTCTCCTTTACTCCCCTTTACTTTAATCCTTTGCTATCAAATCATCACACGCTCGCTTACAGTCCATCATATCCTGTTTTGCTACTTCCGAAGCACTTCGCCTCGTCTAGTTATTCTTCTCGCCCTCTTGCATAATCAAATCAGCTACCATGAGAGTTTCTGTCGCCGCCATCGGCGCCGTCTCACTCGGCAGCCACGTCCTGGCCGAAGCACCGCTCAACATTGTCGGCATTCCCGTCATCAAAGAGATTGCCGACATTGACGGCCAGTGGAAGTTTGACGCCTGCCACAAGGTCGACTCGGCCGTCGACGGCCTCATATGGCCGTGCGCCTCGCAGCTCCGGACGCGCGTCAAGTTCTGCCCCCAGGTCGCCACCACGGCCGCCCAGCGCATCGCCCAGCGCGACTGTCTCTGCGGCGTCGGCAGCTCGTTTCTCGTCGACGCCGTCGCCTGCTCCGAGTGCAAGGTGCAAAACGGCCTGCAGCCTGCGACGCAGCGGGAGCATTGGACCCAGTACTACAACGAGGTCGGCGACAAGTACTGCAAGCGCTCCGAGGTGCCCCTGAGCTTTGAGGCTTTCACCGAGGAGCTCAACAACAGGATGCCCGTGCCCGAGGGCGGCCAGAACTTGAACCAGCATGTGGGTGTTGTTGACCCCAGGATATACTATGAGTCGGCCCATCTCCCTGTGCCCAAGACGCAAGGGGCTGGCAAGTTCACGCCAGCACCCACCGAGGTCGGACACAACGACACCGCCCCCGTCGCCGTCACGGATCCTCTGGCCGGCCAAGTCAAAGTGCCCGTCTTTATTGTCGTCGTGAACCTGCCTTCCGCAAATGAGACCAACACCGCGTCCATTAGACCAACCACTCCTGTCAGCACGTCTGCTCCCTTCCGCAACACTACCCAACCGACCTCTACCTTCCTCACCATCACGACGACTTCCAGCTCCACCTCGTCCACCACGACCTCGATCAATGTCCTGCCCGCCACCTCTGTCGTTGCCGCGCCCGGCACCGTCAGCGGCCCCGTGGAAGAGCACACGGTTGTCATTGACGGCCAGCGCTGCGTCGTGCTCATCATGTGGATCATTGTGGACTGCTCGCCCAAGGTGGATGCCGGCGGCAACTTTGCCATTGACTTTGAGAATACCGGCATCGACAAGACCGAGCCCGTCATGAAGCTCGAGAATGGCGCCCAGTTTGACAAGGTCAAGGACGCCATGGCCGATGCCGGCAAGAACGAGATGCTGGCAGAGCAGGCCAAGCAGCGTGTTGATACCGCCGCCCCCGTCGTCGCCGCTCCCGATAACGCCAGCAACAAGGAGCTGCTTCCTGCGAAGCAGAGCACCGGCGGTAGCAAGGGCCCCTCTTCCAATGAGATCATCTGCCCCGACGGTACTGAGATTATCAAGGGCCCTAGCGGCGGCTCGGAGGCTGGTGCTTCCGCCCCTGTTGGTACTATCAAGCCGATTGCTGCCAACCTTGCTCAGGACTCCAGCAAGCCTGCCCAGGACTCCAGCAACCCTGCTCAGAACGCTGGCAACCCTGCTCAGAACGCTGGCAACCCTGCTCAGAACTCTGCCAACCCTGCCCAGAACTCTGCCAACCCTGCCCAGGACTCCGGCAAGCCTGCTCAGGACTCCAGCAGTCCTGCTCAGGACTTCGGCAAGCCTGCTCAGGACTCCAGCAAGCCTGCTCAGAACGCTGGCAAGCCTGCTCAGAACGCTGGCAAGCCTTCCCAGGATGCTGCCAACCCTGCCCAGAACTCTGCCAACCCTGCTCAGAACTCGAGCAGCCGTCCCGGCAGCTCCGTCGGTCCATCCGACGCCCCGGCCTGCGTTTGCCCGGCGACCAGCACGGCTCCCGCCACCCCGGATGCCAAGGAAATCTGCACCAAATCGGACAAGACCAAGAACGACTGCCTGGCTCTGTGCGACGACGACGTGCGCAGCTGTCTGTGCTCCGAGGCCAGCTTTGCGCACCTGCGCTTCTTTGACGAGGCCATCATCTGCGCGCGCCGAGACGTGGATGCCCGCCAGGGCGAGTTTGAGGCGCAAATCTTTTTCGAGGTCAAGGCCCGCTACTGCCAGCACAAGCAGTTTGGCAACGACTTTGCCGCCGCCTACGCCAGCGTCGATGGCGAGTGGAGAGAGGCCAGAAACCCGAATCCTATTCTGAGCTAGAAACATGTCGTTGAATACGTAATCTTGAGCAACATACATTGTAGCTAGTTTTTTTCCTCACTATCGTGGGATTTTTTGATAGCTCACATTTCTTAATACATGTTTTTCTAATTTATTTTTTTACATGCCCAGTGCAATGACCCCAAGACTCGAGTTGCTTTACCCCTTGGTCCAGCGCGAGGAAGTGTGCTTACAAGCTTACGACTGGTTCTATAGCTGTAAAGCTCGGAGAGACTTGCGCCGCATCTCAAGCCATGCTGGGTCGGCTGGCAACTTGCAAAGAATCAATAACTAGAAAGTAGTAACTGGCTAGTGCGAGGCCCTGGCATCCTGAGACAGACAGACCCCCTCCTCCAACGTGACGACAAAGCTGGTTGCCAGGCTGACTTGACCGCCATAGCCACAAGATTCCTAGGCTCGCTTCGTCCATGTTCCCTCTCGCCTTCGCGCTCGCCTCGCTCTCGCGCTGCGAGAAAGAAAAACAAGCCGAGGCGGGCTAGTCAGCGATATTTCGGACTTGAGCCAAATGGACTCTGGCCGCCCCGCCGCCAAACAAGGCTGCGGCGCCAATACCTGACGACGACAACATGGGCGAGGCGGATCGGCACATTTACCCATCGCTTCGGGGAATGGCCGTTGCTCGCCTTGGGGGAGTTGCGTCAACCACGAGCCTCGCGCGCTGGACAGGAACAGCGCGAAGCGACGAGGGTCTCTTGGGCCGTGACAGCCCAGCCCGACGGAGTGAGGAAAGACTTTCGGCAGATGGTATGAAAGTGATGGATATATAAACTACAGGCATCTCGTCTTTTGGAGAATCTGGATCAAGTCAACAGCCCTGCAAGACAGGCAAAACGAGGGAAACCTGCACCGCACTGACACTCACACTTATACTCACACTTACACTCACGCCTACACCTTCACAATGAAGTTCAACAGTCTCTTCACCTTAGCCCAGCTCCCCTTCGTCCTCGGCTGCGCCACGCACATCCCGCGGCAAGGCGCGCCGCCAATTGACCTTGGCAGCGACGCGGCTGCCGACGCCGCGACGACGGGCTACTTCATCAACCACGTGTCGCTCAACGTGCGCAACCTGACGGCGAGCCTCGCCTTTTACCAGGCAGCGCTCGGGCTGCGGCACATAATCACGGTGCGCGCCACGCCGCGGCTGTCGGTGGCGTACCTGGGCCACGCGCACGGCGGGCGCAACGGCACGCGGCTACCAGACGGGCGCGCGAGCTGCTGCGCGACAAGAACAACGCGCAGGGCACTCGTCGAGATGCTCTTCCTCGACGTGCCGCGCCGCGGCATCGCGTCCCCCAGCGAGCACACCAACGCCGTCGGCCACCTCGGCGTCGTCGTGCCCGACGTCGTCGCCGCCCAGGCCCGCCTCGAGGAACAAGGCGTCCGCCTCCTTAAGCGCGTCGGCGAGGACACCCCGACCACGGGACCGCTGGCCATCTCCCAGGGCTTCGCGCCCGACGTGTACAGGCAGGTGCCGCCTGGGGAGCAGAGGGCGATTGAGGCCGTGCTGAATGAGATGAATCGGCGCTTCATCTATGCGCAGGATCCAGATGGCAATATTCTGGAAATTCAGCCGCAGGACTAGGGCTGGTGGTGGAGGGGACAAGGGTTCGAGTATAGGATGGCTCTTGCGGGCTCTCACATGTCCAAGCACCAAACCCTATCCATTGTCGTGGACGGCAACCAACACCGGAGCGCCAACCCATGTTTGAGGTATGATGTCGGTCCTCCGCCGACCAGCTTGGCCGAGCGCTTGGTGGGGGATGTGGATAAATTCCTTTGGCAAACGAATGACGAGAGCACACAGATGAGCTTCCTATCAGGGTAAGATGAGAACTGTTTGGCGTTTTGTGGCTGGCATTCTAGAAGAGTTGTCCGGGCTTGGCAAGTGCTGGGCGTTGTGCGCCGTGCATGAGCAGAGGGAAAGGATCAGAGCTGTGCTCAGCGTTCGACTGCGGTAACTCGGTTCTTGACTGGCGGGCAAATTTTGACACTGTGCTGGATGCCATCGCGTTTGACTGTCTCTTTCTTATCGCAAAGCGAGACCATCAAGTCGATGACCTCAATCCTCTGTTGCACACGAGGTCATCTTCAACCAGATTGTCAGTTTTCGACTTTGACGTCTTCGCAGTATCTGCCAAGTCACCAGAATATATTAACATGAGCCTCTGAAGAATTTCAAGATATTTTATATTGTATCCACTGCACGACAGCTGTGCTCACCTCTTCCACTTTCCAAAGATGCCCGCTTATACTGATCTCCGTTCTATGAGAGTATGTTGGTTTGATAAAGCAGACGTTGCTTAGTTGTGCTCTGTAAGCGGCATGCTGCTTAGCCGAGAGCTTCCATGGCTGCTTCGCAGCTCGAATTTCTGCCTCTTGTGCAATAAATCCTTGAAGAAGCGCGGCGTGGCTTTTCTTGAATAAGGCTTGCAGTAGCTCGTCGGGTGCGTGAGGAAGTGATTACGTGGGACATGGTCTAGAGAGAGCATTTTCCGTCTGGAGACGCTCAAAGATTGTCATGATGGAAACGTGCGATTCTTCCAACAGAGATGAGCGTGTGAGGATGGACCCGATGGCGGACGAGGAAGCGAAGTGGGCGAGCGCAAAACGAGGCTCTCGCGACTGTTTTAAGGGGAGGCGCTTCCGACGATTCTAGCCCCCTGACGGCCACTTCTGGACGCTAGATGAGCACATTGGATAACACATTGGATGAGCACGTTTGTAGATGACAGGAAGCGCGAAGCAGGAAGATGGAAGACGAACAATGTCAGAGTGATGGAGGAGAGAAGAACTGGTCCCTGAAAAAATGGGCCTATGGACGCTTTGCTCCACCACAGAACACATGCAGGAGCTGGGCAGAGAAGCATATTACCGGCCTGTCCTTGGTTCCCCTCTGACTACCTAGGTATGTCAAGGGTATCGACAGTGCTTTCATCTATGTAGTATATAACTATTCTGGGCTGCTACGCCTGCAACCTCGTGGGCATTCGTGAGACCAGGCTGCGTGGTAAAGGGCCACCAACCTTGGCTGAATTAGGCAGGTAGAGAGATGGAGAAGGTGCGCCACACCTTGCGGTACTGCGCCATCACTGGACGGTTTTGCGTCTTGTTGCTCTTTGTGTTGAAAGACTGCAACCCCGGTGTCAGATGGGGCTGCTTGTAGGGTAACTACTTAATTCATACTGGTATGGGTGGTCGTGGGCACGTTGCCATTGATGGGTGCGAGGCCCATGTGATGGCAGTGGCTGCGCAAAACTATAAAAGAAATATGCAATAAGAAGAGAATCAGGAGGAGGCGCAGCTGCGAGGAGCCAGCAGCCAAATAGGGGCCATTTTTTTTTTCACTTATCGTGTTGATTGTGAATAGTGGCTTTTCCCACCGGTAGACCGCTATCCGCCCATCGCCTTGCCGGGCGATTGTGCAGTCTTGTACCCACCGCCATCAGGGAAAGGAAGCGGGGGGACGGGGGGAGCGGCTTTCCCGCTGTTGAGATGCAGAGTGGTTTTTTTTCTTTCTCTTTCCAGTGGCAAGTAGTCGTTGAACAAGAAGGGGTCTTGTTTGCCCTCAAGTCGTCCGTCCTTGGAGAAGCCTGAAAATGGGGAGAGACAAGCAACGTGCGAGGTGGTGCGTGCGGCGTGTGTTGCGCAGTGAAACAAAGTCCGAGTAAGCCCCATGTGCATCTATCAAACTGGGTCTTTGCATCGTTGGATACAGTGGCCGTACCTCAAAGTACCAGAGAGAGAGAGAGAAGTGAGACTCGGTGAGTTGACTCGCCCCGAGAGAGAGAGCTTTCGCCTCGTCGCAAGTGGGAAGCTGACGCAGTGTGGAAAAAAGTAGATTGGCACTGTGGCCGTATGCAGACACGCCCCCCCCCCCTTGGCTAGCGTGAGGCGAGTTGTACGCCCCCCCCCCCCATCCCCCAAGAAGTACATAGCGACAACTTGTGGCACTGAACACTTGTTCCAAGCTTCTGGGAGACAAGGAACTTGCGCCTGGTACGGGGCGGGCAATCTTGTATCAGGTGGGAAAACGGATCGAGTTTCCCCCGCGCGAACAAGACAAAAAAGTTACAGCCATGTTCCCTGCACCAGTAGTTGAATGAATATCTGCCCATCTGTCAAAAGGGGAGGAGAGGGAGGGGGGGGGGTCAACCCGGCATTACACAACTGCATAGATTTGACAACGTGCGACTGCCGCCATGTGTTCCAGACTGGAAAAGAGGAAGAAGCGGGGGGTCAAGGTCCATTGGGGCGAGTTACATCGTGGCTTGGTATAACCGCAGGAATAGATTACGGGTATTCCTTTTTTTTTTTTTCTTCTTCTTTTCCCTTGCCAGTCATCAAATTCCAGGCAGCCACTTTGTGAACCAAAAGAGCGAGGCGAGCGCCGTTTCATGGGGCTGACACCCACCCTCTCCCCTTTTTTTTTTATTTTTTTTTTTTTGTGTTTTTATTGTATTTTTCATGTCTTGTATTTTTGCTCACTTGTGGAAATGATTTGGGTTCTACTGGAGGGGGTGTTTTGCCTTGCGCGCACAAAGCTGAGGGGGGATACTGGCATGTTTCTTATTAAGCCGAGATGGAAAACAGATAGTCGTAAGAAAAAACGTGCGAGTTGTATTTTATATCATTCGTCTTTCTTTTCATCACATTCTATCATTTGCCTTGCCAAGACAGGGCAAGTAGAAGGCGTCGTTTCAAAACATAAACTACATGCATTGCAAAACGAATATCCGTAGACGCGAGTCGTTGCTCCATGGCCAATCAATTCATCACCAAGAATCGTCAACAAGAACTAGCCAACCTGTAATACACTCGGCAATTACTTCATAATAGAAAATAGAGCCAAGATGGACAGCGTCTCGTTGATGCATGCTGCAAAAGCCCTCCCCCCCCTAGCTGGCAGCCCTGCCGGTTTTAGGGGTGTGCATGAGCGGCCGGGGACCGCTGAAGCACTCTGAAGCGCCGCCCACTCGACAAGTCCTCATGCGCTGCTCTCCTGCAGCTATCATGATCAAATAAAAAATCCATAACATCCAATGTTATTATTAACTACCATCATCACCTAGTTCGTGTGGGGGAATGCCCACGTTTTTCCCGCCCAGTGTTTTATTTTTATCCCATCAACTACCGAGACGACAGCAAAGTGCATATCCGTCTCTTTTCCGTACCAGAAGAGAACGTTCGTACTTTTGCAGCTTCAAGGGATTGATTGCTAGTCCTCTGTAGATGTGCTCCTTCATCTGCGCAGGGCTGCCATTTCTTCAACAGCAATGAGAAAGCATCGCTACAGTACGGAGTATGTACAAATTACTTGCAATACATACCAGGCCCTTCATCAACTTCAAAAGATACGAGTCGGCCAGCGCAACGGGGCGGGACGGAGCCCCGGCGGAACACACTTGTATTGCAATTCCTACACCTCGCCGGCTCGCCACACCCCCCGGGCCCTCTCCGTCTCGCCCTCCGCTTTTGGGCGCTCTGGCCGTTTGTGGTTGCAGTGGTAGGGCGAACCCGCTTGCAATGCAACCGAAGCAATGGGATGTGAGACACCAACACAGAGACTTGCAGACCAAGGCCTAAAGCCTCCATGAGATCTCTGCGTCCACGAGAGGCTGAATCTTGTTCAAAGATGTGCTGCCACTGATACATACCTATGTATGTAGGTACTGTAGCCTGCTGGGTACAGCACACCTTGACCAGGCTGACGACGGATAGGTTGTTACAGATCGCGATTCAATACCACTAGTCGGTAAATATCGTCGTTTGAGCTTGCATGCCTGCAGCCAAGAAGTGTCCATCAAGGTACTCAGAAGCTCGGGCCAGTCCTTCTTGTTCTGTCTCTGTTTTGCGGCTTGTCTTACCCTCGACCGTTTGCTGCGACTCGGCATCTTCCGTTGTTCAATCACTGCTCGGGCCCTGTGCACTGCCCGTTCATACAGTAGTTTGACCTGTTAACGAACACGCATTCCCTCATCCCTCAAATCCCTTATCATTCTGCGAAATCCCCAACAATCCGTCCTGGCCGCCCGTAGCCAATGTCCAATGTCCCCAACTCCTTGCCAAGGGGGCCGCGCTGACCAAGGCTGGCTCAGCTGAAGCGGGCGGCGCTTCTCCAAACATCCTCTCTCGCATTCAATCGCCGTTGCATCTAGTTAGCCCTATCCGTCGTCTGAGGCTGTCCTTAGTTTCAGCAGGGCGGAAACGATGCGAGAGCGGCGATGCAGTCTCGATTCACGAATGTCCAAATCGAGCCACCACCTTCGTCTCCGCGCACCGGACCCTGCTGGATGCTCTCCCCCTCCCTCTTCCTTTGTTGCACCGTGAGGCTTGCGTCGGCCGAACTGACCTGTTTGACGCCTCGGCCGGAAACGACCAGCCCAGCCAAGATCTGGGGCTCAAGGGTTCCCGTAACACAGTATCAGTACCAGCGTACCCTATACCATATGTATGCGATATTGAAGAGTATAAAATGTCATTTGTACGAGACGTGTATAGAACGAGGTCTTGCTGAGTCGGGCCGCAGCCACGTTGCAATTGCCACACCACAACGGCCGTGCGAAGGAAAGAAAGACTTGCTGCCATGTGGTACTCGTACAGTGCATAAACCAGCAGAATTGGGATGGCGTCTTGGTGTTACAGCGTGCTTGTCAGGCGAGGCTCTCACTGCCCACTCAGAGTTGCAGCCCAGCTGGACCGCCTCGGATCCAGGTCGCACAGGCGCCCGTCTGGGTGTGCCACACACGACATACATTGCTTCTGAGGAAGCGAGGCGGCCGACAAGGCGAGGCTGGGCACATGGCCAGAACGGCTGCAAATGGACTCAAGGGAGGCATGAGTGGGAACATTTCCTGGCGTGCGGCGCCCCGAGCAGATGGACAGTGCAATTTGCAATGAGAGACATCGAAACCGTTGCGTGATAATTTGTACACGACACGAGCTTGCGACTGCCGCTGCCATTTCATTAGTTGCCCATGGGACTAGAAAAATCAGCTCATAGTTGAGTGCCGTACCATGTTCCCTCTGTTACGTTAGCACCAGGACTATGTAGGTTAGGATCGGCCGACAAGTAACTACCTAGCTAGTTAGCTTATAAGTGGAAGGGTGGTGGTGGTGCCTCGCCTTGTCGGCATTGGAGAAGCACTGGGGAGCGACTCCTCATTTTATTGCCCATTTGGACGCCCAGGCCCTGGTGTAAATCAATACAGTTCGGCTTCTGTACCCCAGGTCCCCAGGCCAGCAACTTTCTGCCCCCAAGCCGAAGGATATGGTAAAAAGGCTATAGCATGTGGGGAGTAGCAAGACAGGCTCCTTTTCTGGCAGTGGTCGATGCTAACTACGTTAATAGTTAGTAGTCTGGTCGTCTGGTAGTCTGGTATTTTGGTAACTAGTGGTAGTCTGGTAGTCTGGTAGTCTGGTAGTCTGGTAGTCTGGTCGTCTGGTAGTCCGGTAGTCTGGCAGTCTGGCAGTCTGGCAGTCTGGTAGTCCGGTAGTCGGTAGTCGGTAGTCTGGTAGTCCGGCCTCTCCCAGTCGTCTGTTGGTAACTAGTTAGCCAAAAAGAACCAAGAGACGAATCATGGCGGCTTCAGCTTGGCGGCGACTTGCCCAGTCAGGAGTCTTGGAGAATCTGTGGACTAGCCCGTCTGATGGCGGCCGGGCCACCCAGATTAGTCCAGGGCACGATGGCGCTGACAAGAACTGCCCGGCCAGATTGTGAGGATGACTTCGTGGCGCGGCCCTAGTTATGTTGGCTAGCGGCATTGGGAATTGCTTGCTGAGACAGTGCGACACTGCATTTCGTCTACTCATCTTCATTCCGCTGCAATTCGTGTCTTCCAATGCTCTGCTGCACTGGCAAACTTGCACAGTCGCACCATCCGGAGGCACGCCCTCCTAATAACAGGACCCCCTCCCTGTACGTACCAGAAGATGCAATAGGCCTAAGAGAGAAGGCAATAACTAAAACTCGCTCAGCTAAGGCGCCATGTGCCGGCAGCAAAGCAGCAGCATGCCCCATGCCCAGCCAGGGCTGACGGTGGAGCCCCTTATTTAGCTAGGCCTTTGTAGCAGCCCTTTGCACGTTCTTGTTAGTTAGGTAGTTAGTTAGTTAGTTAGTTAGTTAGTTAGTTAGTTAGTTAGTTAGTTAGTTAGTTGCTCGTCACTGCTTTGGCCACTTGCAGGTCGAGGCTCCCTGGTCGGCGTGGGTTGTCGGGATTGTGGTCATGGCCAATGCAAGCGAGCGAGGCCTAGGAGGCCTGAGGGAAGGAAGCCCCAGATGCCGACCACACCCAAGCACATCTGGGTGTGTCTCACAGTCGGCAGGTTTTCACTTGGCTGCAGTCTCGCAGCCTCCTACCTAGCTTGGCCGTAGTGTCCTTTGTCTCCCAAAAAGCCATGCATGCCAGCCCGTTGCCTGTGTCAGCAGACACTGGGTGACCACCGCCTCTGCGTGTCAGAACGGATTCGATACCGTGTTATCGATCAGGAGGAGGAGAAGGAGTACATACATACGAGTAGGCCTGGCCGTGCGCAGATGACGAGATTGTGTGCGACAACAGTCAGCCTCTTCGTAGTCTACCATTCAACCATGGCACTCGAGTCGACGTCCCCGTAATAACTCGCCTCCGTCTTCTCTGGTGATTCGTTGAGTGTCACCCAAACGATTTCGCTTTCAAGTTGCCCCTCTGCACTGTCTTGTCCAGTCGCGCTCCAACCACCCAGCTGGTACTGGTAATCAGACACACTGCTTCATGCTGGAACTGCGTCTCTCTTATCCAGCCAGGGCTAAAGGCCCCGTTCTCCGCCCCCTCGACCAGGTGTCCCACCAAACAGGGCCTTTTGCAGCTTGTTCGCTGCTGCCGAGACTTGTGTGTCCACTGCGCTGCGGTGGGTGCTGGGGCTGGCTGGCTGGGGCTGGCTGGCTGGCCGGCTCGGCGAGCAGCGGGCAGCGAGCATTACACAAGATATGCTGATGGGCCGTGTCTCGCTCGCCTCAGTTTGTGGTTGAGGGGGGGTCGGGTTATCGTCTGCAATGCTGCCGGTGCCATACGATGTTGTTGCAGGTAGGCAGGGACCTTCGATTGTCGTGGTCGTTGACTGGAATCAAACCTGTCAGTGCCGTCACTTGCCTCTCGACTTGTCAGTGTTGTCACTCTTTCCATTGATTGTTCCATGGACCGTGGGTACATACCTAGATGATCGTGGGTAGATGAAGGCGTCCCGTTTCCGCACTGTACGGGGCATTCCTTTTAGGCAGTTCCCTCAGAAGCGTGCAGGCACCTTCTAGCGCGGATAGCGCAGTGCCTGAGCACCTTCCCCCTGTAACTGACTCTTTTTTCCCGCTAACTCGCCTGGCCCTTTCACTGTCCCACCCCAGCTTCCCGCACTCCCGTGGACTGAACGACCACTTTATGCCCTCCTCCACCCCCCCCCCCCAACTTCAGGACCCCCCATCCCCAGCAAATCCCAAATCCTTCCATCTCTCGCAGGCGGCGCTTCCTATTGTGAACATCTCAATACCTCATCCTCTTCTTTTCACTCCATCCAGCTCCCAAAGTCCACGCCTTTTCCTACCGCGCATCGCCCAATCCTCGATTCCCCTGGCCGGCGCACCATTCAGTACTCCCAACTCGCTCCTGTTGTATCACACCTCCTGCAATTCGTCCGCCTCCAAAAGCTCCGCACTCGCTACCCGCCGTCGCGCAACCTGAACCCGCCGTTTGAGTGCTATCCTCATCTTGACGCCTCATTTCTTGCCCGCCACGAATTCTTGCAGAACTTTGCTCCTAAAGAATTGCTTCTCTAATAGACGGCGCAATCCACCGTCGACAGTCTTGATGCCCGCTTAATACTCCCCAGCCCGTACCACCAAGGATGCTCTCGGTTTCCACATCGAACTCATGAGACGATGAACACCGTGACCGCCGGTCCACGCAGCTTCTCGCCGCCGCTCAAAGCCCGCTACAGTGATACTCCTGGCGGCGGCGAGTGGTCTTCTTACAGACATTACACCGATCATCGCTCAAGTTATATCAACGGCTCTCACGGCTCAGACTCGATCAACATGGAGCCCGTAAAAAAATCAGGCGGCAAGATGCCCATCTACAACTCCAGCCAAGACTTCTCTCGCCTCGACCTCTCCAAACTCTTCGAACCAGTTCCCATGAACCACAAATCCTTCCTCGATCCAGAGTATGAGGCCGAAATGCTCAAGCACAAACGTGACGTCCTTCAATCTGTCGTCGACTCGCATGGTACTACTTGTTTAACGTCCCAACTAGTTCCAAATTTGCTGACTCTGTCTATAGACATATCTCGCAGTGTCCCTGTTCTTTCTTCTCTAGATGAGTGCCGCATGCTGCAATACATGTGCGAGTGTCTCGAGGCTGCCTGCATGCTCAAAGGTACTGCGAATTCCATCTCTGCCCATTGCATTTCTAACGCTTCGCAGGCATTGATGCCAACCAGCAACTCAGAGCCTCTTCCGCCAGTGCCCCTGCCAGCTTCCGACCGTGGCTTTCTCGTAACCTGACCAAGCAGGATCCCGTTTTTGCCAGCATTATTGCTGGCGGCAAGAGCCTCGACGAACTTCCGCGAACCCTCAAGTGCCCCCTGCGTGGCTGTCGTCATTATGTGTATGGTTTTGCTACCAAGGAGGAGCTACAGGCGCACACGCGCACTCACTTAGTCCCCGGTGAAGAGCGACTCCAGGATCAAGACGAAATCAATGCCCGCCGCACTATGCAGTACCCTGGCAAACCCGAGATGGATCCTGTTCAGCAGCCTCGCACGCCACCTGAGCAGCGCGAACCCATCGAGAGAGACTACGCACGCGCCGATGGTATGGACCACGATGGCATTCAACCCCACGCCTTTATGCGCCCCAAGTCTCCAACTTTGACCGGCACCACTCTTTCGCCTAACCCCGACGGCACCGCATACGGCGAAGTCAACCACAACCGCTACTTTCCGCCTTCAGAACCTCACCACTCCCCACGGTTACGTCCATCGGAACAAGAGCCTCGGCACGAGTCCATGCACATAGACTCGCGTCGCGAATCTGCGCATCACGATGCCTTGCCACCCATCAGACAGCTTGACCTGCCCTCTGATCAGGGCCTTCAGCACCACGGCTACATGTCGGCACCCCAGTTACAGCCACCAACCCAACCCAGCCACTTACCCCGTCTCGATACCCTTGCAGGCTCCTCCTTCCACTCTGAGGCTCCATCATCACCCCGACTTCGCATCCGTGCCCTGGAACGTGGCCTTTCTGATCGCGGTCACTCTGACGCTCAAACCTCGTTCAGTGGCCAGGACTCTTTGCCCCCATTTTCCGCTCTGGATCCTACCGGCAGCGCAATTTCTGCTCGCCTCCAACCAATCCACGAATCCGACAGAGTCTTCAAACAGGAAGTCAGCAACGGGCCCGTACATATCAAGTCAGAATCGAAGCAACATCTTGAGGAGCCCTGCTTTCGCTGTACTGGTCAAGAAGCCGGTTCTTGCAAGTGCATTGCTCCTCTACGAGACGACGACTCGCACTGGCACCGCGTCGACACCTACAGAGGCACTGTTGCGTCTGTCGCCAAAAGCCTGGTGCCAGGATCCCCCATTGGCGAGCGACCTTCTAGACATGGCACTCTGTTGTCTGGCCCCATTCGACAGGAGGCTGTCCGCAAGCTTCGTCGTGACGTTGATGATTACCTCCGATCCGTTTTGCGCTTCCCTGACAACATTCGCATTGGCATTCGCGACATGACTGATTTCAATGACTCCTTTTGGCGTATGGGCGATCTGAGCCATGAGAAGAATATTATAGAGCAGATCGTTGCCACCAACGCTTGGAATATTTTTACCCCCCCACCTGCCATTCTTTGCACACTTCTCTACATGAACCTGAGAACCCAACAACCTTATAACATCATTCACCTGATTGGCACCAGCGGTAGATTCTCGACCAGTCGACGAGATGAGGAGCGTACCAGCCCTGCCCTCTACCACGCCAAGCACCTCCTCCGCGAAGTTACCTTTTACGGCCTCTCCGGGAACACCCCCTTCATCTGCGCACCTTTCGCAGAGAGACGCGGACCACCATTCCCCGAAGACGCTGTGCGAGACGACCAAGCCGAAGTTGTGGAGACATGTATGGCCACCTTCCTCCGCGCCTTTGAGGCCAGCTGCAGAGACGGCAAGGATAAGACACCGAAGCAGTGGATTGCGCTGTTTTCGTCCCTCATCATGTTTAATCTGTCCGGCGTAATTCTTGGCGGAGCCGCAAAGGCCTCGCTCGAGAATCCCGTCAATGCGGATGACCACTCATTTGCCCTCGCATTCTGGGACAACATCCGCAGCACCTTTGACGTTCTGCTTGACCTCTTCTTCGATCTCGGCCCCATGCTGTTTGATCGAGTCTCACAAGATTGGGATGATGACGACATCACGGCATATGACATGATGGCCAAGGCGCTTGCGTATGGCGACTGGAAGAGCAGGGGTATTGCCAACTCAGAAGAATTCTTGCTCGCACTCTCCTCCTTTACATTTGAGGACTCCATCGAGTCTACAAAACAAGTGACCAAGACGATGGGCATGAATCGAGAAGAACCAAAGAGAGGCCCCCAGCGATCCGACGTCTCGCGAAGACCATCATATCATGGTGAATATCCTTCACGGACATACACTGACTATAGTCAAGACCGCCATAGACAATCAATAACGCCGGGACTCTCTCGCTCGCAGACTGACTCTGCCTATAGAATCGGCGGCAGCAATGGAGGCTCTGAATTCAAGTCGCGTGTCTTTTCGAGGGACCATGGCTCAGTTTCGGTTCGCAGCGAGTATGCCCACTCTGAGGCTGGTTCAAACAAGGTTCATGAATATCTCCGCTCCGAAGGCGGCTCATTACGAATCAACGACCATACATGGCACTCTGTACAGCACTCTGGCCCCTCGCGCCGTTCATCACCGGGGCCGACGGAGCATAACTCACTATCGCCAACCGGCGTTGTGTCTCCCGACGGCCGGTCGCCAATGTCCATGGCTAATCTGATTGGCAAAGCTGGCCCATCCCCTCATGCGCCCGGCAGGGCCCTCAGCCCAAGAAGCGAAATAAGCAGAAGTGATGCGGGGTACGGATACTCAAGACACCATGATAACCGCACCGCCTCTCATGGCGGTCTAGCGTCCCGTGGCGACCGCCTGGATCGTCGTCCATCAATCACTGGCTCATCTCACTCTGTCACCTCATCCCGCCGTGACAGCAGCGCACCCGTTGCCATTCCGTCTGGGCCGCCCAATATTAAGCCCACGTACCAGAGACCACCGCTACGCCGAGTGTACTGCACTCACTGCAATGACTACCCCGAAGGATTCCGTGGCGAGCACGAGCTGCGACGCCACACGCACGCACGCCACGCGGCATTGGTTCGCCGCTGGGTTTGCCGAGAACCGCCCAGGAGGCACCCTAACCAGCCTTGGACATCTGTTCCTCTCAACACCTGCAAGTCGTGCATGGCCCAAAAGAGCTACGGCGCTTACTACAACGCCGCGGCGCATCTACGTCGTGCCCACTTCCCACCCTCACGCAATGGCAAGTCTGCGAGTGACTGGCCGTCTATGTCTGTCCTGAAGGAGTGGATGCAAGAAGTTTGTGTTGCCCCCGATGCGCAAAGCGAGGGCAAAGGCAAGGGCAAAGGAAGGGCTACCTCTGATGGCCAGCTCGTTGATCTGGACAGTGACGACGAGATGGAAGACGTCAACGGCCAAGATGATAGTTTGGAACCCAGCAACCCCGGCAACATGGAAAGCGCGCCCGCATCGAGCACTCCCAACAGATCGGGCTCGGGCGATTCCCCAGATGAGCCGGCAGGTGGGCAAAAGTGCCCATACCCGGAATGCGGACGTGTGCTGCGTGACCTCGCCGCACACATGCTGACGCATCAGGCCGAGCGACCGGAAAAGTGCCCCGTCCCTTCATGCGTGTACCACACCAAGGGCTTCGCGCGCAAGTACGACAAGAACCGCCACGCGCTGACGCACTACCGCGGCACGCTCATTTGCCCTCTGTGCCCGACCAAGGGTGAGAACAATGTCGAGAGCGTGTTTAGCCGCGCAGACGTCTTCAAGAGACATCTCGCGTCAGTGCACAGTGTCGAGACGAGCACCGGCCCTCAGACAAACGGCGAAGACGCCCCCTCGGCGGCGGCCGCGACCGAAATGTCTGCTTCCATGATGTCGCGCCCCGTGGCGGACCCCAATACGCTGCAAAATCAGGGCCGCTGCTCCATCTGCAACGCCTACCACCCGTACGCGCAGGAATTCTACGAGCATCTCGATGAGTGCGTGCTTGCGGCACTTGTAGCCCCCGATACGCTTGCCAAAACGCAGCTGAGCCGCAGCGGCAGCGGCAGCACCTACGCCGCGATGCCGCCGCCACCACCCCCGCGCACAGGCTCGCCAACTTACTCGGTCGGCTCGGGGCGCTCCCAGAATACACAAGGCAGCCGTCTGCACCACGGTCCGTCGGCTCCGGCTACGTCTGCGCCATATGGCTACCGCCCGTACTCGGACCACGGCTCCCGGCCGGGCAGCGCGGCGTCGGCGCGGAGCTTTGACTCGTCTGGGCGTCGATCGGGCCTGATTCACGTGCACGCGCACACGCAGCTGCACGCGCCTCGGCCGATGGGTGTGCCTCTGCCACCGCCGTCTGCGTGCGGCTCCTTTGACTCGGATCTCAACTAGAGGGGGGGTGGAGGTGTAGCGGGGTTACAGTGCCCGCGTATAACATATAACAGTCTATTTTGCGTTTTGTATCATTCATGAGAGATGGTCTCCTTGACGATGATGAGGAAGATGTGGAGTATTATTTTTTGTACATAGCGATTTTTATAGGGGGCAGGGCGTTTTTTTCCACCACGAGTTGGATCCTGGAAACATTGTTTTCCTAGTTGGATTTTTGGCCAAGTTTTATTTGGGGATATACTATATTTGCTTGTAGTGGCAGGTGTCACTTTGGGGTTGAGGATTTTTTGGATTCCTGGGACAGTATTCTGTATAGTACGGAATAATCAAGTTTATTGAACACAACCTTTCACATCCATTTACACGTAGCTGCGATGATCTCATTGGGGGTCGACCTAGAGAGGATACGAATACTTTACTATACAGTCAGAAATCACAGTCGTTACGCACAAGTCTTGTTGAATTGGTATAATTGTACGCTTCTAAAAACAGCCCAACGCCAAGCGAACCCTGTTCATGCACTCCGTGACAAATAAGACAAGCACCAAACATATCGGGGACTTGTCCATCATATATGAGGGAAAAAAGCCAACGCGCGAAATCAAGTAAAGGGGGTCAATAGAACGCTCGAGAGTCGTCTCTTCTATTTTTCCGACTCGTGAGCGATCTTTTCACCAAGGACACCACGGTTGTTGAGGCCAGGAGGGGCAGAGCGCTTGAAGTACTCGTGAATCTCCTGGGAGAACTCGCCATCGTCGCCCATGCCGTGGTCGGCATGGCTGTTCTCCATCTCCTTGGGACCACGGGCGGCCTGGACATCCTCCCACTCCTTGCGCATGTCTTCAACCTTGGCCTTCCAGTCCTTTTCGGGGTCGTACGTCTTGGCGAGGCCCATGAGGCGCTCCCATACGGAAAGATGCTTGGGATTGACGGCGACGCCGTGGTACTCGTGGCTACGGTTGTCGCGGATGTAGCGCCAGCGACGCTCCTGCTCCTTGAGGTCGAGACCAGTGGTATCGGGCAGGAAGAGGTAGGTCAGGAGCATACCGGCGAGACCGAACCAGGGAACGACCATGAACTTGGTCGGCGTGTCGATGTAGTTGTAGAGAACCGAGGCGAGCAGGGCACCAGCCTTGCCTATGCAGGCGGAGAAGCCGTGGGCACTGGCACGTATGGGGGTGGGAAAGACCTCGCCGGCGACGAGGAAAGTGACCGAGTTGGGGCCAAACTGGTTGAAGAAGGAGGAGAGGAAGTACATGGCCTGGAAAGCATGGATGCCGGCAGGGCTAGTGTAGTAGTCGTACTTGAAGGCGGGAATAACAAACATGAGGAAGCACATGAAGAAGCCAACCTGCTGCATCATCTTGCGGCCGTACATCTTGTTGTCGATGAGGAAAGAGGCGGCATAGTATCCGGCGAGCGAGACAACAATATTGACCAGGTTCCAGCTCCAGGTGGTGAGGAGGTTCGAGGGGTTAGATGAGATGACGCTGATGAACTGACCCTGGAACAGCTTGTTGCCGTAAAAGAATACGTCATTGCAGAACCAGGCACCGGCCGTGGCGATGAGACGACCGCCAAATTCGGTGAAGCAATACTTGAGAGCAGTGACATCGTAGCCGGTGACAGAGGTGCGAGCCTTGGCAGCGGCGAGCTGCTTGGAAGGGTTAGGCATCTTCCAAGTTCTGTAGTAGACGAGCCAGAGAGTGCCAATAGCAGGGAAGGCAAAGGACAGGCGGAAGGCGTACTGGGCGGCGCTGTGGCTGTAGGGAGGGGCGCCGGAGCCCGAGTTGAAGATGACAAGGAGGATGATGAGCAGGACCTGGTTAACGAATTGGCCCCAACCCTGCATGAGGAAGGCCATGGTGACACGGCGACCACGATGCAGTCTGTCCTCTCTGGTGGAGAGGCGGCCGTGGGAGGAGACGTTTTCGAGAGAAGAGGTGGCGGTGATGGGGTACTCGCCACCAACACCGAGGGAGTAGAAGAAGAGGGACCAGGCGTAGCAGATAATCCAGCCCTGGAGGGTCAGACCCCAAGAGGCAGTGAGCATGAGCAGACCGATGAACATGATGATGGCGTCCTGGATGAGACCCCAGCGACGACCAATCCAGTCACCAATAACCTGTGAAAGCTAGGGTTAGTTGGGGTTGTGATGAGGGAGGGGGGGGGGGATACTTACACCGACAAAGACCTGACCAACCATGATTCCGATAATCTCGAGATATGTGACCGAGGCGATCCAGTTCTTGCTGCAGACCTGGTGCTTGCTCCAGCACTCGGGCCAGACTTGTTTGAAGAGAGGCTCGAGGTTACCAATGGAGAAGAGGACGTAGCCCTCGAGACCGAGACCAGCACCAGGGATCACGGCGTGGCGGAAGTACCAGCCAAGGGGAGAGAGGGGATCCTGCTTGGCCATGCGGCCAATGGTGGCCAGCTCCTCCTTGGCAGCCTGTCGGTCGACGGCCGTGACAAACTTGAAGCGCTCTCCCAGGGGCAGATCGGCCCAGTATACACCTTCGGGGGTGTACGAGTCGTCTGGGCGCGCAACATGTGAAAAGATGCGACGCTCTTCGGGGGTTGTGCCCAGCATGGAGTCATCACCACTGTCACTGGCAGTAGGGCCGTGAGGGACGGGGACCTCGCCCATGACGGGGTGGTGATGCTCATGATGAGGGCGAGGGGTGGGCTCGACCTGATCGGGGGCATCAGAAGCCATGGCGATGGGAGTGAATCGTGGTTGTGCTTGGCAATGTCTTGGGCTTGGCGATGTTGATGTTTCCTGGGCGTGCTTGGCAGCGGGAGCAGGGAGGGTTAGGGTATCAAGTAGAGTTGAATTGAATCCCGAGGCAAGGAGGAAGAGAGAAAGGAAGATGGAAAGGAAGAAAGACAACCAAAGCAACAAGGCTTGTTGAATTGGTAGTGCTTGGGAGGAATGAGAGAGGCTCTGGGAGGAAAGGGAAGGAGGGAGGAAGGTGAGGAAGACGGAAGGGCATTTGTTATATTTAGTTTAGGCATGGCAAGCTTGGACCCTGGGGCAGCCATATTGGAAGGAGGAATCCACACGGAAATATGGAACTAGATAGGGAATACTATCAGGAAGAAAACCTTGCCTTTACTAGCAGGACTAGAGTAGTTGGAAGACGGACGCGAAGTATAACTCGGTGGTGGTGAGGAAAACTGTATGCAAGCAATTCATTTTTTTTTGGTGGCGCCGCCGCTTTTACAGGTGGCGCTGCTTTTAGCAGTGGCGCTAATCCCGGTCCGAGTGACGGCAGGGGCTTGTCACTATGGCACTAAATGTTGGGGGAAAACTATGGGAAAGAAAGGAAAAGTAAAAAAAGGGAGAAATCAAGGAATACAAAGAGAAAGGGTCCAAGATCTCTGGTGATGAATAATGAGCCGAAGAATGAGCCAGCTAATGGCAAAGTCTGGTAGAGACGGCATCCCGACTTCTCCATGTACGTACCTGGAGGACGACTAGGTAGTTAAAGCAGCCAGAGATTCTTCCCTCGTTTCCGCAGCCGGGGGAAAAAAAAGCTTGAAGCAAGGAGCCAATCAGAAGCTGCCAATCGCCCACGCTCTCGATCTCTTGGTCATGACAGGCTGTCCATGACGAGCCCCACCAACTCCATCTCCCCCTCCCTCCCAACCTCCACCAAGTCCACATCACCAGGTCCTTGACGACTTCAGCCCATCCCGTCTGCAATTATGATGCCAGAGGGCACACGACACTACTCCGTACTGCGAGAAATATCCGTAGTGACGAAACAATTCGCTCGAGTCAAGAAGCACCCCCGGCCATCGTCAGCCAAGCCATGACCGCCGTCGGGGTTTCTCACGCTTCAAGTCCGCGCCCCTACAAACGCATCATCCACAGGCGGCCCGGCGGCGGCCCTTTCGTTCGGCTTTTCCAATCCTCCACCAAGCGCAAACCTTGGAAATCAACAAGACATTCTACGCACTAGTTTTATTAAGTCACCCAACTGTACTACGGATATCCTGCCTCGCCCGCTGTTGTCGAATGTCCGCGGCCCTCGTGTCTCGTGTCTTCCCCACGCAAGCTCATTGGATACCCAGCATCACAGGAGGCTCACATAAGGCGAATTGTCACGCAGTCGCCGGCTAAGGCGGCAGAGTCTCTTCCAGTTCAACCCTGTCGATCGCTCAGCGCTGGCCATTGCGTCCGGTCATGTATGCTTAATTCAGTCACCGAAATCTGCGTCGTTGAAACGAGGCTGTCAAGCTAGTTAGAGTCGTCCTCTCCGTCGCGTCCGCCGCCGCGTCCGTCGCTCGGGCCGCCTTCACCTCTCTGATGCTCCGGGAATGCTTCACCGGACAGAAAACCCTCGCAAGGAAACTGCTCGCGTGACTGCAGCGCCACGTCGCACCTCACCATCCACTTCCTCATCTCTGGGCGGGCTTGCCCCTTGGCACCTCGCTGCTGCATGCATCGTGCCTCGACCGCTCAGCCCGCTCAGCGACTGTGAGATGGCCAGACCCTGGTCTTGCACCGGCACTGAGACAAGGGGTCCACGACGCCCACCGACCCCCAACATGGTCACACCTAGCGCCGCTTTTACTCTGAGGCTCGCCCGCAAAAGATAGACCCCGGCTCTCGAACCCCAGTCGCCGCGCGTGTTGCCAGTTTTTGCGCGAGTATCCGTATACTTCGTAGCTATTGCCCTCACTGCTCACGATACCAGGGTTTACGCCCCAGTCGCCTCTCGTCTTCGTCAGCTTCCCTCTAACGCATGTACTGCCTTATCAATCGCCTGTTCTTCCACGCAAGCCGCCCGCCGCAACGTTCGAGACAAGGCCCACATTCATACCAGCCCATGCTATTGCATCCCAATCTGTCGACCGACCTGCTGCCATCTCGCAGCCGATTGCATCCTCGATATTGTATTTCACGGCAAACCGGCAACAAGTGGCGCGCCTTTTTCCTTCTCTGCATAAATTCCTTCTGCTGTGTCACGGTTCATGCGGTACCAAATACGGCAGAATGCGGCCTCGTCCCTCACGCAGGCGCCGCCCATCTCACACGCCATCTACCTCACTGTACTCCGTACGCATCCGGCAGTCTCACTCGGGAATCATTCCACGACGAACCCACGGTGCTTGTCTCACCCTCTACTTTCCCCGCCCGCAACAATCGTTTGTCTCTTTGGCAAGAAACGGACAATAAGAGAATCGATGCAGCCTTCCCCGGGTCTTTTACCCAGTCCACGGATCGACCGAGCGCGCTAAAAAAACCCTTCCTCTCCAATCTTGGTCGCGAGTTAAACTCTCTGCCTGCCTTCCGCTCACTGCTGTCCGCACTAGTAAACCTTTTTTCCTGCCATGTGGCCTAGACACTGATTTTGACAGGACAAACCCCCGAACGACAGGAGCGCCATATAGAGGGCTGATTGATTCCGTCGCTGCCGAAGCCAAGCCCGTCTTTCAGCTTGTTCCCAACAATGCCCGTCATTGTCCTACCTCACGGCTGGTCAACTGGTCGTAGGACCGCAACCCTCTGCGGCCGTGGCGCCGGCTTGTTCGTCATACAATATGACTGGTCGCCGTCATCTGTGTGCTCTCGCCGGCTTGTTCGTTCAGGCTTCCGTCGTCATTCCTGATGTCATCGCTCGGGCGCGCGCATTCCACCACGTGCGCGACGGTGAGCCATCTGCTGGCCAAGAGCCAAACGAGCGCTTTGGAGCACTCTAGTTTCGTGGCTTTCTAAATGTAGGGAAATTATAGTCGCTCCCAAAGAAGCGCAAGTACAAGTAAATGCCTTCTTGGAGGTTTGCTTGCTGGTAGAGTTGGCTCGCAGGTAGAGTTGCGTGCGTGTAGAGTTGCTTGCCTGTAGGGCGTAGAGTTACGTTGCGCTCGCTATTTGCGCCGTGAGGCAATATAATCGAGAGACTACAGTATTGACAAACAACAGCCACTCGAATCGGCCCATCAAAGATGATTCGCTTTCATTTTGCTTTTTGATATCAGACGAATACTGTAACCGAGCCAGACTGCCATACTTGATATAATCAAGATTTTCTCTTCAGTAAACCTAAATCTTATATGTAACTAGTTCATCTCTCTTCACTTCTACTCTGTATCTTGATATTCATTTTTTTCTCGAATGGATATAACAAAACTTCATCTCAAGGAGGCTTGGGGGAAGGGAAAATACGAGCAAGGTCACGGAAGCAGTAGTAGCAAAATGTAGTACGATTGGACATGATAGACTGTCAATGTGGAATTGCAACCATATATACAGCAGCCACAAAAAAAAAGCAAACTTGCATCGTTGCCATGTTGAATGAATCATTTCCCCCTTCCTGTTTTCCGCTGACCCCATATTGATTGCCGCCACAGAAAAAAAAAAAAAAAAGATCTTCTGCATGTGTATATATACATGTTACGCCGTTGCTCCCCGTGTATGTGTAAAAGTGTAGATGATAAAAAACCCGCTCAGCTTGGCCAATGAACGTGGTCCGGGAGTAGGTCGGCCATGCAAGCACAAGGGAGAGAAAGGAAGCCGCCGGTATTATAACGAAGGAAAGGGGGAGGCACCCAACCATGCGCAGGCGTGTAACTGATGAGCGTGGCCGGGCATGTATGCTATGCTAGTAGTGTATAGCCTCGTCTCGTACAGTAGATGTAGGCTGAGTGTTCAAGACGTGGGCTGGTGTGGAATCCTGCTTTGTCGTCGTCGACTTTGGCAGGTCTCGAGCATTTACTCGCTCCCCCACGATGCCTCGCGCAAGGGAACCTCTTCGCCCGCCGCCGCGCGAGAGCCATCCTGCTCGGCCTTGCACGCCCAGTACTCCCCTAGACGCAGCTCCGCGTATGAGGCATAGTCAAAGTCAATCTTGGAAATGGTGGCCTGGATCGAGGACCAGATGCCCCAGTAGAAGCCAGGCACGCCGCGAAAGTCGTCCACATCTTGCATCATCTTGGTCGTCTCGCGCTCAATGTCGAGATCGTCGCCCGAGAGCTCAGCATAGGTCTCAATGTATTCGCGCACAAAGGCGAGACGCTGGCTGCGTGTGGGAATGACGGCATAGTCGCAGTCGTAGCCAGCCCACTCGGCAAAGTGGTTGGCAATGTCAAAGGCGGCGGGCGAGGGCGTGCCGTACTCGTAGTCGATGAAGCTGACGGAAAAGGGCTTGTCGGCGTCATTATGCATGATAACGTTGGCGCATAGCAGATCGCAGTGCGCGAATACAAGCTTATCCAGGGTTAGTCGTGGCGGTTTTACATGCGGACATGAGAATACGTACTCCGTTCTGCCCGAATCCTGGACGCTGGCTGAGCTGCTTGACAAGACGTTCCAGCTCTGTTTGCAGCTTGCCCTGGCGCTCGCGCTCGGCCTCGGTGTCGACGGGCAGAGCGAGGATCCATTTCTGTATTGTCGACCATAGGTTCGGGACCGGCTTTCCGGGTGCGGCGTTGGCAATCTTGGCCTTGCTGCTGGTGCCCGTCAGGTCGATGCTCGTCGTTGCGTTTCTAGCATCGGGCAGGCAGGGCACCGTGGCATGCCACTGCGCCAGCCGGCGGGCAATGGCCCTGCTGAGGACGGGGTCGGGCAGGTCCTTGGGCTGGGCGACGGCGCCGGGGATGAAGCGGTAGAGCATGCCGTTGGCGAAGCGGGCGAGCAGGGCGGGGGCGAGGTTGTACTTTGAGAGCAGCTCGTGGTTGGCGGCCTCGCGCTCGCGGTCAATGAGGATGTCGGTGCCGTTGCCGTAGGCGCGGAGCAGGATGGCTTCGCGGTCGACCTCCTCGGCGGACAGGCCCGGCCGGCGGTGGACAGCCTTGAGGAGCGTGTTTGTGATGCCGTCGGTGAAGCGGACAAACTCAACGGGTTCGTCGTGGGCGGCCCAGTGCGGCGCAATGGCGTGGATGAGCCTGAGGGCAGACGCCTGGGAGTCGGCGGGGTCGTAGGTCAAGGGGATGAAGCGCACGTGGCCGGGGCCGGTGCTGACGGCGGCGGGAGCCATGGTTGTTTGGGGTGTGAAGATGCGTAGAGGGAGACGGCGAGGCGAAATCAGGAGACAGGCGCCGAGGCAAAGTGAAAATTCGAAACCAAGCGTGGCAAAACGAGGCAGAGGTCGGTGTCTGGAGCGTGGGGAAATTCAAGGGTGACGAATCTGGGGTATGAAAAAGTCAGTCGCGAGGCAGATTTGGGCGCGATCCGGGTGGACAATGTGAATCTCACCGATGGTTCAGGACGGATGAAGTTGGCAGAAAGCACGAGACCTGTTGCTGTTTGTAGTTTGGGCAAAAGTTGTCCGAGGGCGGGGAGGGCAGCCAGTGATGAGGCGGCCAGGGACCATGTGAGAGCCGTTGCAGGGGGTCAGTGGCTGAGAGGGAAAACAGAGAAGCGGTCGGACTGGTGGTGCTGCGCTAACTAGCGAGGTCGGTCTACTGGTACTAGTTACTGGTACCTAGGTCTGTCGTGGCAAGTTGAGGCGGGCTATAATGTGTGCTGGCTTGTGTGGCTTTTGGGAATGCAGACCAGTCAAGATATGTTTTGTTTGGAATGGTGGTTTGCACCTTTTTTCTTTGCGCAACGCGGCGTTGACTTGGGGGGGGCACAGGGGCACAGGGAGGAGGTAGAGGGTACAAGGCCGGCATGCGTGGGCGCTTGTACTGGCTGGGGTACCGAGGATGTCGGTTTTGTTGGGCAGGCAATTTATGTTAGATTGGTTGCCCCTGAAGATGATGTGGGTGAATTTTTGGTCACCTATCAGTAGGCTGTGTTGAATCTCAACCAACTTTTTATTTTAAATATCCTGTTTTGCTACTAGCTACGGCGTTGTGTCGTTCTTGGTCGTCGATTCAACTCGGAGTGCAATGGCGTCATGGCAAACGCAGACACCTGGCTGCCTCCGTGCAAGTATGTACATGTACCAACAATCTGCAAGCACTGTACACTGACGATCGGTACTGTCTACCTAGGTACCTAGGTAATTACTTGGCCACGCAGCGTCGCGAGACCCTGGCCTACCAAAAGCATGTGCCTGGGCCAGTGCGTTTTTTCCACCTCAACGAGCCGGTACCTGCAATCTGCTAACTGATAGCCAAGGAAGAGGTACCCAGTACGTACTGCCTGCTGCTGTACAGCCTCCCTGCGTGACTCTACAGCCCACCACGTCCTCCCTGCACAACCACTCGATTGAATAATTTTGAAACATTGGTTTGCTGGCTCAAATAATTGCGTTTTATTTCCAAAATCTTCAGCCACATTCTGGTGTGGTGAAGGCTTTGCCTCATCCTATCCAACACTACCGCAGCCCCCAACTATGCTTGTCGATAAGCTACCTCCCTCCCCCTGTACCGATCCAGAGGGGCCAGAGGGGTTGCATACATACACGCCGCCACCTCGTCACCAGCCTTGATGGCCAAACGGCTTCCTCGCATCACTTGAGTCCGTCACACAAATTCAGCTTCTGCATGGCTTTGGTGGCTTAAGTCTCATGGGTTGCCTCTTTTGGAGTGGACTCCCTGCTGCGCATCAGACATACGTGGCAGGTGGCTACTCCACTGCGATGGCATCAAGACTGCACAGCGGTCAGACAATTGATAGCTTCTCAGACACCAGTTGTTTACTTTGTACCGTTTCGGATGCCAACATGCTAGTTACCCCATCACCTTGTTGCTACCACGTAAACGGTCCTTGGACAGCTACCCTATGCCGTGCGCCACAATCGAGAGCCGAGCCCATAGCGAGCTAAGTAGACAGATCTTTGGGGAGATAAAGGATCCGTAGAGTATAGAGGACAGCCCTTGGGAAGAAGGATGAAAAAGATGGCACAAGTCGCGTGCAAGGCGAACACGTTGGGCATGGTACTGATGTATATTACCGACAAGCGTGGAAGGTTGCTAACATAGAGACAACAGCCTCCTCCATCACCATGACCCTAGCCGGACTACACATGAATAAAACCAAAAAGAAAAAGAGGAATAAAAGATCATTTTAACTGACCAAAGTACGATCAATAAATGATAGAAAATTGCCAGGCCCAATCGTCACCCTGCATGGTGCCCCGCATCGACTCGGATCGAGTTATCTCCACCAAGCAAGCTACCAGGCCGCGATGGTCGCTTCTCCAACTTCACCAGCCGCGCCTCGCAGCCGTCGTCCCCGCCCCCTTCCACGCGTGCTCGCCCCTCCCCCGCGCCATGTGAGACGCCATGTCCTTTGTCAACCCGGACAACCTCATCGCCGTCGCCCTCGTCATCAACCGGTCGCGCGACGGCCCCGCCTTTGTCTTCCACTACCCGCCCGCCGTGCTCCCCGTCAACGCCGAGACCCCCTCGCACGATGCCGCCGACTCCGAGGACATACTGCTCGAGCGCCTGTCGCGGCCGCTGTTTCGCTCCTCCCAGGACCACCACGAGCCCCGCGGCGGCGCCGGCGGCGCCGGCGGCCACCACCTGCCCGAGCACGACACCGCCGCCGTCCCCTGGGAGAGCGTCGCCGGCTTCCCCACGCGCGACCTCGCCAGCATCCTGACCCCGGCCCGCCCGTACCACAAGCGGCTCTTCCAGCTCTCCCTCGACCCGCTGCTCTGCGTCTCCTACCCCATCCACGTCCCCGAGAGCGGCAAGTGGAAGCGCGCCAAGAAGAGCAAGCCCGGCCGCCCCCCGTCCGCCGTTGTCGTCGTCGTCGACGAGGCCGACAACACCCCGGCCGCGTCGCGCGCGCCGTCCATTGCCGTGTCCGCGCCGCCGACTCCGGTGGACGCCGAGGGCGCCGCCGACAAGGACAAGGAAAAGGACAAGAGGGACGAAGACGAGGAAAAGAGAAGCTCCATGACCATGTTCAACCTCGTCTTCATCCTGCGGCCCAAAAAGGACCAGACGAGGGAGCTCGTCGACGCTCTCTACTCCAACATTGCAAAAAAAGTCAACAAGGCCTTCAAATACAGCCAGCAGCACAGCGACTTTGTGTGGAAAGAGTCTAAGAAGATTCTAGCCACCAAAGACCGCGCACGCGAAGACAGTAAGCCCCAACCGCCTTTGCCCCCCCCCCCAAAAAACCACATCTTAACACAAAAACTTTCCCCCAGACAAACGAATGAGCCAGCTGTGGAGGGACCTCGTGCAGCAGTCGTCCCTCGCCGCCTCGGTGCAGGATATCTACGAGGCCGTCTCGCAGAACCGCATCGCGACGCTGCACCTCGACACGGCCGCCGGCGTGCTGAGCCCGTCGGTGCAGATCCCCGCGCCGCTCTACGTCGCCGACCTGCCGGGGCCGCCCGACGAGGCGCGCCGCGCCCGCGGCCTCTGGCTCACCACCGCAAACGCCTTTCTCACCCAAGACACCCTCGAGGAGCCGGGCTTTCTCGACCGCCACTTTGGCCTGCTCCTCATGGAGGACGACAAGAAGATCATTGCCGAGCTACAAGCCGACGGCGACCCGAGCGCGCTGCCCATGGTGGAGTTTGTGCGTCTGTCCAAGCCGACAATGAGGTGAGGCCGTTCATCCCACCGCCAAGATGCTTGCTGTTCCCCCCTTTCCCCCCCGCGCGCTGACACTTCTTCATCACAGCTTCTACCAGGTCGGCCAGAGCAACATCCTCAGCCTCTCGCAGGTGCGCAAGTTTGCGCAGCACTTCATCTTCTGGCGGCGCGCCATGGCCGTCCCGCCGCTGCACGCGCGCGACACGTACGTCGTCTCGCCCAACTGCGACCTCGCGCGGCTGCCCGCGGCGTCGGCCGGCTGGCAGCGCGCCTTTCCGCTCGCGCCGCCCCTCGCCAACCTGCTCTCCGACATGTCCGTGTGCCCGCGGCCGTACAAGACGTTTTGCCCGAGCAAGGTCCACCGCCCGCTCTACCTGCGCATGCTCGCCTGGCTCCTCCGCGGCGGCTGGGTCACCCAGCTCTGCACCTTTGCCTACGTCGTCGTCTGGCCCGAGATTGTCTACCAGGTCGACTACGAGATGGAGGCCGAGGAGCTCGAGGGCCCGACACCCTCGACGTCGCCCCACTCGGCCGGAGGGACCGCCGCCGCCGTGTCCATCTCGCCCCTGACAACCGCTGCCGGCGCTGGCGCGCTGGCCCGTCCGCACAACCAGCTCGCTCACCTCGACGAGGACGCCATTCTCTCCCCGACGAGCACCGGTGCCGCCCCCATCCCCGCCACCTCCGCCGCAGCAGGCAAGCCGCGCCAGGTGAGCATCGCGAGCACCACCTCGGAAGCCACGACCGCCGCCAGCGGCTCTCTGCCTTCCACCGCCGGCGCCGTGCCGATCCCCAGCACGACGGAGCGCGCCGCCGAAGCCGCGCGACTTGCCCGCATCGCGCAGCGCGTCTCCCGCGAGGCCGCCGACAAGGCCGCCGCGCACGCCCGCCGCGTCGTCCCCGAGGCCACGCCGCACCCGTCGACCAACCGCAGCCCGCACCTCGCCGGCGTCGCGCCGCACATCATCCTCGACGCCAAGAAGACGACGGGGCCCGAGTCGCGGTACCTGGCCGCCATATCGTCGCGGCTGCGCGACGACCGCGTGCGCCAGGCCTGGGCCACCATGTGCCGCTACTTTGACGGCCACGCGGCGCTCGAGAGGATCGCCCTGCAGGAGGAGATGAAGCGTAAGGAAGCTTGGACGCTCCTCACTGCCATGAGCGAGTACTTGATCTGCACGAGGCATTGGTGAAATAAAGGGATAGTGGCCGGCGGTCTGCAACTTCATGTGTATACAGTGGTTCAGGTCTGAAATCTTCACATGTGGCTATAGAGCAAAGATACCTTGTATGTAACAACAACTAGCTTGTCAGTAATACGGATAGGCAACGTCTCTTTCAAACGTCTGTTTCAAACGTTGACGTAATGTTGATGGAATGTGATAATGCTTAACCTGCATGTGATGAAGTTAGGCTGGCATGGATACGGATACCACGTCTCTTTTGAATGTACACGTCAACATCACGCAACGAAACCAAAGAAGTCAAGCAAAAGGTTTCAACTCCTAAACTATAGATAAAACTGCAAAGAGAGACGACAAGGAAGTGACAAAGCATCAAGGGGAAAAAGGAGGTAGTCTGTGGTATCTGAGAAAAAAAAGCAAAGATCCCCCGCGAAGTGTATCAAAAGCATCCACAGGTATATCAGATTAAAGCAACATAAACAACAAAAGTTCCACCAGATAAAACTCTCTAGCATGAGTTGAAAGACAGGAAAAGATACACACCCCTTGTATATAATTCAGTAGAAAAACAGTGTATAACGCACGGGAATAAAAGGGAATATTGAAGAGAAGACAGCCAAGAGGCGCAGCACTCTTGGCCGAGAAGAATGTGAAATGAAATAAAAAAGGCATCATCTTGCGACAAGCGAACAAACCGAAAAATGAAAGTGACACCCAAACGGGGAGGCCGAAGGGACTCGCTGTGCCCAGGAGCGGCGGGTGTGTCAAGTCTTGCCGTCAAAGGGCACGGAACTGATGGCAACAGTAAAGCCAGCTCCATATCGCCATTCCATAATTTGATTTCCGAAACGCCGACCGCAAAGAGAGAAGAGTGGCGGCACAGCCCACACTGCCAAAGAAAGGCAGAGGACGTAAGAAAGCGTGGCGGGCACGCGGCAGAAAACACCAATGCGCCAATATATCATGCTCCAAAGGTATGCTGACAAAAGAAGAACCCCGCGTGCGGCCGATTCACAGACATTATTCATAGAGTAACGAACGAGTGGCAGTAGCTCAGTTCAGGTCCATGTCGTACTCGTCTTCATGCTTGAAGTTGAGCGGGACGTTGCCACTGCCGTCATCCTGGTCTTCGTGCCAAAATTGGCTGGCGTCTCCCATGACACCAGAGGCATCGGGGGTGATACCGATTGTGTCGAGATTGGGACCAGCACCGTTAAGCGGCTCGCCGCGGTAGTCAGTGTGGTCGGGAACGCGAAGACCAGAACCAGCAGTACGAGAGTAAATCATGCTGTCATTCTCGGTGCGTGTGAGGGCTTCGGCGAGCTCAGACTGCATGCGCTTCTCGTCGTCAGTTAATTCGAAGGGAAATTGTCCGCCAAGGTCGGTAATGGTATTCATAAGATGCTCATGCTGTTGAAGCTTGAGGTGCAGCATCCACATCAGATCGCGGGTCCAGCTGACAGCACCATTGAGAATGTCTCCCTTGTTGGGGCCCTTGTCCTTGTCCTCGATCGGGAGTCCGGTGGTAATATTACCAGCGGCACCACCTGTGGCTCTCCTCGCTCCGGGTCCGGCAAGGCCGGAAGTGGCCTGAGAGGGGCTGGAGATGCCGGTCAAGGTAGGGGAGAGGGGGGTTCCATTCTGGATAAGCTTGCGAATCTTTTCATCCTCGAGGCGGTGCGAAGGAACAAGACGGCTGAGATCCTGGATCCTCTCATTGATGTTGTCGCGGCGACGACGCTCAACGAGGTTGTGCGACTCGCGACGGCGCTTGCGCTTCATCTCCTGAGACGATACGGCGCCACCAGGGGGACCACTGAGCTTGGTAGGCATGGAAGTGCCACCCTTCATCATGACCTCGTTGATGGGCACCATACCTTGCTGCATGGGCGAGGAAAAGCCCGAGTTATACGAAGCCGGGATGCTGCCTGTGGGGGTATTCAGCCAGTGGCCAGGGGACTTGTCATGGCTGCCCGAGTTGCGCATGGACTGGGGACCAAATGAGGGAGACTCCTGGGAGCCGATGGGGATTCCGTGGATGCTATTGGTCTTGGGGGTCATGGGAGTCCTGTTGTTGGAAGCCTTCCTTTGCATCTCCTGGGACATTCTGGCTCGGGCGGAGCCCATATCGCCGGTAAGGGGAGAACCATTGTAGGACATAGGGGAATGCAGCGAGGTGCTCATCTGGCGGAACTGTGCATTGTTAAAACCATGCCCGTATGGGCTTTGGATAGGGTCACCGTCCGGGGTGCTGGAATAGCCATTGGTAGGGTCAATCTGGAGGGAGCCACGATGGGTAAAATTCGACTGCGAAAAGCCCATGTTCATGTTACTAAAGTCCTGGTTGAGGTGTTGGTTGTCGCCTGGGCTGGCGAGACCATCGAGTAACTCGTCATCGCCAAAGACGGCGGAACCACTGGAAAAGCCGTTGGGTTGGTTGGAGCCCGTGTTGTAGTTATGGGCGTTTGGGAAAGGGGGGCCGCCCATGGCGAGCTCGTTGGGGTCGATGTTGCCGCCGTTCGTAGAGGCGAACTGGGCGAAGCTGTGCTGAGCCATGGCGATGGGTCGGCCAAGGCGGATTCGACGAGTCTGGAAATGTGTGGATGCCCAAAGGGCAAGGTTGTAGGGACAGCTGGTGCGCAGCAGGCGGCGCACGCGGTCGGAAAGAAATAGGTCGAGGATCGAGCGATGCGCTGATGTAAACTGTTAGTGACGACGCGCGAGAGAGAACGGCGTGGCGCTGTGGAAGAGGATGGCGAGTGGCGATGAGGGCGGAGCGAGTATGAGTGTCGGAGGGTTTGAGGCAGTGCGGGAAGGTCGGCAACTCACCTCTAGTACGAGTGGCAGATATAGGAGTGGTAAGGTAGCAGAGCTATCGCGGGGCCATGTGTCGCCGGAAGAGCGGATGGTATTGTAAGTTGTCAGGTAGCACGGAAAGGATGTTAATGCGGAAGGACGAAGAGGTGCGACGTTAGAAATAATTGTCGGGGACCTGTTGCGAGGGGCTACTTTTCTGACAGAGTGTGAGAAGAGCGAGTGGTAACTAGTTAGGGCGGAGCCAGTTGGGATGCGGCAAGTTTGACGGGCGCCAAGGTCCTTTTTTCGGCCACGAACACGAATGGGTAGGGTAGGTGGCAGGCGGTGACGGCGGGATGCGACTCGCGGACAAGGAGTGTTGCAAGTTACAAGTGCCTTGGAATTTTGGGTGTTTGGGTGGAGGATTCAGTGGTGCTGGTGGGCGCTAAAAAAGTGTGGTCAGCCAAGCGGAATGAGGGGAAGAAGCAAAGCAGCGTAGTCTGCAGTGAGGCGCACCAGTGTGCGAGGGAGGGCGTTGAGGGCGTTGAGGATCGCCAGCAGTGCGAACAAGGAGCCCCATAGAAAGGGCAAAAGAAAACATCCAGCCCAGACAGATGAGACTCGTGAGTCGGGCTACCAGGACAAAGGACGGTATGGCACGGGAGCAAGCAGGCAGCGATGACGATGGGACGGTGGATGAGATGGGGATGATGATGGCGATGGAGGAGAAGGAGGAGGAGGAGGAAAATGAGGGGAAAGAGGGAGGAGAAGAAATGCAAAACGCGGCGAGGGCCGGGGTGTACTTACCAAGTGTTTGTGTTTGCAGCTGGTGGTTTGCAGCTGGTGGTTGGCAGCTGGTAGTTGACAGCTGGCGGCGATGACGCTGTGGCAATGAATGCGAAAAAACGTGTTTGTCTGGTGTCAAAGAGTCCCGTCGTGTCCAGACGCGGGGAATATGTATTATAGGCTGGGATGATTAGCAAAGGCGAACCGGCGCAAGGGCAGTAGTCAGAGTGCAGAAAGCCAGATTCTGCTTGGTTTGGGGTAGTGGATGTGGTGGGAGTCGAGAGATGGCGACGTGCGCCATGCAGCGGGAAGAGGCTTGATATATGAGTTCCTAGACTTACAGCCGGGTTTGCCTGCAGAAGGAGGCAAAGGCATAAAGCAACGATGGAACACGAAGGCCTGGCACGTGTAAGTATAGAAACAAGGGGAGCAGGCAACGACCTGGTTCAAAGAGTACAAACCTTGAAAATGGAATAAATCGAGAGTACAGAGTATCAGATAGTTACCTAGTAGCTGTCTGCTTGACGAGTTCACAAAGGGCACGGCCACACAGGCAGCTGAAAGACGCAATTGTGGAGGTGGCGACCTGAACAGTCAGAGGAGAAAAGTGTGTGTGGTCACTGCCTTGGACTGACTGGTAGCCTGAGGTAGGTAAGGCTTGTGGTAGCGCAAGGGAGCAAGACGCTAGCACAATGGTCGCTGTGGCTGGAAGGGTGCAGCGGGCGGCACGTAGTAGCTTGATGTCTCGATGTCTCGGTGACTGACAACTTGGAAGTTGGTGGTGGTATTTGATGTCTCGATGTCTCGGTGACTGACAACTTGGAAGTTTACACAGTAGTCGTAGATGATGCAGAGTCGCCGCGGCAAGGTAGAGGTGGTGGCGGGGGAAGTAGGCTCTCTCTTTGTCTGGGATTCAGGAGGAGATAGATGAGGGAGCTAGAGGAATAAAGTCAGTCGATGTTGCAACCACCATCTGAGCGGTGCATGGGCGCGTAATAAAGTCGATCCAGGTCTCTCCACGATAAGTAAGCATCTTGGTAATAAGTCAGAGCACTTGATAGACTCAGACTCGAAACTTCAGACCGCCTGGCCACTCGCCATGAGGCGCTGCCTGTGGCGTAGCCAGAGTGGGGAGCCTCTGGTTAGGCTACCGCGCTGCACCTTTTGCTTTGCTTGTCTGCCTGTGTGTACTGTGTACTCCGTACTGCTTACCAAAATGGCCCAGCAAAATGACAGATCGTTCTTATCTGTATTTGCAATAATGCTGATATTCTTGCTTCGCTTGCGCTATTTGCGACATGGAAAATAAATAGCTCGACAAAGGGAGGGGGAGGGGGGAAAGGCTTGCGATGCGACGTTGGCGCTTCGTTTGCTGCAGCTAGACAGCGAGACGGCAGGATTAGCAACCTTGGATTCGCTTGCAGAACTGGTCCCCTCATCCAGCAGAAGCCCTCCTGCAGCCGTTCGATGCAAAACAGAAGTGAAGAGCGGGAACCATCTGCCGCTACGACGGGCCTTGCAGGGGAGGGGAACCGGCGGGATCCTGGGGCTGGGGGGAGGGGTGGTGGTGGTGGAGGGTTACTAGTCGTACCGTGTTTCTCGGCTCGGTGATTAACCAAGTTCTGGTGGGCTGCAATGCCGGTGGCGTGCGATGCGACTGGAGAGCTGAGTGGGAGCTGGGGAGCCGTTTGGTTTGTATTCCGATCGCTTGTCTTTGGCTTGACCCTTCGAGTGTCGGTGAGCAGCAGGTGAGTGCGCACAGTCCGCAGTGTTGCGGCGAGCTTGGTGTGTAAGTAGAGGGGCAACTGGAGAGATAAGACCAGGTTTGCGCAACCGAGTCGTGACTCGCAATGGTAAAGAAGACAGCTTGAGATGTTGATAGAGGCAGAAATCACATTCACTTTTGCGCGCGAATCAGATCGGGGCATTGCTCTTTATACTCCTTCTTCTCCCCATGGCCCACCGTGGCCGTGATGCGCGTTCCCAAGCGCACCATTCGGCCACCATCTAAAAATACAATGCCCAGTGGCTGCATGCGCCGTTTAGACGGTTTGCCCATCCCCCCGAAAGACCATCGCGAAAGCAAAACAGGCCCCGTCGCCATGCTGCCCAGACGCGTCTCCTGACTTGCTCTGGCGTCGTAGGGTGGTGGTGGCCCTCCGCCGGGCGTGCGCACCAATCAGTTGTCTGCGATGGTGGGCAACCTAGCCGAACGTGACTCGACTCTAAGACACCAAGGCCATTCTCCCGCTCGTCTCTTGCCCTCTTTCCCTCTTACCTTTGCCATGCATCATGACATCGACGGGACCCGGACGGGTCATGGGTTGTAGGCATGCCGTCGCGGCCCTGCCCCCATCGGCGGGCCACGCGGTCATGTAAGGCACCGGGGGGTGAATCGTAGCAGTAGTGGGGGAAGAAGAGAAGAGAAGAGAAGAGAAGAGAGA